CCACGAGGGCTGTAGGAGGCGTGGCTACACACCTTACACCCCTGGGATCGCCCACACCGGGATGCCACCTCGTCGCCGCCGCCGCTTACCTTCTAACCCGCCGCCGGCCGTCCACCGGTTTGCCGCCGGCGCAACAGCCCCAATCTAGAGTCCCTAGAGCAGCCCAGGAGACACCTGGCGCCTCTGGGTGGCATGCAGGAAGTGGTCGGGCCAAAGGGCGACCGTAGAAGCAAGGGGTGACCCTGGCAGTGGCCCGCCGGCCAAACATTTTGGGGTGACCCTGTTCCACGCCCGCCGGCGGCCTCGAAAACCCCCAGCCCGGCAGCGACCCTGTCCTCCACCCGCCAGGCGGCCTTGGGGACCATGGTGCAACCCTGTCTTGCGCCCGCCGGCCGCCCAGAGGGTGTGACCCTGTCCGCCGCCGCCTTCTTCTCGATCGTGGTGTGTCGACAGTATTGTCTCCTCCACAAAGAAGCCCTCACCTACGTCCATGGGGAAAAACCAGAAAGCACCGCGCCGCCGCCGGCCAAAGCTGTCACGGGTGACCCTGTCCCTCTTCAACATCCTCTATCAAAGACGCAGGCGATGGAAGAATGAAGAGCTGGTACACCGAGCATACCTCCTTGTCTGCGCGTAGACGATATCAGCAATTCCATTAGGAAAATTGACAAGGCAAACCACATCGAGGGGATGAAATGGTTTGCTGCCATGCCCTGTCCTCCTAACTGTCAGATGCCTGTATGATCAGGACATCCACAGATATTTGTGTTCGTAGGGAATGCCCAGTTCGCAGTAAGAACCCAGGCATTAGCTTTCTATCTCACTTGTCATGGCCAAAAGAGTAATAGGAGGTCTCGCTAGAGCAATGTGTAGGAGCGATTGAGAAAAGGGAAGTGCAACCAGGAAGTATACTGTGGTTTATATCACGAACGAACTGTGTTTTCCCCCTGACAAGGGATTCAATGACGAAAATTCCTGATTGTAAGAACAAAACAAGTATAGTTGAACACAAACGCATAGGAAAAAAACTCATAGGCAGCTGATTCATTGCAACCGTACATCATAAAGGGAGACTGCAATGCACAGACAATCAGGTTGTGAGGACAGCGTATTTCTGTTACTATATGACGACACATTCATTCTAGAGGCACAGATATCGATCAGGGAAGTAGAGAACTTCAAAAGAGAGACAAGAGGTTGGACACATCTGACTAGAAGACAAAAGAAATAGAAAGAAAATATGAACAACCATCTACCACTTATTGTCGGTGATCCAGAAACTCTGACACCCTCTACCACCGAAAACCTGGTAACCCCTACCAGCACCATTTCCTTGCGCACAAACCTTCCAAAACTGTCTCTCGCACCAGTACTTGGGGATCCAGACATTGCTGTTAGCGTTGATGCGGCCATCAGTCCAGCACATAGGGTTAACCAACACGGCAACCTTGTTCTTGTTGTCAAAGTTTTCGCCGAGCTGGGCGGTCGCGCCAGGAATGTGGATGTTTTTGTTGCAGAGGCGGTCGATGGCAGTGAGGATGCGGACGTCCTTTTTCATGCATGCTATGCGGTCCATTTGCCAGTCCCATTCGCTTTCGGCGAGGATGGGGGTGACAAAGAGGAGAGTGCAGAGGGCTGCGAGAAGAAGGGTGAGGCCGGTGATGCGGACCATCGTTGCGCTTTCTTCTTGTTCTTCTCGCTTGTCGGTTATTTTTGTGGAGATACCAGTCGTGCTGCAGACGGCTGAGAAAAAGGTGATTTGTAATGGAAGATCTCTATTGATCAGGAAGAAAGCGTGTGTTTCTGTAAGAAGGAAGAACGGGTCATGAACGAGTACTCGGCACCTATTTATCAACCGTAATGGTGGTTGAGATGGTACGGGTGAACAAAGAAGACATCAATGCTGGATGTTATTGAGGACTCGATACAGCAATATTCCTCAGATTCTTCTTTGAGCAGAGACAAGAGCAGCTGTTAATAACAAAGAAAGCGTTCTTGTGGGGCACGTCTGTCAGAAATTGGCAGAAGAGCATGACATGAAAGCTGCTGGAAACGGCAGCCGCGATGGGTCTGGACCAACGGATAATTTCAACCACTTGGACCTTCACACTTTCCAGGCCGTAATATGTTTGCCATACCGAAGCTCAATAAGAAGGTCCGGTCGGCGTATCTTATTGAGAGTGGCTTTCGAATGCTGCTCCAGCGTCAAAGCTATGTTCATGTAGCTTGGAGACGGCTACCATCCCACTTCCGGACATGGCCATTCATATGAAAACTTGGCAAGCCTCGACCAGCTTTCGCTGAGATGCAAACATACGTTGTTGCTGTCGATGCCTTGGAGAAATATACAAACTGTGATGGCTCTGGTTGTTATTCAGAGCGCAAAGCAGCAGACGTCGTCGCTCTGTCCCCGGCTTCTCCGCATAAGGAAAAGGAGCGGTTGATCGCACGTTTCTAGATCAGTCGTGGAAGCTGGGCAATTCTCAAGTGCTGCACCCAAAGAGCATCATCTGTTTGTGTAGGCAGATTGGTGGTGACCTTCCTCCTCCTCTTGTGTGAGCATGACAATCACTTTCAATTGCATGTATGGAGGTCTTTGCCCACAGTGCAATCATGGAATAGTGCGAGCGTAATGCAAACAGCCGAACTCGAGCTTTTCTTGACCGTTCTCGAGCGTCCTTCTCAACTTCAGCAGAAAAGCCATCTTTTGGTCAACTTCTCGTCTCGAAAAACACTGTTCAAATCACTTTCACTGCAATGGGAGATCTGCTCAGCTGCGAAGTATGCACTTCAACGTTCGCAGAGCTCGATGTTTCCGAAACTTCTGAAGGTGTTTGTTCCGGCCATAGAAGATTTACCGACAAGCCCACTTCTTCTAGGTGCATATATGCATGCAAAACCCGAGATGTTTCGCCTGGTCATACATCGACCGCGTGTAGGGAGTCCACAGGACTGATCAGAATCAGAAACGCTCATGTCATACATGACCGACATGTAGATGGACGTGCAGGCGTTCACTGACCCCATCTCAATTCGGCACTTCTATGGGGTCAGACTGACCGCGAGATTCTTCTTGCAGCCAGCCAGCACGCGAATGATGCGAGATGTGGTATATCGAGTGTCGGACACCGACCACCTCCGCGAGCTATCGACTGGTCTGGACACCATCTGAAGAAAAATGCCAACCGAGTCTTGCGCGGCGCAACATGTACGTCGTAAGGCGTGTCTCTGCACAACTTCACGGTTGCCTCGATGGTGCCAGAAGCAAATTCAGGCAGGTCCGCGATGGAATGCTATCTGAAACCTGGGTATCTTCGTCCAGGATCGTTGAGGTAGAAGTGATACAAACTCAAGCTATCCACTGATAGAACAATGTATCGTTTCTAAATGGCTTTCCAACTCTTTCTACTCTTTTGCAATCGTCTTGGTTGTGGCGCGCGTCCTGAGGCACGATACATCGCGAAGAAGAGCCGCAGGTTCAAGACTATGTAGTGCGTTGAACTTCAGGCAATGCACTGACGTGACAAGCTTTTCCAAATAAACGCCAGCATTGCTTTAGAGTGTTCATACAAGGAAGAGCATCGCTACTGTGGCGAGATTCTGGTCAGAACGTAGCACAATCTTCACGGAGCTCAACATACACCTAGACCCAATATGTTTTGTCGACTCTCAGGGAGCCACGTCACACTCAATGGTAATAGTGTCTGATTGCAATGGAAGTCGTCTTGCCATTGGGTGAAGTGACTTCGGTTGCGGTCCTTTGTGCAATATTCTTCGGAGTTCAGAGTACGAAAGTACAACAACAGCTTTATTTTCTTTCATCTGTGCTGGCTTCCCATTGTCTGTCCAACTCAACTCGACAATGTCTTTGTTTTGTCTGGCGGTCCATCGAAAAGCATACTGAGGAACTTTGCTCCAATGGAAGATATATAATACCCCTTGAACATCAGCACAAAGTTACTCACAAAGTGTAAACGACCGACCTAGCAGAACTAGCAACTATACAAAGGTAAACCCCTTGCAAAGCCGACAACTTCACACACCGCAAAACAATGCTTGAAGCAATCAACATGTCGCTCTGTGAGCGCTTAATCAGCTGTGTATTTGTTTTTCTCGGTACCCTTCTTACACTGCACTATTTCGGAGTCCTTTCTTCCATCCCGGCATGCACACGCTGCCATCGAAAGGTCCGCACAGTACTCCTTCCATGCCGTTATTGTCGTTACTGCTATCGCTGCCTGAACACATACGTCACGACTTGCTGCAACAATCAAGCCCTCTGGCCGGTTCGCTGCTGCAACGTCGACCAGATCCCGCTTCGTTTCGTCAAACACGCTCTGACTGAAGACACTACGCGATTGGTCAAGAGAAGAGTAGGTGAGTGGGGCTGCTCTGGTGAAATCTTGTACTGCGCAAATAGTGATTGTCTGACTCCCNTCGTTCGAGCCAATGCTGTTGGTAATTTCGTTCCATGTGGTGACTGTGGTTTTCTGACGTGTATGAGATGCAGGAATCACGGCCATATCGACGGTTGTCGATCTGACTGTGGTCCGCTAACCTAAATTCCACAGGTCAGAAGTACTCCAAAGGGTTAACCAATCTGTGCAGCTTGTATCAGTCTGACTTCAAAAGTTTTGTGACTTCAATGCAACTTTTATTTCCTATTGATATTCCTTCCGAGTCTATTTCTGTGCCCTGTGACTTTTCCGACTGCCTTTTCCACTTATGTGACATGGCCTATCAGTATGGCTATCCCAAACATAACGGACTTGATCACATTGAGCGTCTGCTGGACTTCACTTTCAAGGCGCCTCCCCATCGAAACAAAATTTGCGATCCAACTGAGATTCCCACACCCTTTCAACAGACGCAACGCTTGTGTAATCTTGGTCAAGCTACGCCAGGAGAACCTTGTTTCGCTTTTTCTGACCTCATGGTAAGCGCGTGTTGACATTGGTGATGTTTTTCTTATTGAGCACCAAATCCGGTAAGTGTACGAGAACCGCCCTCTCAGACACCCATTCTAGTTCTACAAAAACGAGAAACAACCACAATAAATCAATAACTAGGTCTTCAATACAGTTCTGCTATTTGTAGCTTTTAAATGTGCTGCGACACCAACGAGGTGGGCTATTGGTCCTGTCTCAGCTATTGAGGCCCATTGGGCTTATTAAGAAGGCAGGATATTCGGTCAAGTCTTCCCCTACCATGACCTTCCTACCAGTCCACCCTTCCATTCTTTCATTCTTCTCAAAAAACCTCGAGTCAATTTCTCTTTCTCCCCGGTATCCGTCTCAATACGCAGGACCTTCTTCCAACCCTGCTCGGCGTTCGGTCAGGAGGGTCGACAGCAATGGCTTCACAGGACGAGAATTACGCAATCATTGAAGACCACATCATACCTCAAGGAATCCTTCTCGCGGTCCTGGCCCCACTGTTCTTGATCCTCAACTTTCCGCCGTTAATATGGCATGTCCGCAATCGCAACACAGCGGCTGTGTTCATGGTCTTTTGGATCATGCTGATGAACTTCTCCAGCGTGCTCAATGTCGTCATTTGGCCGTACATCGACATGCGCAACATGTATGATGGCCAGGGTCTCTGCGATGTCGAGATCAAGCTGTTGGGTGCTCGTATCACGGGACTCAATGCTGCTGTGCTGTGTCTGCTGCGAGCTCTGGCTGCCGTGCTGAACACCGAGAAAAATACGCTGGGTCCTTCCGAAGCACGGAAGTGGAAGAACAGAGCTGTCGAACTGGCTTGGTGTGTTGGCCTTCCCCTCCTGACCATGGTCTTCCAGTACATCTGTCAATTGAATCGGTTCGCTCTGATTGGCGTTTCTGGTTGTCAACCGATGAGCTTGATGAGTTGGACGAGCTTCTTCCTCATCTGGACACCACCAATCCTCGCCAACGCGGTCGCCGTATACTACGCAAGTAAGTTGGTACGTGCATGTACCTTTTCTACCCAGCTCTAACATCTCGAACAGNTCGTCGTCATAATCCGTCTCCACAAGTACCGCTCCTCGTTCAACAGCATCCTCTCTAGCAGCGACACAACCCGCAGCCGCTTCTTCCGCCTCTTCGCCATCGCCTCTGTCCTCGTCCTCGGCATCACACCCTTACAAATCTTCATCGTCTTCACCCAGTACCCACGCGTTAACTACCCATTCAACTTTTCTGAACTCCACAACCCGACGACCTGGAATACGTCTATCATTATGCCATCCAGTGTTCTCTATGACCGGTGGGCGGATCTTGGGTGTGCCTTTNTGGTCTTCCTCTTCTTCGGGCTGGGCCAGGATGCCAAGGGTATGTATAGGGAGTGGTTGGTCAAGGTGGGGCTAGGCAGGTTGTTACCCGTCTTGTTGGTTGTCGGCCGGGAGTCGTCGCACCGAGGAGGTCTCTCCAGTGCCAACAGCAAAGTGTCCCTTGAAGGGAGAAAGTCTTCATGGATGACAAAGACAGACAGGTATGAGTATACTTTACTCTCTCCTCTGCATTACTGGAATGCTGACACGAAATCATCANACAGTTCTCAAGTCACTTGTTCCAGAGCTTCCATGGTGCCANGACACGTCAGTCTACTCCCCAACGATACTGATCCTCCATCGTCGCCCGCCCATCCTCTGACGGCTTTTCTTCGCCGCTTCGATCCCCGACGCAGACTCGAGCGGCGTGGTGCGAGATATGAGTTACCTATCTTTTCCGCACGGCGCCAGAACAGCGATGGAGATGACAAAGGCGTGTTAGTCAGTAAGCAAGTCAAGAGGGAAAGCTTTGTTGCATAGGACAAGAGCACAACAGAAGCACACGCCGACCGAGCAAGGGACTTGGAAGCAGAGGAGGAGAGGTACAATGTAGTACAGTAATGGCTCTGGCATATGAAAACGGCGTTCTTTTCTTTTGATTTGGTGTGTGCGTTGAGGTTGCCTATACGTGTTCGTTCCTACGCTATCGCCAGAAGTCTCGAATTCTTTCTTTGTGTGGCATAGACATGCCCAAAGCAAATCTACATCTTGCAAGTTTTGGATACCGGTCGGAATCATCCCACATCTTGCAACGAAGGATAAGCATCCCAAGGTCCGAATGTAAAGCCCTGGTCCAAACGGTATGCATCACGACACCATGTATCAAGCAAGGAAAGCGAAATATCTAGCGAGTATACTTGTGAATGACTAGGATGTGTAAATCTTCCTTAGATCACTCAATGCATTACATCTTGTGTGGGAGATATATCCTGGCCAAGTCTCTACCTTCACAACGAAGCACAAACCGACATTGAAGCTAGACACAGAGAAGAACCGAATAGCCATTGAAATAAACATAGCACCTCCAGACACACGTCTAACGTAGAGGTAATTTCAATCATACAGTTCTAATAAGCCTACAATCATCCCAAACTCTTCCTCCTCCCCTACCAGTCTCACTCAACTGCACATCCTCCATAACCACATCATCTACCTCTGTTTCATCCTCTCTTTTCCTTGCCACAGGCGGCGCTGAATAACTCCTCCAATTCCCGACAATGCCTGTAAGCACGTTGATGCCACCCTCAACCGCCTTTCTCAGACTCTCTCTCGATGAGCTCCTCGCAACAACTGGTCTTTGATTGCTCACCACAAGAGGAGAAGCAGGGATCTCGGTCCTTGAGTGGCGACGCTGTGCGCGAGACACCAACGACGCAAGATCTGCAAGTGCGTGAGTGGGGGTATGTGTATGCGAGCAAGAGGTTTCTTCAATGTCAACGCCATCGATGGTTTCGGCGGCGACTTGCTGTTGATCTGCCGTCAGAATATCTCTGAATTTTGTTTTNGGCAGTGTTGCATCTTGCATCTCCCCATCAGCGACGTCAGAGGTCGAGGCGTTGTTCGGATTAGCAACACTAGCCACACGATTCAGCGTCGAGAATGTCACTTGCAAAGGCGTGTCGACACCAAACTGCCTGCCCCAACGACACTCGGAAGGATAATCACAGCGGTTCCAGCAGTCCTTGACCGGACGTAAAGGCTTAGCAAAACGCCGGGACGAAGTATGCCCAGCAACCCCAGCAAAAGTGGGTGAAGCCACGGAAGCAGTGGTGGAAATCTCCTCTAACTCATCGTCTCCAGAGTCATCCCCATCAAAGACGCTGTCGCAGGGCGTGTTGAGTAACCTCTGCTGCTCGGTAAGGGTAAGCAGATTGCATTTCCACACGCCCCAGTCCTTCCAGCCTGCATAGTCGAATTCTGAGGAACAGGCTTTGTGGCGCTTGAGCTTTTTCAAGCCGTCTTTGCGGGAGCGGACCATGGATGTGCCGGCGCAGAAGTAGTGGCCGTCGTCTAGACAGCGGCGGGTGACGGAGAGATTGTACTGGCGGTTGCAGAGATGGCAGGCCCAGAGCCATTTCATTGGCTGCCTTGTGGGCGGAGGCAGATGTTGGATCAAATCGATATCCACAGTCACAGAGTAAGTTCGCTTGATAGGGAAGGGTGTAATAGGAGTCACCGGAGAGAATGGCGAGGGAGGAACTGCGAGACGCGAAGATATGTATGGCGCAGCCGCTACGTTGATCTTTACAGGCATCTTTCCGAAAGGGTGTGAAGAAGGCCGGCTCCAAAATATCTTGCTTCGTGTCAGGAATATAGTTCTCAAGTCAAGGATCCAGCCCGTGACAAGAAGTATTGAGGTAGTGGAAGCACAAGTGCTGAAGTGTCAACGATTCGAATTGTACCGGGCAAAAGAGATGATATCGCATCACTGCAGCTGAGGTCGATACTTAAAACACCTGCCTACCGCCATTGAACACCCTCATCAATGAATGTCGCAGATTTGACCCGAAGCGAGACAAGATTTGACAACTGCTCAGTATATCCTCAGACAACCAGCGAGACATATTGTTGCAAGATTGCCTCGGTCATCTCTTTGTCGGCATGTCTTGGTATCTGAAATGTCTTTGATGATGAACTTGGTTCGCTTGCTCAACGCACATGGACTCTTCGTTCTAAATTTGTAATGTTAGAATGATTTGCGAACATGCTCGCTTGTGTCTTTGTCTCTTGCTCGATCACTTCTTTGTCTTGACTCGTGGAAGTCTCGACGCACGTGGCGATGGGTATTTTGCATTTCAAATGATGCATTGGCAGCCAAGCGACGAAAACAAAGAGATGGTTTCATGAAGAGACCTCTTCCTGAGATCGATTACGCAATTTCAAGCGTTGGAGTTGGCTATTGCTCAACATTAGTTAAGGTTCCAATCCAGTCGTGTCATAGTCAGTACACAGATAGGAAAGGGAAAGATCAATTGTTGAACAGAGGAATATATTTCAAGAACACTTGAAGACAGTGAAGCGAAAGACCTACCGATGAGACTTTGCAGGACCAGCTTGTCGTCGAAGCGTTTCTTGAAAGGGGGATGAGGATTTTGAACTTACGTAAGTCTACGACGGAAATTGTACTTGGAGGGAGTAGGAGCGGGACTGTCGCCAAACAAGGAAGTCATCTCATCATCCTCATCACTTGCAGGAAGAAGAGGAGTGAGCTGCTTTGTCTTTTTGGGTCTAGGTGTGGGCTCATCATCACTTCCAGGAGACGCAGTGCGGACAGAGCAGGCAGACTTCTTGGATGCACCGGACTTACCAGGTTTACCAGGGTGGAACCTGTAGTCAGGGAAAGCATCGTTGTGATTGGCCCTGTCGAGCTCAGCGCAGTTGATATAGAAATCCTTAACGTTTTTAGGCTCAATCTTCCAACTCTGGCCAAGAATAATCGAGAGGTCCTGGTGGCTCTCTTTGGAGGCCCATTGCTTGACACGGTTAGCATAGGCAGCACGGTAGCAGACAAACGAGTTGAGAGGTCTAGGAATCTTGCCAGCCTTTTTTGCTTCAGCGCGTCTTACAGTGACAGAACGATTGGCAACGGCAAGCATATTCTTGACAGGCGCATCACAGCCATCAGTGAGAACCCTTATGGGTCCAGCAAGCTCAATAGCAGGNTCTCTGGATCTTGGGGCGAGAGACCTTTTGACGCTTGACAGGAGTGGGCGAAGGGGTTGGGGTGTCCTCATATGTGGTCTTCTTGCCGGCATTTCTATAAGACATTCTAACAGGAGTCGATACAGAAACATCAGACATTGGCTCAGGACTGTCGAGATCAAAGCTTGGGACAGCAGGTGCATCAGGAGTGGCAGTGAACGGGTAGCTGGGGTTCTGCATGGGCATTTGCATAGGAGGCTGCATCATGGGCATCATTGGCTGTTGAGAGTAGAAAGCAGGAACGAGCATGTAACCAGGAGGAGGCATGTATCCAAAGGGGTATTGGGGAGCGTACATGGGCATGAACTGTTGAGGTATCATGGGCGGAGGGACGAACTGGCTCAGGTTGGGAAGATCCAAGCTGTTGAAGCTAGGACGGGAGTTAAAGAGGCCAGAGTCGGCGTTGAAGTTGGAGTCAAAGTCAGAAACAGAGAGATCAAGGGAAGGGGTAGACAAGTCCATGCCGCCAGTCGGAATGTCGGAGAGGTCAGCAGGCAAGTCGAGCGAGTCAATGTCGAAGTCCATGTCCATGTCAAAGTCGGGCAGACTGTCGGTGCTCGAGCCCTGCTCGGCAGTCGAAGTCATCAAGTCCTCAAGGGAGAAGTTTCCAAGCAGCTCAGACATCTTGTTGAATGTGGTTTCGATGTTTGGAGACGTTCTGGGTATGGGAACAAGATGAGGGAGCTGCTTTGTTTGGATGTGTTGTGAGATGTGCGTGTGTGGCTTCTGCATTGACAGTGTCATGTCGAATATTTGTACGCGCGCAGGTCGAATGTTTGACATGGTCTCGATGATAGTCAAGAAAGACCAGACGACAAAGACCAGACGACAATGGCTGGCTTGGGTGATGGAAGAAAGCAGTCGTCGAGAAAGGGAGTGAACAAAGCCGAGGATTGATGCATTGTAGCTGTCGTCTTTGTCGCGTGCTTGCAGTAAAGAAAGCATCAAAGGCGGAGCCAACAAGAACAGTTCTTTGTGGACGAACAATGCTTGGTTTCCGGCTCCGAGCTTCCTGTGTTCTTTGGTTGAAAATCGATTGCATTACAGCGTAGGGAAGAGGTGGGAGGTCGCTGAGCTCAATCGCAGAAGCGCCATGATGGTGCAGTGACACGTGATCTTTGTTGGCAGGGACGATCCCCGCATCACGTCACAAAGTCGGACCTTGAAACACTTTCCTCTGCACCACCAAACCCATAGCTCTAGCATCCTACGTCCAAAACATTCAATTCGACATTCCCTGCCTCAAGAACATATAAGCAACCATGTCTCAGAATCTTATGGATACTCAACCCGGAGGTGACACCGAGGGCTCGTGAGTTGGACTGAAGCCACCACACAATCTCACGTCATGATTGCTAACGATACTTTGCTATTNNAGCACTTCGCAGTACACAGCCATCAACACCGTCACAGTGCCGCACAAGAAGTCCGGCGGACAGTTCGGCAGTGAGTTTCTCTCCCTCTTCAGTTCCTGTCTCACTCGGCTATACTGACTGTTGACCTGCANNGACCCCGAGACCTCCGTTGATTTCGTGCCCGAGGTTGAAGCCGCCAAGAAAGCAGAGGATGGTGAAAAGACGGCAGAGAAGATTCGCTACGGTCAATCGTTGAGCGAGAACGGCATGGGAGGTCAAACCACAGGCCTCGGACAGGCAAACAGCAGCAGCGCTGGTTCAGAAGCACAGAACACGGATGCGGATGCTGTGAGCGAGAGAGAAATGTCTGGCTACGGTGGTGACAAAGACATGGACAGAAACATTGGTGCATAAAGGGACCATGCAAGAGACGATACGGATATCATGAACATCACAAAGCAAGCATAATGATACACAACATATTCAGCTCTACCCGAATCTCCGAAGTATAGGCACGTTGGACGGGATTGTGGTGGAGGTGCTTCAAACGGTCTGTGGCATTGCGGGCTGTCTATTGAAGATGGGTCAGGATCAAGCTCGACCGTTGATGTCGATGAAGGCGACGCCATGGGAGCCTCCTGCAGCAGGAAGAAGTGGCGCCTAGAAGACGGGCATGCTGCATCCCTCGGCTGTGCAATTCCATACACGCTGAAGCCTTTGAAGATAGCGTCAGCGCTCTGCGGGAAAGAGACCAGAAAAGGCGGGTGTGTCCTGAGGCCGGACGCTACGTCTTGGCTGGGGCTTTTGTCTCCAGGCGGCGATTCTTCATGGAAAGCCCTGGTCGGCAGGTGTTGTTTTTGGGTAGGCTTGGCGCAGGTCTTGTCGTCAACTGATCACGCTGCGTTGAACGTGTCGTTGAGGTAGTCGACAAACAAGTCCTTGATGCGGTCTTTGGTCAAGCTGTGAGAGCGGTTCATGGTGATGAACTGCCTGCGCAGACGCTGCAGTTGCGGCAGACCGAGAGGGTTGGCGGGAAGCTCAATGTCGTGCTCAGCGCCAGCGACAGAGATGTCACCGCCGCTCTCTCCCGGATGGTCCTTCTGCCAGGCCGAGATCTGGGCGACGATGTCGGACGTCGTCTTATCCAGCTCGTACAGGTAGTTTTGCTCCGTGGCTGGCGCCAGGACTGTTGCCGAGTTTGGCTTGACAGCCTTGACCTTTCCACCGACCAGTGTATCCCAAAGCTCTTCAAGCGGCGGCGTCTCGTCGTCGAAGGGAACCGTGTAAAGGGGCGAGTCCCACCGCGTCATGCCGTTGGGCTCTTCGTAGCGGAAGACGAGGTTTTCGAACAGGTCCGTCTGGTAGCCGCCAGTGCCGTCGGCGAGGGCTTTTTCGTTGAGCTGGCGACACTTCTCGACGGGCGTTCCGATGTGCACNCTGCATGCTGTCAGCTCTTGACTGGAAGAAATGGTTAGTGCGTGACTTACTACGCAGCTCGGGGTGCGCTGGGCTTTTGCCTCGCAGAACATTTGGTAGCGGAAGCCCTTGATGTAGTTCATAGAGTCGGCAATGACGATCGAGTTGGCAGTCAAGTCGCGCTTGATGGCCGAAGACAGAGTCGCTCGTGCATCCTTTTCACTTCTCGCAGCAGCATACACGTCGCGCTCGAGGCCCAGGTTCTGGTCGTTCAAGTGGTGGATCTTGAGCTTGGAGATGCGCGCATCCTCTGACGCAGCAATCTTTTGCGCAAAATACTCCTTCAGCTGCTCGCTGCGGTACGTCTTGCCGCTCGACGGGAACCCGGATATGAGGATGAGCTCGCCGGTCGTCAGCGCTCGTCTTTTTCGCTCTGTAGCTACGCCATGATTGACTTACTGGCATGACGGCGGTTGTTTTCGTCTTGGTCGACTGTCGAAGAAATCTAGAATGACGCGCCTGCACTTGGCTGCCGAGTCACGTGCATTTCCAATGTCGAGCTTCCCACCCTGGCCTACATGGACTTGGTTTCCTTTCTTGCCCTCTTCTCCTTCTTTCGAGATGCTCGGGGTTGGTGAGTGGTCTCACTCCTGAACAAGCTACCATTGCCGCCTTCCGCAATGACCATCGTCTGGCTGCAGGCACGATGACGAGTTCCGAGATACATACAACCACGGCTCGAGCATGCATGATCAAAAACATCAGATTTGCATTCTTAGCATTGAATGACCTAGCTAGACTTTACCGAACATGATTTCAATCACCCCAAAGAAGCTCGAGCGAATCACGTTGTCGCATGAACAATGACCATTCCATGTCCTTGATCAAATACCACTCGGGATGAAGGCTGAGGAATGTCCAGCCACCTCACCCATCCGGCACCTTTCATTGTCCCATCGGGCCGGAAACGGCACACTTTCATCACAACTTCTTTGTTATGCGGATTCGGTAGTGTGTCTAGAACGATGGCTGAGATGGGCGTCCATGTCTTTGAGTTGATTTACCAGGGTACCTTCGTGTCCCGCATATGCTGTTCCTCTGTCTTGGTGACCGCAAAGACGGATTCAAGAAATCATGTCTGCCAACTTGCTTGCATTGCTTGGAAACATCACCCTCGACGCGGGTGGTTGCCCTCATCCCTTCGTCAGCGAAAGTCTATATCCCTATACCGAAGGCTNNGTGAGTTTTCCCCTTCCATCTCTTGAAAGTCGAAAGTGAACTGACTGAACCAACCCAGACCTCAACGGCCGCAACTGCGCANAAAACCCCTTGGACTTTACAGGCCATGGCTCAAGATGCTGCGTACCTTGTCCCCTTTCAGACTGGGTAAACTCGTCCAGCTTCCCCGGTCTCACAGACGGAGCAGCCTGGGTAAACGTCACTGGCTTCATCCTCTGCGGCTTCCTGCTCGTCTCATACTTGGTCCTTCCCACCGCTGCAACAAGACGTTCATTCCTGAATATCGCACTACTGGCCGGCATCATGATCATGGAGCTTGGGTTTATCGTCCCGCTGGGCCAGAAACCTGAACAATGTTTCGATCCGGTGACGCCGAATGACATGAACAGTCAAAATGCTTGTGCAATAACTGGTGGCTTTGTGGTGTTTGGCGGCATGTTGACCGTGTGTTGGATTGTGGTGCGCTCGGTGTTTATGCACCTGCAGATTTGCTGGGACATTGTGCCTGGACGTGTGGCCATCATTGCTGCGAATATTGCGGCTTGGTCGGTTACTATTGCACTCACGGCGGCAGTGTTGGTTAAAGTGGGTGTCTCGTATCGCTTTGGTGGGTACTGCCATGTCAATGTCGGGTCTACGTCAACTTACTGGGGCTGGATGATCGGATTCGGTGGCGTGGCATTGCTGCTGCAAGTTGCGACGTTCGTCTACTGCGCAAAAGTATACCTCACAGCAGCCATGCATGGTCGCCAACATCCTTACTCCAGCAACGCGACAAACTCCGTCAAGTCGGCAAGCAGCAAGCGGCAAGCGTGGACTGCCGTCAGACGACTCAAGCAAGTGCTGCTCCTGCAATGGCGATCCCTCGCCATCGTCGCCTTGGCCATCTTCGTCATCGCCTTTGTGTGTATCATCTTCATCTTCCAAGTCGACTCGTACACCACCAGCACCTTTGCCGACCCGACAAAAGTCATCCCGTGGGTACTGTGTATCCTCCAGCGACGCAATACAGACAGATGCCTGCCGCTGATCCAGAAACTCATCCTGCCACAATCAATGGCGGTGGCGGTGCTGTATGTGATCGCGTTCGTGGGTATAGAGGCATTCATCCTGCTCTTCAAGCCCGAGATCTTCAGGGCTTGGTGGAGGTTCCTGGAGAGTCCGTTTGATGGCAGGAGGAACAGGAGTACGTCGAGCCAGAACCCGAGTTGGTTGGAGAGGCCGCCGAGGTTTGCGATCGATAGGNGGAGCATGGTTGCGGTGGACGAGCCAGTGGGGGCGGAAACTGGGCATACGGTGGAGAGGCAGGATTCTGTTGTCAGTGAAGACGGCATTGGGCGCGAGCACGAGCACTCTGAACTGAGGACGAGACCGCAAGACATGGAGAAGCAGGAGGGCCATCATATTTGAAATTTCGTAGGGTATATGTTTCAATCTAATCGCAAACATCAGAGTATCTTTCTAGTCAAGGTCGGGGAACTTTCTCAAGAAGTGTGATGGGCACTCGTAGCCGCCGGGGTTGATGTCCAAGTACTTTTGGTGGTAGGCCTCTGCGTCCCACCACTCGCCGGCGGGCAAGATCTCGGTGGCAATCTTGCCCTGCTTCCACCATTGCTCTTGCACCTTCTTGGTCACTTCTCTGGCGATCTTGTCTTGGCTGTCATTGTGGGTGAAGATGCCGCTGCGGTATTGCGTGCCCACATCGGGTCCTTGACGGTCTTCGGTCGTCGGGTCGTGCATGCGGTAGAAGAATTCGAGCAGCTTTTGGTATGAGACCTTGTCAGGGTTGTAGTAGATTTGGAGCGCTTCGGCATCTGTAGAGGCAATCAGTCAGCATAATGCTCATACCCAGAGTGAGAAGGGAAGCAACTCACGTCCAGTTCTTCCGGTGCAGACAGCGCGGTAGCTGGGGTTTTGAGTGTCGCCACCAATGTAGCCGACTCGTGCGTCCAGAACAGCGTCCTTGGGGAAGTGGTGGCGGTACATGTGCTCGACGCCCCAGAAGCAGCCGGCTGCTACTGTCGCCTTCTCGGTGCCTTCAGGGACGGAGACTGCGCCGGGTCCCTCGGGTCCGAAGCGCATGGTAGAGGATGTGAATGGGCGCGACAGACGTGCGAAGAGCGAGTTCATAATTGGCGGAGTTGCAATCGCGACGGCGATGAGGAGGATGAGTGTGAGCGGTTTCGTGGTTGCGATGTGCCTGGGGAAGGTGTGGATGCGAGGAGTGAATTGACAGGAGGAAGGCGCAAATTCGATTGATATGAATAGGAAAGAGCGGCTTTCCTTTGCACCTTCCAGAAGTGATTGTCTGCTTAGCTAACCATCATCTCGCGTCATGGACTTGGACCCTTAATTGCCACTTGCTCCGGAGCTTCCCTCGGCTTCTGGAAGCCGTGACAGCTTGCTTGAGTCATGAACTCTCATCGAGAAGCATGCATAGTTGTGAAGACATAACTCATGGATTATTAATCTATGTACAAAGATACACAATCGTCAAATTATCGCTGCTGTCAAAATATCCGCCCAACCTGTACAGTCTATACCCCTATCGACCCACCTCCTACTCGCACTTTCCAACTCGATCACATAACCGTTTGCTCAGAACGAATTTCCATCAAACTCGGGATCTCAGGCATGGGTGGCACAGAAGTATCGAACGGATTGACCTCTTGATCGCCAATATCTCCAGCCGCAGGAGTAGGCGGAATGGTGTCAAGCTCAGTGTGTCTCCACCCCTGCCCGCTGGGCAGAGAAGTCGGACAAGCAGATGAAACACTATTGCGGAAGCTGTTGCGCGCATTGTAGTCGGTCGCATGGAAAGAGGAGGACCGCACATGGTGGCCCTGGTTGGAGATGGACCCAGACCGGCTGCCGGGACGAGAGCCACCAGAAGATGAGCGACTGCCGGGCACGGGTGCAGAGCTGAAGGCGCTTGAGAAGCGGCGGAACACGGTTCCAGAGAAGCTCGACGAGCGCGACGAGGCGCCGACGGTGGGTGACTCTGGCTCGGGCTCGCCGCTCATGAGACTGAAGACCCCCTTCAAAGCCGAGACGCTGTGCCCGACGCTGGTCTTGACTCCATTCCAGCTTTCTTCCAGTCGGATAAAGTCGTGCATGTTGTCCTCGAGTGCTGAGAGATGCTTCAGGACAATCTCAACACTGTCGGCGATGATGATGGTGCCGGTGATCCAGACAGCAGCTGCGGTATCCTGGACACTGACAGGTTGCTGCTGGATGAGTGCGATAGCGGAAGAGGTGGCCTTGTCAATTGCATGATCTGCCATCTGCTTCTGCATCTGCACATCGACAAAGACCTTGCTCTTCTCGTCACAGTCATCATTTGCGACATGGGACTCATGCAGATAGGTCTTCAGACTGTTGTAGACGTTCTTGAAAGCGTCCTCGTGCACATGAGCAATCGAGGCGTTCAAATCATCAAGGCCAGAAAGCACACTATCAGCCTCATCACCGAGAGTGGCTGACAAAGTGGCTACATGGTTGGTGTTGTCGAACAGAGCTTGGGCCTGCAAGGTCTTGAAGAAGGTAAAGTCACCCGAACGGTGAGCTGCGTGCAGGTTGTGGCGGACGAGGGCGATGCGCTGCTGCCAGTGCAGTGTCTTGTTCATGTCGAAGATGATGTTGAATTCTGCCAGTTTGTGTGTGATGCTCTTTGCTTGCAATACAAAGATTTGATGTGTGCCGGACAAACGAACAAACAAGCCTGAAAAACGATAAAAGTATGTATGTACAACGTGAAGGAGAGATCAGAAGGCTTGACTGCGTTTGCAAGAGCTGCTTAGGAGACCGGTCAAACATCTGCTCTGCCTTATACCGTTTTTCGAGACGGCACACTACGGTTGAGATGCTGTCAGTGGCTGCTCCAAAGTTGTTTGTTCGTCGGGTATACCGATTTACGTGAAGCCGGTTCCGACTAGCTGGTTCATGGAATCTTCGATGATGCTTAGTGTGATGCCTTGAATTAGGACGTATGAGGTTTGTGTCGAGAGACTTTCTTTGTGTCAATACTGCTTGCGGAGGTCAGGTTGAAGTCGTTCAGGTCTTCGCGAGGGCTCCATTGTAGACGCAAGAGACCACGAATGAATGTCCGCGCTTCTTCTTGCCAAATAGTGACCATGACCTGGTCGTGGGTATCTCCTACATCACTGTTGCTCGGTAATTTGAGCCTCATGACGAACTCGACTATTGTAGATCCCAACAGACCAGTCGCATTCACTTCCGATGGTCGGTATGCCGACTTGAGGTCGGCTCTACCTGCGTTCCGACACTTCGTGGACATCATTCCACCAACGTCGTCAACATTCCTTTCCAGCCGCCCTGCAGCAGCATCTCCCTGCTTCGAGAGAGTCGTCGACTGCAAGCCTCCTTCCTTTCGCCGAACAACTCCATACCATGCCAAAGCTAGCCACATTACCCTATTACCCTTGTATTCTGTCATACGGTAGCTATGGGTAAAAGCTTTGCTCTCGATACAATCTTCGTTTAGCCCGCTTCATGTCGCGCTTCAAGCATGTAAAGAGAGAGTATAGAGCTGAAAGGTAAACCCAAGGCAGACCTTGCAGGCAAGAGCAGCCTGTTTCTCTCATACGCGGGACCATGTCAACATCAGATGTGTAGTGCTGCAAGTCGATATGGGAAGTCTGTCAGCCAAGATGCGCTCGGTTCCTTAGGAGAAAGTCAAAGGCTTTGGTCAATAGCTTCAGGGGCATCAGTACGACTGGAACTTTCGTCCATCACGCCGAGGCCGCACAAACAACACAAACGTACTTTATGTTCTACTGACACTGCAAATCTCTGCTCTCCGGTTTCATCTTTGTTCGTGGTTGAAAGCGGTACAAGTCATGAGCATATGCGGCGTCGACGACTTTGTACAAAGAATGTTGCCGAAAGCGGACGCCACCACCTCTCACTAGAATTACCACCACTTTATCAGGCCCTTTCACAGTCACAATAATAGTCTTTCTATATATGCCAAACGTAAGGACTGCTTGCTTTGCCACGCTATAACCAACAATCATGCGTTTCTCAGCTCTCACCATTGCATCTGCAGCCGTTGCTGCCGCCGGAGTGAACGCCATTGATGTGGCTGGTAAGTCCAACATTCTTAGGTCTGCCAATGGAAGTCCTGACATCTCCGCAGAATTTCCTGGCTATGAAGTAATTCCCAAAGCTGCAACAAACAAATATCCCGTCAATGCAGCCCCCACTATTCCTGACTATGCAACTGACTCGTTCGAACCAACTTACGTGCCCGAAGAGGACCTGAAGCCCACCGTTCTTCAAGCTCGCAGTGCCCCTTTGGCCTCATCTACGGCAAATACCACTCCAGTCGGCGATGCACCCGCTGACGACAGCTTCGAAACTTTCATGGAGTGGATGAACGCTCGTCAGGCTCAGGGAGCCTTCGAGCAAGCTCAACACAGTCACGTCGCCCGCAGCGTGGCCCCTTCGCCAAGTGTAGAGGTGCCTCCTTTCGAGGGACCGGCTGATGACACTTATGAAGCTTTCGTTGCCTGGATGGAGTCTCGCTTCCCACAAGAAGTCACACAAGCGACCGAGCAGAAAGTTCACGCCCGTGATGTGCCAGCTCAACCTGAGCATACTTCCATCACTGCCAAAGATACTCCTGCGGATGACAGTTACGAGGAGTTCGTGCATTGGTGGAGCTCCCGTTACCCTCAAGGCTCTACTGAGACAGACGAACACACGAACTTCGCTCGTTCTGTCTATGAGCATGATGAATACCCCTCAGAGTACCACGAGCTCGATGCTAGATCTATGGAGACTCCTGGAGGATCTGAAGAGCACGAAGATGAGGTGTCTGACTGGAGCCTTGTCTGGAACGAAGAGCTGGAACAACATATTCATGCCAGATCACTCGCAGACGAACATCATGAGGTTCCCTCCGACTACGATTACCAGCAGGAATCAAGTGCATCTGGTCAAGGAGGACCCATCAACGTCCACTACGAGTCAGAGCACGAGTACAACCCTGATGAGACCTTCGAGGAGTTCCTTGCCCGCCAAGGCTGCAACCCTGCGGAGTACACTCAAGAGACTCACCCTATTGAGTCTCACGAAGAAGAGCCTCAGCCTCAGGAACCAGTCCACTCGAGGCCTGAAGTGTCCGAGGTAGCTGCTTCGCCAGCAGCTGCTCCCACCCCAAAGCCAACTTCTGCAGCGACATCATCCGACGCCACTTCGACCTCTGCATCGCAGTGGACTGGAGAGACGGCCACAGCCTCGTCCGGCTCTGCAGCCAATGTTCAAGCACGCTCTGTGAGTTCCCACTATCGATTCCGCCACCACTCAGCACATGCGTCGAATAGTGGTACGGCAACTGCATCTTCTGCAACCAGCTCTACCACAAGTCGCAAGGGATTCTTCAATCTGCCCTGGTAGCTGAGTGGTGGGGCTGCTGCTGCAAAGAGAAGATGCTGACTTGTGTTTGAGATCTTCCAAAGCTAGAGTTTGAATGTCTATAAATTGAACCATTTTCTTGTGTAACGAACCAAATATAATGCATTTTCCCAATACTCAACCTGCACTCAATGCTATGCACAAAAGTGCTTGATGCGATGGGTCATAACTTCCATGCAATTCTCTACTGTTCCTTCTTCACCAAACACATGTACGGAAGTGTACTTGATTTGGCAAATGATCACGTCTAAGAGTGACAAAGGCTCACTCACACAGCGTGCAGACTTGAATGAGAAGTATTAGTAAAGTCACAAGCGCCTGACGCGCATAATTTGCCCCAAGTCTCTATACGGACAGAGTCATTGAGTCTCTAGCCGTCGTTGCTTGTGCACCCTATAGGATTATATATCCATACTCCACTTCCAAGGCTGACGCCTCCTACTTGTTTCAATGTGGCGGTCTTCCATTGTATCGAGTCGAAGTTCGATGGTAGTATCGGCTCCCCTTACTCAATCTGTCCTTTGTTACTCGAGCCTGGACTTGGCTTCAGCCGCAAACGTCCAATCTTCACTGTTCGTGCTTGAACTTACAAGCAAAGGCGAGCCCGTCACAAGCAAAGACTAGTCTTTCACAAGGAAACACGGATACCTCGCTGGCGAAGCCGAGTCGTTCACTTTGTGCCGATCATTGCTGCAATCAGCCGCATAAATAGATTCCTCGTCCCCAGTATCTGGGTCTTTTATCTTCACAAGAGTTGAGTCTCATTGTGAATCTTTTGGACGGACGAGGTCATTGTACATACCTCTTCTCTTCGGCCGTCATCCTTACATTGCACATACCGCACCCTTCATCTTTCGTTTTCACGCCCGTCAAAACAAACAGCATGCACCTCTCTAGCGTCCTCTTCGGTCTTGCCGGCCTCCTGGTCTCTGCCAGCGCCAAACCCGCAAACAACACTGTCTACAAGCACTTCGACTGCGATGTCAACAACAGTCGCGCTAGCGAGCACTTCAACAAGACTGTGAGACTCATGCATTCGGGTGCCTTCAAGGCACACAGCGGCACCCAAATCGCTGGTCTTGCTGTGCGCGATGCCACTGCTGGCCTCATCATGGTTGATGTGGCTTTCCACATCGTCACTACGGCCGCAAAGGCAGGCTCCATTACTCAGAAGATGGCCGATGACCAACTCGCCACGCTGAACAAGGCCTACAAGCCCAGCAACGTTCAGTTCAACCGCATTGCCACCACCTTCACCGTCAACGATGCTTGGGCTGTCGGTGCAGGCTCTGACGCGACTGCCATGAAGACTGCTCTGCGCAACGGCACCTACAGCACTCACAATATCTACTTCATGACCGACCTCACCGGCAGTATTCTCGGCACGTGCAGTCTGCCCTCAGACATTGGCCCCGGCACCCCTGCGCCCAGCACTTATATCACCGACGGCTGCATGATTCAAGCCAACACCATGCCCGGCGGCAACATCTACGGCTTCAACATGGGCATGACGGCCGTCCACGAGACCGGCCACTGGATGGGTCTCCTACACACCTTTGAAGGTTACAGTTGCACCGGCAATGGCGACTTTGTCAGCGACACCNCCATGCAGAGCACCAGCACCGATGGCTGCCCTGCAAAGCCTCCCAAAGACAGCTGTCCCCAGAGCCCTGGTGTCGATGCCATCCACAACTACATGGACTATTCGGACGATTCTTGCTACACTGGTTTCACCGGTCAGCAGAATAAGAGAATGGCCAGCATGTGGTCCACCTACAGACTCGGTCGCTAAACCCATTGGGTTTCCCGAAGACGGAAATGGTTAGGTCAATGATGTTCGAACGGCTGCGCAATGCATGAAAGGGCACCTTCGTTTCGTTTCCTGTACACAACTTCTCTTCTTTTCCGCTTGATAGCTGCAAATGAATGCATTACAAACGGGCGTTTGCTGTTTCTCATCTTTTTGCCTACAATTCACCAAAGTTCAGCGGTTGTCGTGGTGAAAGCGAAGTGAGATGTCAAAGAACGTGGCATAGCGTGACATGAGGAATGTTGTTGATCTGCCGCCCATCCGGATGCGCCTGAAGTTTCCTTTCTTGCTTGTCTCGCCGAGCGTTCCCAACGAGTAGCGTTGCGAAACACTTGGACGAATGATGCCTCCAGAAGCAACTCAGGTCGTCACCACTGAAGATATCTTGAGTCACCGATCAGGTTTGCCAGGGCATGTGTCGTGTTCTCCACCCAATATCCAGAGGCTGATTGTGACAGTCACGACTTGAGCGTTCTGGGTGTTCGCTCGAAATATTGCGACGGTGCTCGATCAGTCACGAGAAACTCGCGGCATCTTGCTTTGAGCAAGTCTCCGAAGTCAACATATCAGTACAGTAACATTATGTATACAGCTGCGAATCATCTTATTGAGACCGTATCTGGAGATTCATTCTCGCTCCACGTCAAGCTTCTCAGAAAGTTGGAGATGACTTCGACTTTCCTTCAGCCTAGCGAGGTGTATGCTAGCAAACGAGAAGGTCAGTTCTCAAAGCCATATTACTTCAATGATGGTTCTTATCACGAGATTTGCCATGAAGAGGCCCCCGAAGCCCAAGGAGCCGGTCCAATTCAAACGAGTGTCAATGATTTGGCCAAATTCATTCGAGCAATGGTCAATCAATCTTATCCAATCACAAATTCGATGTATGAAGCTGTCACGACGCCACGGATATTAAAAGATCAACGACCGAGTCGCTCGCAGAATGGATCTCAACATCCTCTGCCGTCATATGCACTAGGATGGGACGTCAAGTACTACCGCGAAGCGCGAATAATCTCCCACGACGGCGTCATCAATGGCTATGGAAGCCGTATCTTCTTCCTGCCCGACCACAGAGCCGGAGCTGTCATCCTCGGCGATCTGTTATGGATCATTCAAAGCTACCTCGTTGACGAGATTTTGAACATACCGAGAGAACAGCGGTTCGACGTCGCAAGTAACCGCTTGAAACGATTCAGAGCACAAGAGACACGGCGAGAGAAGAACCTCAAGCGAAACGCTGACAGAAGGGACCAAGCAAAAGGTACTCTCGAACTCCCTCTCCAGAACTACCTGAGCGACTATCACAATGATGGATACCACACTATTACGGTGCAAGACAGAGATGGCTTGTTGTTCATCGATGGAAGCGATCGCTCTATGCCCTTCACGTATGCCATTGCTGGACGTTGTGCATATTCACCATGTGTGAGACGAAAAGAAATTCAGAGAGAAAAAAAGAGTGTATTATGATTATTAGGCGAGAGCAGAGAACCTACCATGAATTGTGGATGTCAAACTTACCGTGATGCATACAACAGCCAGGACCAGCCTCGCTGCATATCTTACCAGATGCTTGTACTACTTACCAGCCTCGAGAGGAGTCCAACCAGTGTGGGGTTCAATCATCGAAAAGGTGAGCATAGGTCTTTGACTACCCTCAGCCTTGCAGTGTCTAAACCAAGCCTTGTAGAAGTCAATCTGTCTGTCAGCATCATCAAACATAGTAACCATCAATCTTGGCAGAGTGATTCTAGTCGAGGGGTTAAAATCAAGCGCACGAAAAGTGTAATACTCAAGCAGAGGAGAGTAGAAGTCACCACGAGGAAGGGGTTTACCAGAATCAAAAGTTAGTTCTCGTGCCTCGAAAAGAGTCAAAGAGCTGAGCTCGTACTTTAGTTCATCAGTGTTGACAAGTCTGTGGATGTAAGGTGTAGCGGTGCGGTAGTACTCAGTAGCCTTCTCGAGGGGAATCTCAGCAGGTCGATCAGGCTTTGTGGCATAACCAGTAGCGAGGAAGTGGACGACTGCTCCAATTGCCCAGACGTCAGCTTTGGCACCAGCCATGGGAGTCTCGGGNGGTTGCCACTTCGGCGTACCATCTGTAGTCTCGTGGTCGCAAGTGGTCTCAGCAGCAATGCCAAAATCGATGATCTTGAGAGTGGGGAAGAGAGCCGGATCACCAAAGTTGACAGGGTCAACCATGATGTTCTCGGGCTTGATGTCGCGGTGAGATATGCCATTCTCGTGAAGAAAACTAAAGCCTGTACACAATGATTTGTAGGTATGCCAGATAAAAGATTCACTGACCTTTCGATTCATCTTTTGGAAGGACATTTTGAGGGTATTGAGGTCTCCACCAGGGAGGTACGGCAGAACAATTCTGCTTTCAGGGCACTCGCCAGGAGCGGCGGGGGTGTTCCAGATTTGAAGGTAAGGAAGGATGTTAGGGTGAGGACCAAGTTCCTGAACACGATCAAGCATGACCAATTCAGCGACAGTCTTGAGGTCAGTATTGGGAGGGAGACGCAAGCGCTTTATGACAACCATCTTACCAGTGACTTTGACTTTGGCGAGGCTAACGACGCCCTGACCTCCCTCACCAAGGCTCTTGTCGTGCTGGTAGAAGCTTTGGAACGTGTCATCGTAGCATTGGGAGATGATACCGAGGTGCTGGGGTTCAGAGATGGCCGACATTCTTGTGGTTCTGTGGTTTGTGCTTGGAGTTCTGTTTGGAAGACCGCTGTTGCTCTGGGATTTTCTTTTGTAAGGTTAGTAGTTTCCTGGTAGTGTTCTGAGGGGAGGAGTCAAGAGTAAAGGACCCGGGATGGTAGACTAAGTACTATCACGAGAAAGCAGTCTTGAGAATTGTTCAAGAAACAAGAGAACAAAGCATCCTTTGTCAAATTGTTGGTATAACTCTGTCCTCAGGTGCCATTGACAAAGACCTACACATGCTAGATGAAAGCACTTCTGCGGTCTTCCAAGCCATGATGAGGCGAACAACAAAGCGTAAAAGGCCTTCATGAGATTTGAGAGTGTTCTGACAGCAAGGTGAACAGCATGGTCTCTCCAACAGCACAAAGGGTAACGGGTCGTTATAAAACACTACTACTTTGCTCCTAGGCAGTATCTTGCTGTTTGCATTAATACCATACTAATATCGATACTTTACTCACTTGACACAATGTCTTCCTTCGCTACTAACGACGACGCTGCTGGTCGGCCTTCGATTCTGACAAACATGACATCGGGCATTGAGCTAGAGGTTCTGGCTTATGCGCCTCAAGGTGTCGACCCGAGACGCCACCTCACGAATGCTCTGAGGAAGCCTTTTCTCCTGGAATGCAAACGTTGCAACAAGTCTCATGCTTGGAAGCTACCTNTTGTTGGCAACCTCGACCGCAAGAACTTTGCCCAAGGATATTCTTATGCAGGTTGGAAGATAACTCGAGATGGAAGCGTCCGACCTGACAAAAATGAGCGTAGCCACGTCCCGAAAAATTCCAGCTTTTTCAACATGGAGATTGTTTCCAGGATCCCGAACTTCATCGAACCTACACCTTGCCCACTTGGTCAGAGATACCCATGCACTGGTGAACCCTTCGAGTGGGACTCTCGAACTGAGATCTTCTGTGTTATGCAAAGAACTAGCGAAGCTTTCTCGAGCCATGGTTTCTGTCTTACCATCAACAAGACTACGGGCCTTCATATAAATTTCGCCGATGGTAGGAAACAGCCCCCAGTCAAGACATCTATCGGACTGTTCGGTGTCTTCGCCGCAGCCGAGAGACAGATTGATCAAATCCTGACTTGTTCAAGAATACCTATCACTCCAGCCTGAGGCCATCCTGACTCTGGCGTTCCCAGACCATCCGGTGTGTACAAATACGATCAAGGTGCTAAGCAAAGCCACTTTGCAGGCCCCGGGTCTCAAGTGTTTCTCGGAGACCTTCGCTTGCAAGTCGAGGCAATGGCCTTGACTATGGAAGACAATTCTCAAGACAGTCACGCCCTTATAACTCAACTCCTGCTGCAATTCAATGTTCCAGCCTGGCTCAATAGAATCTCTGGGTATGACAAGATACAAGACTTCTTGCGCGACCATCCCAAATGGAACGGAAGAGAGCATGCAACCGCACGTTACCTGGCAGTCAATCTAGAACACCTCTGGTCAAGCAGCGGAAAGAACATGGTGGAAGTCAGGATTAATTCAAGTTCTGTGGATCCCTCTGAGGTCTTCGCTTCCTATGACTTTCTGGAAAAGCTCATGTTATGGCTCTCGACTCCTGGCATTGATCACGATGCTATCATTCTCGACATCTGGAAAGATCCCGAGAGCACAATTCTTGATCAAATCAAGCAAATTGGCGCTTTGCAATTCACCGTCGACTATTACACCGACCGCTTGACTCCTGACTGGGCCGTTCGTCGCTTCTCCCGCCGAACTTCCAATCTCGATCGCAACGATGCGTTCAAAGCATTTAAGCATGCTATCGAGCACAATCGCTACAAGGACTCTCGTCGTGAAGCCATTGACGCTGAAATCTTGCAAAAGCTTGAAGGTGGTCATTACGGACAACTCCCCGACACCCTCTTCAAGACTCTGCCCACAGAAGTCCAAAATCACCCCGACAGCCACACTCTCAATATGGGAGGTTGCGACTATTTCCGATGGACTGACAAAGCAATAGCTCATGCAAAGGCCAATGACCCTCGTCTATGGTCTAATAGGTCAAAAAGAAGCAACTTTTCCGACGAGAAGTCTTCCGAGAAGAAGTCTCCTAACGAGAAGCCTTCTGAATTTGGCTAAGCTTCTTTGTATTCTTTGTAAAATCACGTAGCAATTCAAATTTCCCTCAAATAATTCTCTTTGTATTCTTTGTGATATTTCTTGCAATGCAAGTGTCTTCATCTTATAACCTCTTCCAACGCGACAGACTTCGTCCCCCTTCCTTCTTCCTCCCTTCCAGAATTTCATCACGATTGCAGAATCAAACCATGTCATCCGTTCCCAATTTCCACCCGGTCAAGACGTCTGCTCAAGCAGGAAAAGAACTAACAACTACAAAGCAACCTTTGCCCTCTCCCNCTAGACAACTTGAGACACTGACACTAGGCTGCAAGATCAGCTTCGTTTTAGTGTTTCCCCAATATCACCTTGTTAATTCCGACGTCGAAGGAACTGCAAAGGAGATCGTGCGCAATACCCTTGCAACCACCACCTTCAAGGATTTCGAGTGCAAATATTGTAATGCCCCTCACGAATACAGACTTCCCCTATCACTGAAAGATCCGAATGACAGTGGCACCCGGAACAAGCTCTGGCATGTTGACATCGACCTTAACGCACACATCCACGACGACGAGTTTGAGGATTTGACTGAGAGATACCATGCCGTTGGTGTTCAAGTCATCAGTCGTGTCTTCAAGTTCCACAACAAGACCAACTGTCCTGGAGACAAGTTCGCTAGCCCTATCGATGGTAATTGGATCTACCACAACTATCACGAGAGACGCGCCCAACATCATTGGTCTGTCGAAATCAAAGCTGTGGACGACGCGTTGAAGGCACTGAGCATAAAGCCGAACTACAGAGTCTTGACTAATGAGTTTACAGACTTCAAGGTGTATGTCGGAAACAATCATCGTGGTGTGCATATGGATGTTGCCAGAAGTTTGTTGGCTATCTTTACTGCTTTTGAAAGACAGTTTGATACTATCAACATAACACCTAGGATCTGTGGTGGTGTAAAAGGTCAGCCTGCTCCGGTGGCCAGCAAATCTGATCTCTACTATTACTTCTCGGACGACAAGAGCACTATACAAGAAGAGGCCGGAGAGACATCCAAGCCTATGTCCAGCCTCAATATGGCTTACCTGACGCTTCAAGGCATCAACACTGGTTATGATATCAGAACCTTTNTACGCATCTTCCTCAAGGGAGATCTCAGCAGAATTCAGCTCCAGAAACTCATCGACAATGACTTGATTTCTCATCGAAACACAGTTTTGGATGTATCTCGCGTTTGGGACGATAAGCTTATTGCATACAATCGCGAATACGTGACCAAGTACTGCATGAAGAAGCCCACGATAACATTCCGTTCGCACGCCAGTACTCTTGACTCTAACGAGCAGATAGCTTGGATAGATCTATGCTGCATCCTCACTCAGCTTTGTTACGAGAAAGATCTTCGCCACATCAACAACTGGACCAGAAAGCGTTGGACTGAACCTCACAACGAGTACACCATTCTCTCTATCTTGCATCACGTTGGCGGCTACAACAACGATACCTTTACCTGGTACAAAAATGNNTCTGTCCCGATCAAAGATCCAGAATCCACAACCGAGTCGCCGCATATACCAAGTCTGACTCTAGAAATGGAAGCAGAGGTTGCCCACAGCGATCCTCTAAAATCGACTCGTGTTCCTGAAGCATTGCTAATCGGTTAAGCACGACACAAAAGGCCTGATAATGTTAGGATTAAGCATAAGCATAAGTTTGATATGGGTCTGTATGGCAAGTTTCCGAAGGATATGGTGATTGAGTTTATGAGAGATCATCATGAGAAGAAGGCGTTTCTCAAGAGTGATTGGCAGGAGCTTATACTCAAGCCGGAGTGAGATGTTGGTTAGAAGCTGGTGGAGTTGGTCATTTTCTTTTTGTGGATCTGCTGGGTCATATCTGTGTTTTTAGTTTCGATCGTAAGAATACAATAGTACTTCAACTAAGTGATGGTTGTTCCTTTCGCATTCAAGCATACTTTTTCTAGAGTAGAGATGAGTTCATGAGACTGTAGCTCTGAGAGGCTGTTGCTTCTTATGATATCTTAGGTGTGATTCAAGGTAACATGTAAGCGGTCAGGAGAGCTGTGGGTAGCAAGGCATCAGAATCCGTCTTCTGCCTTGCGTTCTAGGTACAAGTTTTCGAACTTTGACTTGACCACTAGCATGATTTTGACAGACAGCCACACTATCGCTGTGATTCTTTATTAGAGGAACGGCATCGACTTAAGCGTAGAAGCTGTCAGGGACATAGAACAAGGGAATCTGACCAGTATTTTGGCATGTCCGGAGGCTTGTGAACTGGATTCCTTGGCTGGGAGCAAACCAAGTCCATCACACTTGACCTTCCACCTAGAGACTGAACTGGCAGACATTCGGAGTTAAGGTTCGGACCTCACTAGTTGGCAGCCTAGAGAGAGGAATCATAATTGATCCAAGGTCGCTGGAAGCCAGCATAAGTTGCATCCACGGTAAACTCGAAGCGAATCAAATGGTAATCCAAGGATGGATAGACTCAAATGACCTCATCTCTATATCACGCAATCATTTGGGCATGAAAATTACTATTTAAAGGCATGTATGTAAGTATTGCTCCTTCTTCTATCAATATACGATATCTCCATCCTCTCGGCACCGGATTTTCTGAAAACGTATCGTAGTGTTCTTCAGAGCAATGCCTAATCTGCTATCTCTTCCTCAAGAGAACTCTGACACCATACTTGATACTGTCTCCGCGCGCGATATCCTGAATATACGTCTTGTCAGCCTAGTCGCAGGGGAAATTTTCAATCGACNNCGATCTGGGCGCAAATGCCTCGCGGATCTGTCTTTTGTCTGGTCTCTCTATAGCTTAGACAGATTGGTTGCTCTCAGTGCCCATAACTTGGGTTCGTACCTCAAGCGCTTTACATTTCCCACAGACATCTTTGTCGAAGATCACGACGATCCGTCTGTGCGGATGGAGGTTCTCGAAACACTTCTCGTACTGGCACTGAAGAACCTGAATCGTCAAGGTTTACAACCTACTCTACGAGTGTACCACACAAAGACGTTCTGGATACCTCTGATCGGTCGTGACGTCGATAAGGATGACTCTATCAATCAGGTGAGAGTCGGGTGTGGCTTTGACAAGAATCTCGGGTTGGCTGGAACGCGCCTATCTCGAGAAGATTTCCGCACCATCACATACCTTCTCAAAGCTGCGCATCGAGCCATGTTTCCCATCAAGACATTCTATGCTCTCTTGAACGCAGAGAGTTGCCGGGTCCGTGATTATTGGACCGAAGAGTGTGACGACCTGAATGAGCTGTTCCTATTCCAGGATCCCGGCAATCTATATCCGGACCTCGAATCCGTGATCACCATCTCACATGCCGAGGAGTTGGAATTGTCCAGAGACTTCTTAAGTTCTCAGGTTTCTTTCGATAGCAAGCATCAGAAATACGAGTGGCGTACGGTGGCATCTTACACGAGCGATTGGCTTACACCGTCTGAACTCGCCTTCAACATCTGGCCGACCCTCTACCAGCNNACATTTATGCCTATTATTGGGCGAACTCTGATGGGCGGCTATATGCTGACCCCAAAAATTGACACACGCATGCACCACCGCTTCCGAGAGATACGCATAGCCGATTGTGCCACAACACCGAATCTTTTCACGGCCTTTCTGGCCAGTCAAGCAGATACGTTGCGGGTGCTGCGTCTGGAGCGCGTCTTCATGGAAGTCAGAGGCCAAACCGGAAACAGACTTGATGATAAGGGACTGAACATCCTTACCGCCGATACAGCCCTGGACTTCCTTTCAATGCTGAAGGACGATCTGTGTCTGGAGTCTCTCGAGCTCACACAATTGATCGGTCGGCCGGATACTTGAAGGTTGATAAGTGGACACGCCGAGACATGGGAGGGAGCAGAGGAGGTTCAGGAAGGATTGCAGAGGTACACTCAGAGAGAAAGGGAGTACAAGTCTTCTATCGAAAAGTCGGTTGATGGGGACGATGAGGGACAGGGTACAGGAGAAGGAGAAGGCTGTCACTGAGTATATGAACATCGTGAATATCGAGCAGAAATTCCTAATGTTGAGATTACAGATTTTTCACGCAAGTGTAATCAATACTGGCCTGCTCTGGCCACTGTAATGTCTCCATATACCTAAGTCTGCACGATCATGGGCAATAGCAAACTGGACTCCAGAAAATAATGAGTCAACTCGCCTACCTAGGGGTCACGAGTAACACCCCATCTGCCAGCACCTAGAGTATTCTTCACCCTCATTCTGTGGTTTCCCTCACCACTCTTTGCCACAGATATCATCGATCTCAAGCCCAGTGTTTGAGATGATGTGGAAACCACACAGATTCTCCATGAAGCCCGAAAAGCACTTGATATGCATATCATTCTCTGCTCTGATGCTTTCAAGGTCTTGGTTGATATACTCGCGAACGTTTTCACCGCGGTAGCAAGCCTTGTTGAATACCTTGTCTTGGAAAAACTTGTGCAGAGTATCCGTACCGAGAGCGCAAAACATTGGATTGTTAATTTTTGCGGGGATGTGGCGGCGGAAGCCTTCGCGCTGTAAGAAAGACTGTCAGTGTATGGTGTGATGGGAGAGGTGAGTGTGCTTACGAATATCGGGTGCAGACATTGAAGCTCGACAGCGGTGTCTGGAGTGTCCTTCTTTATATAAGGAGCCGGAACGCCCGAGTAGTCACAGCAGGTATATTGCGGGGCGGCGATTTCTTCGACTTTGGTACTGGTCTTGGGAGGCTGTGCCGTGACGGTAGTTGCAGTAAGCTCGGTAATGGTCTCCTTCTCTGTGAGGGTTTTGTAGATCTGATCGACAGTCTCGGTCGAGACTTTGTTTTCGGTGACGACTGTGGTGGGTGTGCTGTGAGAAGTGACGACTTTGGTGTGGGATTCCGAGGTTGTGCTTGTGACGGTGGATCTGTCAGTGTTGCTAACCGAGTGGAGCGAAGTGGTGGAGAAGGTCAAGGTGTCATGAATGGTTTCCACATCGGTAGTCAGGTCGGTAGAGGTCACAGTGTTGGTATCAGTATCGTGGGAGGCCAGAACATGACGATGATGTGGAGAGACGACATGGGCTGAGCATCTTGAGAAGACCAAGAAGAAGAGAAGGGTGAGTTGAAGCATGTTGGACAAGATGCTGAAAAGCAGTCTGATTGTGAGGAATCTGGAAACGAAAGAAGGAGCGAAACACTTGACCCAGGAGTTTTATAGACGGTCAGACGACGACAGGGTGCAGAGAACTGACCACCTATTGTACACACAGAATTGAGTGATATACAATGATGCTTTCCGGCCTACATTGAGCCAAAGGGCGTTAATCTATTGGTCAAATGGATGGCGCCGTAAAAACATGCGCATCTTACGAATAGCCATGCTTGTGTTTCCAGGTTGTGTGAAGAGAGTCTGCAACCGAGCCATCAGGATAGACTTATTGCAGTCTGGCCACCCATCATAACAGTAGGCCGACATTCGGGCTGCGTTTTGCGACCTCTGTGCGAGAAGGTTGCTCGGTATGAGAGTCGAATGTGCAAGGTCTTGGCTGATTGAAGAAGAGAGAGGGAGAGTCGGAGCTTGGGCCAACGAAAGTCAAGTTTGGGTGCCAAGACCAAGCGGCGTCCATTTGTTTGTCCTTTCATGAGAGCGAAGACCGACAATGATGAGCGACCTCGCTGTTTCAGAACACACGGACATAGACCTCCCAAGGCAGTGTGAGAAAGCTCGGTCAAAACGAACATGGTCGAAGAGTATTCGGCTGTGTCAGAGGTAGGTGCCTTCACGGCATGCCGCAGTCCATGTCGCAGTCTCGCAGAGGCAGGAGCGTTCTGAGCAGGAGCATTCGACGATTCACAATTGCCCTCGCTGAAGCGTCTCCAAATCAAGACAGCATGAGAGCTGGGATGCACCTGCCGTTTCTCAAGATTGTTTGCTGTTGTCTCGCATGGAATGTGGCAGAGGCACGCGTCCACAGGTAAGGAATGCAGCCTCATTTCGCGCCTTCCACAAGCTGGCCATTGTTTTCTGCTCAAGAGTCAACAGTCGCACCTTCCCCTTCCTTTGACCATCTTCAAGACTGTTGCAGACACGTTGGGCTCGCCTCGTCAAACTGACTCTCACTCACACTCACAGCCAGTCAAAAACGCATCAATCATGGCGCCCAAGAAGAAATTGTTCGCAACTGTCAGCGACTACGCATCAGGCACAGAAACCGAGACCGAAATGCCTGAATCCAGCGAGCCCAAGGTTCCCAAGACCAAAAAGAGTTTATCGCTTCATACGGCACTGGCAAGAAACTTGGTAAAGCCTCCGCTTCGCCCAAGAAGACTGAGCCGCCAGCAAGCGGACGCTCGACACGCACCTCCTCAAGACAGCCACAGGCACGAGCTCCTCCGCCGACAGCAGCAACCTTAGTGTCCAAGTCCCCTGCCAAGTCACCCGTCAAGTCATCCGTCAAGTCCCCCATCAAGTCACCCGCCAAAAAGTCGCAGTCTCGAGCGCGCACCAGAGGCCATCCTCTGGCTCCGCCGCCCGCTCCTGCCGATCAGCCAAAGACCACGACCCGCCGTGCCCGTACCGTCTCGCCAGCCAAGCGTCTGATCGCAGACTCTCCACCACCCGAGGACCGCATGAACCCCTTCCCTCCCAAGCCTGAGCCTATGACCGTCACCGACAAGCCCGCCGTTCGCAACCGCTACGGCGAAAAGGTCGTGGCTCCTGTCGATATCAAGCAAAAGATGCGTCAAGCAATCAACTTCCTGTCCGACGATGGCGTCGAGAACCTGGCAGACTTTGAAGAGAAGCTGGAGAGGATTGAGGCCTGGCTGGACAAGAATCACCCCCAGATGGATGGCATCATCGCAGACGGCGAAGACGACACCGAGATGCTCTGCCGTAGGGTTCGCTACATGATCTGGGTCCACCAGAACCGCATCGAAGAGGGTGCCGAACAGTGGTTCACCCGCGACCAGTTCCCCAACAGCCAGTCCATGTACAAGCCCGTCAAGCCCAGAAAGGGTGACCTATGGCGTCTGCACGCAGACTTCACCACAACCGGCAAGCCCGTGAATCCCAAGGATCAGGTCATGCAGGCCCAGGACAGGGACCGCTTCGTGGAGGCCCGCGCCGAAAAGACTGCTGCCGCCAAAGCCAGTCCAAAGAAGACGGTTGCTGCTGCCGCTGCTGCTGCTCCCAGACGACCCGAGCTGCCTCACCCAGAGATCTGGCACCGCAAGGAGGCTGCGCGCTTCCCCTACGGCGAGACTCCCTACATGGAGCAAGTCATGAGCAGACAGATAACAGCTGATCTGGCTCGTGGTAAGTCACGACATCTCTCTTTGATCGCAACAGCCACTGACTCGTATCCACAGGCAGAGAAGCCAAAGACGCCCTTGAAGGCGGCAACTACTACGCTCTCAAGAAAGTTCTCGGAGACATCAAGAACTACATCCTCCCTGCAGCCCCACCTGCAGCTCCCTTTGACCCCTGGAAACTGTCTCAAGTCGCCTACGAGGACGTTCTGGATGCCGATCAGTGGATGAACGTCCTCAGCAAGAAGGAGACGACTGGCACCAAGAGAAAGGCTGCATCCAGTAGAAGCCGCTCGCCTGCCAAGCGTACCAAGAGTGACAATTGGCCTCTGACGGGTTGATTGCAGAGAAAAGCATGTGCAGTGGGGTTTCATCGTTTTCATTTATTGTATCTCTGATCATCTCATAATGTTTGTTTTCCTTTTTCACTTCATCTTTCACTTCATCTGCACCACTTTTCACGTTCATGCATCGGGGAGGCCATGTAAGCCTGGGTCATGGGCTGCTCGCACTACATGGGGTACGCGACGCTCGGCTGTAATCTCTTCTTTTCCAAACCACAAGATACCTCTTCCAAAGACAACGATACATTTTACATGAGCCCCCGGGCAACAAAGCGATGTAAGCTTGGAACATTATTCAAGTGTGTTGATTGAATGTGTTGGCGGTGTCCAGACCAACAACTCTGAAAGTGGGTGAACGCCATCGAATTCCATTTCCGGCCATCAATGTAAAATTCGAACATGTCCAACTCTCACTTCATTTTCATTGTCCAGACTTCCGCATGCGGTGATTGAACTTCTTTGTCGCCTCGCAACAATCAACTCCTTCACCATGATAACCAGAGCACACCTCTCAGCGAGCCGCCATGCCAGAAGCAAACACCAAACACCACATCCTCAACGCAATCATGTCGAGCGAGCCCTCGTCACCCGCCTTTGTGGATCAAACAGCACCTCTCCGTCAAGAAATCAAGAGCCTCAAAGACAAACTCGATGAAGTAAACTCCAACTTCGCCTACTATGAAGAGTCTAATGAAAGGCTGGAAAAGCAAGTCGTAGACCAGACAACCGCACTCGATCTCAAAGACTCGGTCATCACAAGATTGAAAGAGCATATTGCAACACACGAAAAGGAACATGACGAAACACACCAAGAGAATGTGAAACTACGCCGTGAGTCTCTGGATCTGGAGAACTTGGTCAAGGCCAATGAGAAGGAGCTCAAGGGTGTTGCTGAGTTGGAAAAGACCATCGAGGACCGCGAGGCAGAAGTTAGACACTACACTGCCGAGTTGACCTCCACACGCACCGAACGCGACGACAAAGTCACAGAAGTCAGAGGATTGGAAGGAGATATCGCAAGACTTTACCATGAGCTGGAAGTCCGCGATCAAGAAGTCGAAGCCCTGCACCAGAAACTTGAGATTTATGAACGCCATATCAACATCAGCAAAGACCTTCTTGTTGAAGATTTGGATGATGCACTCTATGGGTTCATGGAGAAGTGGTCTGCCATGCAAGCCGATGGACCTTCTCCAACCAGAAAACCCAAGCGAGCTTCCATCGGTGGCATGAATCTTGCCGACGAGTTTGATGCCCTCAGTGATGAAAACTATGATTCTGAGGAAGGTGGATATGAGTCTGATCGACGCAGTATACGCAGCTTCGAATCGATAAAAACAAGGAAGAAGAAGGCTGTTCTGGGTTTGTCGGAGATCAAATCTGTGGCTATTCATCCTTCGATCAAGAAGCCTGTTACCATGACTTCTGCTGGTACTCAGATGAGTCCTAAGCCTATCCCACAAAATGCCAGCAGTGGAACTCAGACTACACCTGTTGCATCACCGAAGAAGTCCTTCTCGGAAGTCATCAGCAGTGGAGTATCGACAAGCCCCATTGCTGCTCCGGAGNAAGCAAAGAAGTCGTTTTCCGAGGTCATAAGCAATGGAGTTTCGACCAGCCCGATTGCTACTTTGATCCAGAAGTTCACTCCTGCTATGGTCAGTTCTGCTGCTCAGACGAGTCCTGAGTCGAGAAAGTCTTTCTCTGAAGTCTTGAGCAAAGGGGTCTCAACGGATCCGGTCACTGCGGCCCAGTCTCCTCGCAAGTCTTTCTCCGAAATCATCAGCGATGGAATCTCGACGAGTCCAGTTGCCGCTCCTTCAACCAAGACCGCACCATCTTTGGAGTCTTTCACCTTCTCAGACGTCGCCAGCAATCGTGTTCAGTCGAGCCCAATTGCTCCTTCCCCGAGCACTGCAGTCCACTCTCCAAAGACTACAACCGTTGGAGTGCAGACAAGTCCCGCAGTTCCTTCACCTCTCAAGGCCTTCTCAGAGGTTATCAGCAGTGGAGTCAGCACAAGCCCTATCACTCCTCCTCCACAAACAGTAGTTTCTTCGCCAACCAGTGTACCTCTCCCACCAAGTCCAGCCACCAACTCTCCTGTCTTTGTCGAGTCGCCAAAGTCTCCTCTGTTCAAGGGAGTCAGTGAAGAAGAGATTGAGCTAAGCGAGACTCTGCCTATTCAACCCGGCAAACCAGTAAGAATCAACACCCTCAACATCAAGCGTCCTCGTGTACCTACCAAAGACATGTCACCGCAGACACTGAAGCACTACAAAGCCGTCACTGCTGCCTCAACTTCTGCCCTTGCCCAACCTCCATNNCCCCCTTCTTCCTCACCTTCGCCGCCGAACTCCACTTCCTCTATTCGTATGGCCGCGNCCTACCGCCACACCATCTTCCTGTCGTTTTTGGTCTCGTGGTTTGCTTCCTATCTGGCTAGTAGTATGGCATTGAGTGCGGCTGAGTGGTCGTGGGCTAATGCTAACGGGTGTACGCCGGAGAATAAGGCGATATTTGTGTTGGGGAGGGTGCCGGGGCGGGTGGTTGCTGGCTTGTTGGGGCTTTTGGGGTGGGTTTGGTGTTCGTTGTTTGGGCATTGGGGGTTGGGTGCTTTGAGGTTACCGCTTTCTCCTGGATGAGGAGGTTTCAGGGAAGCAAAGGAGGAGGAAAGAAGTGGAATGGTGAGAGTGGTGGCATTTTTTGTATCTAGACTTGTTTTTTTTTTCTTTCCTGTTATTTCAGGGGCTTGTACTTACTTTCTTGTGCTTTTTTTGTGTTTTTTTTCGGATTGTGAGTTGATCAAGAAGATCTTACCCGGGGTGACCACCGCAACCAGTGTTCTTTGTGCTAACCATCAAGCTCTAGCGACGCCACCAGATCCGGAAGAAAACGCAGATAGTTTTCTTTGTCACTTTTCTTGCCCAATCAATGGAACAGACATTTCCCTGTCAAGGCTTCTACTCCGCGTGTTCTTGTCCTTCACATCTATGGATAGTCTTACTTTCCCAGTGCCTTCTTACCTCTTCCAAATCCTGGCCACCAAAATACCATCTCCACCATGGCCGCCGATCTCAGGTTCCTGAGATTATGCATGCGAACGCTTTCTCTCTATCTCTCTGTCCTCGCAGTCCAAAGGTTTTACGATGCATACGGCATCAACTTCCTACATACCGCAACATCCGAGATTAACGACATTGCAAGCTTCTTACGTCAAGGATACGTAAGCACATCCCCCTCCTCCCTGTTCCCTCTTCCTATGCAAGCACTATGAGTGAATCTTCACTCACACTCCATCAACACAGCAAACCACACACGACCACATCACCACCTACATCTCCCTCCTCTACCACCACCGTTACACCCTCGCCGCTATAATCTACAACATCCTCTACTTTACTCTCCGCTGTCTTTGTATTGGTCTTGGAAGCTTTATCATTCTCGAATGCATGATTGTTTTCTTTTACCTGCAGAGACTGGTACTAGGAATTGTGAATCAGGGTGTTGGAGCTGATCCTGGTTGGGTTTTGGCGATGATGACGAGTTTTGTGGTTTTGGAGAGGGGGTATAGGGATTTGAGGAAGTAGAGGGTTGGGGAGGGGCTTGTGTATATAGAGGAGGAATTGTTTTGCTTTGAATTTTTCGTCGAGATGATGGGTACAAGGAAGTGGTATAGCCTCTACGAGCAAAGTGGATAGTACAAAGAAAATCAAAAAGTGTTTATGTCCAGATCCGGTAACAGACTTTACAATTCCTTTGTCCTCATCCACCTTCCACATCCTAACACCAATTTTACATCCTCTACCCAAACACCTCTCCACCAAGAAGATAGAGATTAGAAGTCTTGCGGGTACGTGTGTGGAGACGCCTGAGGGGACGCCGATGAAGCAGACGTTCGAAGCTGCAGAAGAGGAAGAGAAATGAAGGCAGCCAAGGACTCCGACACAGCAGAGCGAAAGTGGGAGTGAGAGGGTTGATAGCGTTATGAGGGGGCAAGGGGTTTCTACTGCTAGGACTTCTGGTACGCCGCCAGAGTTCAGAGTGGCTTATACTCGAGAGTCATGAAGGCGATGAAGACGATGGTTTTGCTGTTTTGGGTATGGAGGATGGATGATGTTAAGGCAAGTCTTTTGGTCTGTGTGGTTGGTTATAGCGTACACTACCAAAAGGTCCCGTCGTTCTTCCCTTCGAGAGCCGGGATATCAATATCAAATTGTACGAACTTCACATAGCACCAAAGCTCCCTCCCAACAGAAACAACTCATTCCTCCATTGCTGAATACCATGAAAATTCCTTCTGTCGGCTTTTCTCCTTCGCTCTTGCACAGAACTCATATCACCTAGGAATTCCAAAGACAGGGTTGTGTCAACGAAATCAAAGGATTCTGGTTGTATACGTCCTTCTAGCGTAGATATCTGTAGACGGTTATAGTTGATGTAATCTGTGATTGAAGTTGTAGAGAGTGTCTGTATGGAGATCACCGTAGCTGCCTACCGGACCTACGATGTGCTTTCTGCGGTACACGAACATCTCATTCTGAGCGAATAGAAAAGCCAAAGATACTGAAACTATACATAGTCTATTTACTAACAAGATGTTGAATCTCTGAAAACCTTGAGAATAACAAAACTTCTAGGTACAAGTTCGAAACAAATTCCGAAACCATCAACATATGTTAATGTCGATCGAGAAGAACGACACTAGACACAGGAGCAGGCATACATCATGCGATTCCAGCAGTCTTAAAATATCTTCAATTCTGTCGTTGGCCTCCTGAAGACCCAGCGTTGACGAAGATGCTTTGTCCCTCGTTCATTCATCATCGTGCCGTTATCAGGGCGAACTCTTCCATACGCCTTCTATCAGTCACCTTCTTCAATACCGAAGGAGTCATGGGAGTACTTGCATGGTGAGTGGTAAAACTTTTGAGCCAAGCTTCAGATCAGGTTTTCTCATGCGGCAGAGGCGAGCCCAACAGCGGATCCCACTGCGGCTCCCAAAGCGGCGAAGGATCCAACTCCATGAAGTGCACTGAACAGTCCTTCTCAAAAGTCCATCGTTCGCGTTTAGAGTCCGACACGCTCTTTCTGAAGAACGAAGATGCCTGCAACTGCTCTTCCGCATGACTTTCCCAATTATCGTAGTTGGTCCGATAGCCAGATACATTGGTCTGAATCCATTGGAGAAGCTCGATCTCACTCATGTGCAAGTCCTTGGAAGCACATAGTGCAATGCCGATGAGATTCTCAAACGATACTTCGGGACGTATTCTTTGGGGGAAGGCAGCATCCATACCACTGTGGACTTCATATCGTACCAATCTCGACCTAGCATCTGCTCTCAGAGTCACTGCCTTTGTGATGGCATTTTGGCAGAGTGCAAATTGGATAGGATTGTTCCTCGGTCTCATCTGGTCCGGTCGGTGGGTCGTGAAGCACGGAGAAGCTTCAATGATGACCTTCAGACTGTTCAGCACGCGCTCATCTTGAGCATCAAATTCGCATCTCGGGAAGATGCCGAGCAACCAATCTCTGACGAGGTTGCCAAGCTGTCTGAAGTTCGAGGAGTAGTCGGGTGCCTCGAGCATCACCATGTAGACGAGGCCTTTCAACAGCCTATGGAGGTCTCCTGGAAATTTGTCTTCATGCTGGCTCGTGGTAACGTGTAAGCTCTCACCACTGCCCTGTCTACTCTTGGGAGCAGTCAGAGATATATCGGAATGGGAGGTAGCCGGTTGTGTCAAGTCGGGATCGAATATTCGGTTATGCAATTCCAAATTCAAATGAAACTTGGTCTTCTGTCTTTTGTCAGTCAGCGCCTCCCCTGGCTTGGGCTCTTTGCCGCACTTCTTGCCAGCAGTTTGTGCTAAGGGTTTGACGGTGGGCTCGAACTCGACAGCCTTACTCATGACAATGCTGAAACTGGCCTGTTTAACAAAACCAGACGCTTCGCACACGTTGTGAGAAGGGACCACTTGACTCAGAACATTAATTGTACTCCCTGTGGCAATCTGGCAACCATGAGTCTGTGGTATTCCAGTGTCTGCTGGTATTCTCTGTTTGAGTTGAGAGTTTCCAGCGGATCTGTAGCGCGGCATCTCTGGGTTCAGGTCCGTCTTCTGTCTCTTGTCATCTGACTTCTTCCTTGGTCTGGACTTCTTAGCTCGCTTTCTCCCACGAGTTTGTGCCAAAGCCTCGGAGAGATTGCATGATATGCAGTCTTGATTGTGTTGGTGAGGAAGAGCAACGAATCCTGAAGTGCCGCAGGCAGCGTACCGAACAGAGTGAAGCATCTTTCTGGCGTTTTGGGTAGCCACTTCTACGCCCTGCGTGTTGCTCGTAGTCTTTTTGGATGTGATCTGCGTCGGGATCTGGGCATTCTCACTGTTTTGCAATGTCCGGCTTCTCACTGCGAGCTTACGCGAAGGTGCTTCAATTGAGACGTATGCTTCTTGCCTTGGCCGTGATGGCGCCGGCATGTCGTCTTCTTCGGGACAAATCTTCTTGGACGGGAGGACAGTTATGCAGTCCTCTGCATCTGAGTCGGAGTCGGAGTTTGAGCCTGAGCCTGTGTCTGAGTCTGGGCCCGAGCCTGAGTCTGAGCCTGAACCTGAATTTGAGGTCCAGCCCGAGTCCCGGGTCGTGTCAGGGCTATAGACAGGGGCCTCATCGTCAGTAGATCCCGTGGTAGAAGATTTGGAAGAAGACGTAGACCAGGGGGTGAGTTTCCAAGCAGACTTGTCAATCACTGGGATCTCAACTGCGACAAGTCGGAGAGCAGGTCTTGGCTTGGCGGAACTTTCTTTGGTGACAATGCTCAATGCTGCCTTCGCAGAGTTTCTGGCCACCTTCAAGCGTGTAATGCGCTTGTTTTCTGGCTGTTTGGCTGCCCTCGACCTGGCCATATGGCGTGGACCATGAGGCACAGCGTCCTCATCTTCGGTCTCGGTCTCTGTAGCAGACTGGCTGTAATGAGAGACCGGAGAGGCGGGAGACGAGACTTCGACATCTGATGTCTCGTCTTCTTCGAAGATCTTTTCGTAGCACTCCTGTGGATCTGAAGAGCTCTCTATTGTTTGTTGGATGTTGCTCGGTTCATCTCCTTCGTGGAGTTCCCATGGTTCTCCAAGTTCTTCTGAAGGCAATCTTCTGCTTTCCTCGCCGATAGCAGTGTTAAGGTCATCCACAGACTCTGTTTCGTAATGGTCTCGTTCCCTCACGACCTTCACTTCAACGCAAGCAGTCTGGGTGGACGAAGAATTGACTGCGAAGATACTGGAAGCTGGACAAACTGCTAGAGCAGTGGCCTTCTCTTTGCCCTTGTTAAAATTCCTCAAGTCGACGTCGTTCGAGTATTGCGCAAGGTCGACCTGTGTCGATGCGTCTGCGTACGATCTCCGGATCCATGCCTTGCAATCTGGGTTGTCGTGATGCTTCTCTAAACAACCAACCTTGTGAGTCAATCTCGGGCAATCCACGAGTTTGTGCTTCCAATCCTTGGGAAGGCCAGGTATTTCGCTGCAACAGCCGCAATGTTCTTTCGCGGTCCAAGATCTTTGCTTCAGTCTGAATGCCCACTTGTTACGAAGCTTGTTCTGTTCGCGATAATGACATGTCTGCTTGCGATGCCCGAAACTGCGGCAGATCCAACAAACCTCCTCTTTTCGTTGTTCGGAACAATTCTCGTAAACGTGGCCAAGCTGTGTACAATTGGTACAGTGATCATTGTGTGTGTGACCGAGCTCTCTACAGTGTCTGCAGTGATCTTGAGAAGAGTGGCCGACTTCTGCACATACGTAGCAGTGTTTTTCCGTCTTGCAGAAGATTGTATCGCAGACATCACAGTGATCTTTCTTCTCGTGGTCCCACGAACTCGCACCAATCGACTTACACCGGGTGCAGTGTTGATCGGCATGATGCCCTCTCAAGTCGCACTCATCACAGTAGACATTGACACATCGGCCAATGACGCAGAGACCAACCAGATCACACTGCCTGCAGTGGTCATAGGGTTGATGCCCAACAGCGTCGCACTGACTACAGTGGTTAGAGGCAGAATGGCCAGTAGACATGCAACGACGGCAGTGATTCTCAAAAGTATGACCCTCGACATGGCAATGTGTACAGATCAAGGTGTTCCATCTGTGTATCGTTGGGGTAGGCTGGCAGCTGTCATAGCGGTTCTTGGGGCCTGGAGGTGACTCCTGCCTGGAAGCTGCAATTGCAGGCTGAAGAACGTCGGGCAACGATGGGGTGGGAAATGTAGGACCAGAAGTTGCAACATAGCTCTCTAGTCCCCGAGGTAGAAGTTGATGCTGCGAGACTTCTGGCAGGTACTCTGTGATTGCCACTGTAGGTTGCGATTCAAGCAGAGAGGCCAGGACTTCTTCATCGTCCGCAACGACTATGGGATTCGGGGCTGATCCCAAGGGTTCGTCATAAGAGGCGATTTCACGGTTTGGAGTGAAGCCTGACGGATTGACTCGAGTTCTGGTCTGGTTCTGCTCGGGTGAGTACAGCGAAAGAGCCGCCAAGGACGATCGGGCGAACCTTATGAGGGTACGTTTGTGAAGGGCCAGCCATGACCCTGACTTAGGACAGACTAAGTAACGTTGTCTTCTTGGTGAGGCGGTGCTTGGCGAGTTCCAACAAGTCAAAGACAGTCAAAGAAGTCGAGTTAGAAAATTTTGGAGAATTGGCTCGTGCGGTTAATATATGGAAGGCTGAGCGTCAAAGATGATCGTCATAGCTGGTTTAAAAGACGACATGGCTGTTCTTGCTAAACGTGTGCCCCAGAACCTGCGGGTATGACAGTATTAGTTGTGGCATATAACGTTGATGGGACTTGATGTTGTCTCCAGTCGTGTTCACACGGCGTCTTGCATCTCTGCATCTCGATCGCTGGGACGAATCAAGTGCACATTGCCAGAAGCATACTGGACGATGTCGCTGTTCGCAATGGAGAGCAAGGAGCGAGATAAAGGAGTATCAAGAAGCAGAGCAAGAAGCAGAGTAGAAAATGTACGATGCAGATTTGAAGGATGGTTTTGATAGAAATGCTGCCTCGAAATCATGCTGAACTGGTCAGCGGCAGGACGAAGTCAACTCGCGCGACTGCCGTGTCTGCCAGTGTGTCAGTAAGAGGCGTGTAGGATAGTTGTTGTGATGGTGAGGAAAGAGTCATGGACAAGAAGCGATGGCTGTCGAAATAGACTTTCTGTCAAGGTTCCTCGGCCAAGACATAGGCTTCTCCAGCGAAAGTCGATTCCTCAGGACATGCACAAGATGAGCAGAGAAGGATGCAATAGTCGCAAGCAAACACAAAGACTCCAGACTTGATTAGAATTATGTGGTGGGTATCAATGGAAAATGTCAAAATTGGACCGTCTGCGGCTCACTCATCTCGCACGTCCGTACTCAATGTCCGGAGTGTTACCTCTTTCTTTTGTCGCAAAATTATGGGACGCAGGCAACGGAGGGACTGGCACATCGGTGACGGTCATTCTATCCTTTTCTCGGACTCTTGGTAGACTCGTCCTGCTGGCTTGATTGCTGGATGCTTTGCCAATTGTGGGAGGTGTGACGGAGAGGGCGGGTATCGAATGGCGGGTGATGCCCGAGTTGAAGGGGGCGTTTGCAACATCTTGACGGCGGCGATGACGGCGGCGTAGAAGAACGAGGATTACGGTAAGGATGCCCAGTCCGACAAATACGACAATGAGCATGACGATCCACTTCCAATGGTCTGTCCACNNCTGGAGCTGGGTTAGTCGTAGTCGCTTCAACAAGGACTTGTCAACTTACCAGTCGTGTTGGGGGTCTGCATTCTTGGACGGGCTTGTGCCTTGGGAGCTGCTGGAGCTTGCTGCAGTGGACGTGGATGCTGATGAAGCTACCGTGGAAACAGGCGTCGTGCTTGTCGAGTCTGTTGTAGTGCCGGCACTGACTCTGGCAGCAGCAGCGACACCGTTGTCGGCGCAGTTGGACTGGTACCACGAAGCAATCTTGGCCACATCGGCGGCTTCACACACGTCGGAGCAGATGGTGGAGCCGGCAGCTTTGAGGGTGGTGAGGTAGCCAGACTGGCAGAAACACGACTCGTAGATGACGGCGTCGGTGACTGGAGCGGCCGGAGGAATGCAGCCGGTTTGGGCATTCTGGAGGACGGTGCATTGCTGAGCACACGAAGGGAGAGCTGTGTCGCTGTATACGAGGAGTTGCTGGGCAGAGACTGCCGCCGCCAGCGATGCGACAATGGCGAAGAGACGCATGACGGATGGGGGACGTTTGGTCGAGGGTAATCTGCGACGAGAAGAGGCTGTCAGCAGAGAGGACAACACAAGACAAGAAGAAGGCACGCTTACAGGGCAGTCGCGACTGCAAGAAGCGTCGTCCGCGCAAAGGTCAATCGACGAGGGAAGGAGCTCTTCTCTTGGGCAAAGATGTTGCTGCTGATAAGACGAAGGGCCTCAGGAATGTACCATGAAACGTTTCACCTTGAGGGCTCTTGAAAAAGTAGTCGTGGTCGAGCAGCGAAGGCGGCTGTATTGATAGTCACTCAACAGTGGCTCAAGGTTCAAGCCAGTCAGACCATCCCCTCCCTTCTCTACGTGTATACAAGTAACTGAGATCCGCGAGAGGGGGAAGGAGCCACGCCCGCATGCAGCCGAGCACTTGCCGCTTTCGTCTGTGCACCTTCTGCTCTTGCTGCAAGGCGACGGCGAGGTTGCATGTCCATCGCAGCAGCAAACACAAACTAGAGGGAAGCAGCAAGCAGTCGCGACAAGCTTTACAGAGCAGACCGACTCCAAGACATGCAGCGTTTAGAGTGTCGGCCCGTTGTCTGTCAAAGTAAACCATCATGATGCTGTGCTTGGCAGCGTGCTTGCAGTGCCAAGCCTCACTCTGTCACTCCTCTCTCTCTCGTAGTCCATCCATCTGTTCATCGCAAGCAACCATGCTCTCCCTTTTCTCCCTGACATCGCGCTTCTTCCGGCCACCCCCATGGACAAGCACGGCGCATTCGCTCTTGTCACTAGGACGTGTGGCTCATTCGACCAATCAAGACAGCAAGCTTGACCAAGAATCCCTGCTTGCTCTCAAGCAACAAGATCCTCTAGCCTACAGAAGATGGCGCTATCATAACGACAAGGAATTCCGCGAGGCAGACCTAAAGAGGAGGAGGAAACCTGCCATCAGGGAGCAGCAGAAGGTTCAGACTCGTAAACATGATAAAACACCTGCGAAACAACAGTATTTGCGCGAATACAACGCTCGCAAATGGCGTGAGGATCTCTCCGGTCGACGCTCCATTTCACTCTTCAAATTCTTGCAAAACTCCAGATGGTCTAGAGAAGGCTGGACTTGGAAGCTGCACGAGCCCGTCATTACTCCTGACCGCGTCGACCGCCATTGCACAGCTTGTCAGAGAGATCGCTTCCTCAAAGTCTGGTGGGCCACAAAGGCTGAGCCCATCACTTATGTGTGCAACCCCTGCTTTGCCAATGACTTTGACATTGTAGTACCAGAGGGCCAACACAAGTGGCTCCCTGGAATCTTCTCTTCTCCCCATTTACCATCACCTCCATCTGCCAAGAAATGATCAATTAACTACATACATGCGAATACTCGCAATCGCAGCCAATCCTCTCCGCCGGCTTGATCCTCCGCATGGTCAACGAATATCGGTCCTGCCTCGCGACTAACCTCGAGCCCTCTTGATCATGTTTCCTCCCCTTGATCCCATGCGTATAGCCATACCGGGACGGCCCTCTCATCACTAACAACGACCTCGCTGGCAGTTCCAACTCCCACTCTTCCGTCTTTTCGTCAATCACTTCGGCAGGAGATGAAGGCGGCTGCGGAGGTTCCTCACTGCCTCCACCGAGCGATCGCTTCGGGAGGCGCAACCGTCTCGACTCCTTCTCTCCGCACAGCTTAAACTCCATGCGTGTTGAACCGCCGAAACTGAGGCTGTAGATGGTCTCTTCGAAAGCTGAATGGGTGTCCACGTGTGGAGGAATCCCGGTGCCCGGCGGGTAGTGCTGCAATGTGTACTGATCAGGGATATCCTTATCATCTCTGGCAGGCAAGCGACTCAGCAAGCGCGTGAGGTAATCAGGCGGCGGCGTGCTGGCCGATTTGGACACGGCAAAGGTGGTATAGTCAAAGTGCGGGCCGTAATGCACCGCTCCTCGTTTCAACGCGCGGCCATCGCGTGAGGCCGTCGCAATGTGGTATTCGCGTATCATCTCGTCCTCTTCCTCTTTCGTGATGAACTCGTGCATCAGAATCAAGCCGTTGGAAAACTCTTGTATCGGTGGAGCGGTGGAGAGAAGCGTCGGCGGAGGGTGGTTTGGTCGGATCTTCGTCATGATAGTCTCTACCATGGTCGGCGCAGCATACGCAAAGATAGCCTTCGACTCCTCTTCAAACGCAGCCCTCGTATGGTCGGGCGACTCATACTCAATCAGAGCATACGGCTTTCCATATCACACTTAGTCGTCAGCCTTCCATCTCTTCTCTGCTTTCCACTTACCTTTGCCAATAATTCTACGACTTGCACAGGCGCACCAGGCAGGTTTTCTCGTGCAGTGATGCCTGAGCGTGCACGAGCTGCCATGTCGCCGGCATTCAGCAGCCACAACCATTTTGTGTGCTCTCCTGCTGCGGCTTCGAGGTCTGTGATGGGCACCTTCTCCATTGTGGAGATTGTGGACAGGTAGCGCGAACGTGCATTTTGGGGTTGCGCCTTCATGCTTGCTGTTCTGGACCTGAATAGGTAATGTGCGGTGCGCTTCTTTGGTTGCTTGGTGCAGACATTCTTAGGAGCGTGCAAGCCTGGCGGAAGTCGCGGAAGCGAAAAACGTGTCCCGAGCGGCCATAAGTCTTGTACAGCTTCTCTTCTTCCACGTCGGCAATGACTATACCAACTTCTATCCTCTTGCAAGTTCCGTCCATGTGCAAGGCTGCAGTATCACTCCTGTAACACTCATACCAGGTGCCGTTTTGGCAAGAAATAAACAATTCATGGCCATGTCTAGAATATTCTGTGCTTTTGCATCCAAATCTCACCCATCTCTCAAAATTCCATGTCTCAGAACACATTATCAAGCACCGTACTCCATCACACGCAGCAATCTTCTTCAGATCCATCTCAAACAGTCACCCAATATCCAAAAGTACTTCCAACAGATTTTCATCAGGAAATCATAACGTCGTCGCTATTCCGAAGCACATTTATCTCAAATCTGCTTGTCGAGGGTCACACCCTGCCTATTGGAGTACAACAAGCATGGGATCAGCTTGGCAAACTCGGACCTCGGTTATCAGACTCCGATGAGGGGTATGACGTGGATGTATTGGCTTGGCGATTGACTCGGGGGTCTCCTATCTTTGTTGTGATTGTGTTCTGTCCATCTCCTTCTTCTCTTCTCTTCTACATCTCACATTCTTCCGAGTGCCTTCGCAGAGGTTTGGATGATGGCGCTCAGTGCGCCGTGGTGGGAAAGACCCTTTGGATGAACTGCCGCTCTGCCCTTGCAATCGAGAGCGATGCATCTGCTTCAGAGAACTTGATCGATGTGGCTTTGAAAATCAGCGTTGTGACCGACGTTGCCGTTGACCCTGAGCGAGAATGAGATGCGGCCGAGGACCAGAGCGATGAAGGGTATCGCGAGCTGTACTGAACGCACCCGTAAAGGGAGGTGACCTTTGACAGTACTCGATGCCCGACCCATGAGTACATGACCTACTTGCGAAGCCAACACAAGCTCGAACGCCGCCTGAACACGACCCGTTACCTACGACGTGATACCGAAACACAAGTATAGCGACCGGGTGTCCGACGGACACCCGTCGCGTTGACCTTGTCGATCGAAGCCCTCATCGCAGCGATACCGCATAGCAGCGCCTGAGTAAAGCTGCCATAGATTAGCTGGAACTGCCTATGGCTGAGTGAGAACGAAGAACAAGAAGATGGACAAGGACGTTTCGAACACACATGCCCTTGTGGCGCCAACGGAGTCTGAGCACAGAGTTGAAGGATGAGTCGACTTGGTCGTCACCTTTTGGGATAAGTATTGTTGCCGACGCATTGCATCTGAATGCTGGTTCCGATTTTTTTGTTACCGAAACCTTTCGCGTATGTTGCCCTCAGGTTTGCTTTACTATTGTGTTGAGCTCAAGTTTCGAGCAAGAGAATACCCAACACCATGTGTGAAAGACAGTGCGCCTGAATGTATCGACGACCTTCAAATTCCTAGTCACAGTGCCGACACATTTGTCTGATTCATTCTACGAATCCTTGTTACGCTTAGCAAGTAGCTCTCGACCCTTGCCCTAATGGCCACCACGATCTACGCCGAATATTCTAACCTAAGCGTGACCATCGAGAGAACATTAGCTACAAAACACGTCTCTGGTGGCGCTGGACAGTTATGTGGAATCTTGGTCCCGACATGACTTGCTCTATGGACCAGCATCGTCAACGACGACAACATCAACCAATCTCAGGAACGCATTTTCAACGACATGCGCCCGTACGAATCGACCTTTTTGTGTTATTTGGGAGGATTCCCCGACTCATTGCATCGGATTTTCTATCGTTGACATTTCTGGTGGTTATCATTCACGTTCGCAGCCACATCTCATCAAACGAGCAACCAGAAGAATCATTTCTGTATGATAAGAATATGATCCGTCAAATTAGAAAACCAAGCACATACGGCCACAGTCAGCTGAAAACTGGGCATCCCGTCCGCTCTGCCATACATAAGCAGTTGAACGGCAGATTAGTACTACGGTGGGTGACCACGTGGGAATCCCTGCTGCTGTATGTTTTTGAGATTTTTCTCGTTCTCTTCTGTCTATAAATTTCTTCGCTGCGAAAGAGAAACAGCTCGTTGTTTTGGGGTTGGCTTTTTGCGTGTGATGGGAAGGAGCGATCGGCGCTATGTGAATACAATATACTTCTGTTGACATCGGTCTTGATCGCAGCAACAACAACACCTGAACCACTGAGTCAGCCATCCCACCACCGAAGACTCTGCATAGTTCCTGGCATCGGCATTTCGTCGCACTCATGCTATTGACAACAACTCCTTGGACCATCGACTTATCAACCAGACATTATACAACCACTCGCAACGCAGACAGGGCCTCGACAAACCTCAGACGACAAGACGAACGAAAGAATTATACTCAGGTCGATTTTGACAAACAACAATATGTCTTACACAACCATGGAGTGTGTTCCGTCCTCTAGTGCCAGGTACTCCGTCGACAACCATTAACCTCAAGCACTTCATCCTACTCGAGACTATACAGCTTCGATTCCTTGAGCCTTCGACAAACTTTGAGCGACAAGACAAGAGAAACGACTATACTTATGTGGGTTCGACAGACGGTAATAAGATCACGTTCCTCTTGAGGACGCTGTCCACTATCTCTCTTGAGGCTCATTTTCTACGACTCACAGATGGCTGCTATGCTTACTTCTACAATTACTGCGTCGGGCAAGACGGCCAGTCTCTGCAAGCTTCGAAACTTGGACACAACACTGGCCCATCATGAGTGCTGACGAAAGATGCTCGATCTCGAAGTTGAAGTACCAGCAAATGAATTCAGGCGTATATTGCTTCCAACAGCTCAAATGATTATGAAGAAGACGGCAACGTCGATAAGCCACCAAGCTTCCAGCACACCACCACATATACACTACCGGCCCTTGGTATCCATCTACCGAGCAACACAGCGTTCTAGACCCTATCTTCCTCTAGCAGCACCTTAGGGCATATCCGATGGCGTCGGCGTTAGGGAGACACATGCCACGTGTGAGTATTACTTTGCTCGTCTTCCTCTCATGTCCTCAATTCCTACCATGATCTACCAGTTCCACCCGTTCTTCCTTCCGATTCCTGATCACTGCCATCAGAATCTTGGAGATCGGCCACCAGAAATACAGATCGACAATCGGACATCTTGCCGCAGGAGGCTCATCTCGATGTTGAAGAGACAACAACAATCCCTGGCTTGCAGATCCTTCAACTCAAAAATTTGTAATTCTGCAAGAAGTCGTCAATCTCGGCTTGTACACTTTGACGGTAAAGCGGAAAGATGGCAGTGGCAACGAACACTGACCAGCAGTGACATACTGTTGCTGACGAAGCCTATCGATGGTGTGTTGGCTTTCGTAACAGTGGAGACCTTTTCGATGGTGAAGATGGTGGTGGAAGTCATCGAACGGCAGGCAAGACCTCGAGAGATGAGCATGGGCGAAGCTCCGAATCATCTTCTATTCGTGCCTGACGATCACGTCTAGAGACACTACAAACAAGAACTACGACTTTGAGTCGTATTCACTTTACAGCTACCCATACATTTCCAAACGCCGCATTCCCAGGAGAAACGCTATCTCTGAAAACCTCAACACATCTCCACCCAATCCTATCGCACAGTTGAACTGCATCTACAATCTCTTATTGATTTGCAACCTTTATTCAAAAGGTAACCACAAGACTATGCTATACGCATTCCTGGTTTTCAGCCCCGAGTGGAAAGTCCACTTTAGGATGTCACGGCTAAGATGGAATATCCGAAAATATCGCACAAGAATAGGCGCCTAGCATGTGCCGACGTTCGTATGCGGAATGGCCGATACTGAACTACGCAGCTGAAATTCAAGTGGGGAAGTCGATGCCGAATTCAAGCAAGGGTTGGACTTCTGTGGCTGAAGCATGGCGATCCCAATGCACTGTTTGCACTTCCAACAACCAGGACTTTCCTGCTCGGCTACCCTCAATCGAAGGAATGGTGCATGTACTACTCAGGATTGTTTGCCACGACTTTGTATCCCATTGCGACCCCGATCGCTGTACAACTTTCCTCCACACCACCACGATCAGAAATTCTTAAAAACTCATACACCGTGAACGACATCTTGACATCTACGCATTCCTCGAAAAATTTGCTTGAACAAGCCTTAATATCGTCGTCAGTCAGAAGACGCAATACATATTGAGCTCCATACCCCTCGTGGCTGAAGGTTCAAATCAAACTCATCCAACGCTTCGTCATATCTCCCCAGATCTACCTCTTGTGTTACCAACCTCACACGTTCCAAACATCAGACATGCGCTTCGCCATCTTCATCTTCATTTCGACCTCTCTTGCGCTCCTCATCCCGAGATGCGACGAAGGGTATGCGGGCTCGAATAACTTTGATAGTGACCACCATTCTGATGCGCACTTAGGGNACCACGACTCCTCATCTGCCGCTGTCCGCGATTTGGAAGCTTCTCCTGTCGCTACTGCTACACAAACTGTCTCCGAATCAAGATACCCTTATACCAAGAAGATCAAGACTACTCCTACCAAGACTCCTTCGACTACACCTTTGGCAACTCGTGCTGTGACAACTGATATCGATGAGTCCGAAACCGGCGAGGTTTCAACAAGCAGCTGCACCCCTAGCTCTATCTGTGTGGACATGATCAACTCTTGCGGCCACCGTTATGGAGGGTGAGTGGCTTCCTCCTCTTCAAGCCGAGTCAGAACTGATACAGCAACCAGATGCTATGATCAAAACTTCTGCGATGGCAACACAAGCCCATACCCTGTCCCTCCTGCTTGTCCAACCATGACGACGGTCAAGCGGGCAGCTGCAGCACCCCCAGCCATCACACCAGCTTGAATTGGGAAACATGAGAAATGTGTTGGCGTTCGAGCGAATCTTTGTGTTGCGAGAAAGTGGGATGAGAACAAGTAATAAGTGCGTGGCTCCAGTGGGCGTCCGGTATTGAGAAGCGAGCGAGCGTGTGCGATAACAAAAGGTTTATATAGACTTGCTTCATGGTATGCTTTGAAGATCTCCCCCGAACTCGACCGCTCCAGAAAGGCCAGAAAGGTCTCGCTGCATTACTGTAATTGTTTATCTCATGATCAGGAATGATTTGGTGGTGGTGTTTGATGCCCAGGCTCTTGGGAGGTACAGCCAAGTCGGTAGATTGGAGAGGAATGCACGACGCTCTGATGCGCAATCTGCAACAGGCAAGGGATTGGGCCAAAACACACACAAACTTGCATCTGATTGTGCTTGGACTTTTACGTGCGCCATTGAAAAAAAACACTGGTGGGATCTCTGTTCGTTGGCTTCGTTCTTCTTCTGCGAAGCCTGTGGGTTCGTCTTCTGTTTTGATCAAGGACAATCAGTCATTACTCTTTCGTTTCCTATCTTCTGCTTATCTCGTTGACCTTTGCTTCAGAGCAGAGTCAAGTCGCTCTTTAGACCATCAAATATGCGTTTTCACCAAGCTGCTACTCTTGCAGCCTTTTCTGTCCCAATAGCCGCTCGAGGCGATTTCGATTTCAAAGTAAATCAACCACGCCGACTCGTTGCTGTTCAAAAGCCTAGTCCGGATAGAGTGACTGCACACAGCATAAATCTGGGGCGAGCCAACACGGAAGTCAATTCGTTGAGTGCTGGATATCTTCAAGCCATCAGGTCGGGCAAACATGTAGATGGTGTCTACTCAAGACTTCGGGTAAGTTGCTTCTATGGTTGTGAAGGTTGATAGACGAGTACTAATAAAGNNCTACAGAACGGTACTGTAGACCTTGTCTCGGTCAATGCAGGAAGCGTCTTCCTCGCGCCTCTCACTGCAGGTGCCGAAACCTTTGAAGTTGTCATCGACACGGGAAGTAGCGATACCTGGCTCGTCAACAGCCAGTTCACCTGCGTCGACCCCATGAACTCTGCAGTCCAAAGCGAGGCGGACTGTATGTTCGGACCAGCGTATTCTTTGACTTCCACGGCCGAGCAGATCCCTAACCGCAATTTCAATATCTCATATGCAGACGGAGAACGCCTCAACGGCGAAATGATTACCGAGGACTTGACCTTCGCTGGAATCACAGTCGAAAACCAAACAATGGGACTCGTCACCTACGCAGGCTGGTACGGCGATGGTGCATCTTCAGGATTGGTCGGACTCGCCTACGCTTCCTTGACAAACCAATATGGCGGCAACAACCCCAGTGCAGATGTTGCAGGCTTGACTATCCCTTACAACCCTCTCCTCACAGGCATGTTTGCTCAGAACCTCACTGCCCCGCTCTTCAGCATCGCTCTCGACCGCGACGTTTCTAGGAGCGCACAATCAGCAGGAGGCGTCCTTGCCGTCGGTGGCATCCCAAACATTCCCCACGGAGCCTTTTGGGCGTCGGCAAACATCTCTGTCGTCGGTGTCGATGCCTCTACAGGCCAACCTGAATACCAGTTCTACGCTATCAGTGTGGACGGCTGGGCCGTGAGCAAATACTGGAATGCGGAATTTGACGTCAAGATGACCGGAAACATGCGCAAGACGCCTTTGCTGGGCGCACCTACCCGCAATGTTATCGTCGACTCGGGCACGAGTTTGATCTACGCACCTACCGCTGTTGCTGCTGCTCTTGCTGCAGCCTTTAACCCTCCTGCTGCTGTAAACCCAAGCTATGGGCTATACACGGTTGCGTGCAATGCCACTGTGCCTTTATTCGGCGTCACCGTCTCGAGTAAAGTGTTCTATATCAACCCGTTGGATCTCATCATCGATACTGGACCGGGCTTTTGCGTCATGGGTGTGCAAGACAACAATGGAGGCTTGACTATCATCGGAGACGTGTTTATGCGGAACGTACTCACTGTTTTCGATGTCGGGGCCGCGCAAGTCCGTTTTTCGGCCAGGACATGTCAGTTGACTGATGGAACTATCACTACTGGAGGGAAGCTAACTTTTTATGAAGAAAGCCATATTTCATTGATAGTGTTTGACGGTTATTTGATTGCGACGAGGGATATAGAAAGTTATATATGTGAGATTTTGCCACTTTGCTTCCATTACTTCTTCCTTGCCTCACCAATTTTTCCCTACTGAGGGACCTGTGCAATTTGTGGATACCGGCAACATGTTTGCCACTGGCGCAATGTCGCCACCGGCTTCAGCGACGGCCTTTGCTGCTGCTTGACTGAATCTCCTCCATCTCTCTGCGGCTTCTCTCTCACGTCTGGCTTTGGTCTTGCTGCTTCCTGAAGGCGCAACACCGGTGAGCAGTTTTTCGCTGTCTGAGGGTGTGTAGTTTACAAANCCCACCGGATTTGGTTGTGCGGCTGGAGGATTTGTGCTCGCTACTTGATTTGCGGCTGTGGGGTTTGGAGGATGAATTGCGCTTTGTGATGCGGTTTCTTGGTGGAGAAGGTGTGCTTGATTCTCTNNTCTTATGGCGGTGGTGTATGCGGCAGTGGTGTAGTAGGGTACAGCCTCTGCCACCAATGGCTCTTCTGTAAACGCAGGTGCCAAAGTCGGATCGTTGTATACTGGCAACAAGCCGCCATGGACTTGGAAATTGGTCAACGAGGCTTGGTACTCTGCCTCTTTCTTCTCACTCGCCATCCATGGGCTGAATGTGGGAGAAGGCTCGTAGATGTCCTCGGCACCGAAAGAGTTTGCGCTCCATGCTGACTTGTTGTAGGCGTCTGCGGTGGAAGGTGCTCCGTAGTAGATATCGCGGAAGACGGTGGGTTCGTCGGCGAACAGGGCTCCGCGTTCAACGCTGGGGCTGGTGAGNGGTGAAGCTTCAGGGCTGTAGAGTTGTCTAGGCATATTCTGTGCATTGAAGGTGTTTGTGAAGGGAGACGTTGGATCATCATAGTTGCTGAATGGTTGGAACGGCGAAGCGTCTAGTTCGTTGAAGCTTTGAAAACCGAGTCCAACTGCAGGCTTGCTTCTTCCGCTGGAAGGAGGAGTCAAAGGTATGCTTCTGACAGGCAAGTTCATGCTGATCATTCTGCTGGGGGTTTGGTAGATGCTTTCGATCCCGGCGTCTTGGGCACCTGCCCTGTAACGCGATGGCGACATCATCTTTGGCGACTTGCTGGCCGAGCGATAGGCTTTGGTGACGCCAACAGGTCTTTCAGGCGTCTTTGCACAGCGTTCTCGTTGGTATTTGATTGCTTTGCGGCGCCTGGCCGCTGCTTCCACCGAAGGCGATGATGGAACATTAGAAATGTGCGGACTGGGGAACCCACCAAGGCTGAGAAAATCCGCATGTGGAGCATTCTTTGTATTGTAGAAAGAAGCGGCGGGCGAAAGCGTGTGTTGCTGTTCTCTTTGTTGTGTGCCGTCTTGCTGTTGTTCCAAGCTCGAGGCGCTTTCTTCCAGCATGGCAAGTGTTCTGGCCCAGAAGTCGTCTGAAAGGCGTCTAGCTGCTGCTGCTTCGGAGGAACTGCTGTCGCCACTGTCGGTGAAGTGTTCTTCGTGGATTTCATTGTTGCTTGCTTCGTCTGAACTGCTGGCGCCGAATTCGAAGTCGTCGGTGTCGATGTCCACGTATTGGCTGAACAAGTCATCATAGACGGTTGCCCATTGAGGCTCTTTGTTTGTTGGCCGCATTAGGTAAGGGTATTGCTGAGTAAGGTATGCCATGTTGTACTCTGAGGTGGGAGTTGTGCAGAAGGTCGATGGGATGTTTGCTCCGATAGGCTGGTTCTGAACTGCTTCAGACTTTGTACAAGATCTGTGCAGAGTGTGGCTGAGGACACGTGATCGGTAGAGTGGTTGCGAGATGGTCGGGTCTGAACAGGGAGATCGTGACTGAATAGGCAGATTGTAATGCACGATTATGCAGGAACAAAACAGGCATCAACACAAGATGCAAGGTAATATATGCACAAACGGCTATTGTTGATTAGAGGCTCCCAGCCATCTTGATTGTATTAGGCATTTCGGGTGGTTGGTCGCTTGTATGGAATGAGAGATTTACAATAGTCTGGTTTTCCACATTGGCTCAGCGGTCACATGTGTTTCGCGAGTTTGCTGGGCTTACAATTGAAGCCAGGGAACGGTGGCTGGTGAGATTTAGTGAGTGACTAGCATTCCAGTGGTATACAGAGAGAGTGGCTGAAAAGTTTGGTGCATTCCTCGAGACAGGCATTCCTCAGCCCAGCGTCAATGGTCAAGAGCGACACACGTGATTCTGAACAATGCTCCATCAGGTACAGCAGAGGACATTGTTCACAAGAGTATTTTTGTGAATGGGATTATGGCATTGGTGGTTGAGTTTTATGTAGACATACGAACATGGCAGGAAGAAAGCTATATCAGAATACCCCCGAGGGGTTGACTTCGCAATGGAGTCATGGAAATCGGTCGTACCAGGTGCATCCCCACCATTCACGACAGCAGAGTAGGAAGTAGAATAGGGTTCTGAAACCATGTCAAGTATTTGTGCATCATTAATGCTTCTTCATCCCGTTCTTGTGCCGTGAATGTGTTCGCCTCGACTTGGACTCTTCGAGATTCTCGCGTGCGTTTCGAAAGTTCGCCTCTCATCTCAAGACTCCAACACAAGAAACACAACTCGACATTGTCAAACCAAACACAAGTCAGACCAACAGCCTAGCGTCATGAATTAATCTTATCTCGTTGCTCTGACTTGCACGTCAATCCGCTTTCGTGTATTTGTTGCCCAGGCCAAGGAATGTACAGCAGTTAACCCACATTCCAGCATCATCACTACAGCAAAACATGGCCGCTAGCAGTGTCTGTATAAGTCATCTGCTGCTTCAGGAAACTCACTCATTCGGGCTCTTCCTCTCCTTCAATAAGTCGCTCCAGAATCTCACTCGCTCGATTCCCTAGCCTTCCTTTTCTGATATCATTATCGTCTACTCACGCAGTCACTCATTTGTACCTTACAGTCTTGTAATAACCTTTAGCCCTAATATCAATCTCGATCAATCTTCAAGATGAAGATGAAGATCGAGTTTGCAGCAGCCGCTGCAATTGCAGCATCTGGCGTCGTTGCTCAGTCGTCGTCTGCCCCCATCACCTCTGCTGCAGTCAGCACTTCAACTGCATCACCAGTCTACGTCACACTGACAATCGATGACTGCGATACTACCGCTCCTCCAGCAATGGTTACAGTGACCAATGGAGTCACACTTACCTACTGTCCCAAGTGCGAAGAGGCCTCAAAGTCCTCTGCCGCTCAAGTCACCCCTTTCACCACAATCTGGACAACAACTTATCTTTCTCTCTGCACGACCGGTACTTCTCACGGTATGACACCAGTTGTCTACACTGTCACCGAGTCATGTACCGAACCTACCCCTACCTGGACTCCTGGTCCAAGTTACGTTCCTCAAGGCTTCACCACCACCGAAGTCGTCTGCCACCAATGTGCCGAGGGTCCTGCGACCTACACTGTCACTCAACCCTGCGATTGCGAACCTACTCCTGCCCCTGCACCTGCCAACCCCACTGGCTCATCTCCAGGAGGCAATGGAGGAACCGGAGGCAACGGTGGAAACGGAGGAAATGGCGGCTCGTCTTCTCCTGGTGGCAATGGAGGAAATGGCGGAAACGGCGGAGATGGAGGCAACGGCGGAAATGGAGGCAATGGAGGAAATGGAGGCAATGGAGGAAATGGAGGCAATGGAGGAAATGGAGGAAATGGAGGCGACTCAGGTCCAGGAGGCAACGGAGGAAATGGGGGCAATGGTGGAAACGATGGAAATGGAGGAAATGGAAGCCCTGGCACACCTGGAACTCAAGGAGGTAACGCTCAACCTCCTGCTCCTGCTGCCGGCACTCCCGCCGCCAACACTCCTGCAGGCAACGTTGTTACTCAGATCAGCGATGGTCAGACCCAGGCACCTACTGGCAACCCTCAGCCCGTCACTCAAATCTCAGACGGTCAGATTCAGGCTCCTACTGGTGGCGCCGGACGTCCTGAGGGCCCTCCTGCCAACAACGGCTCGTCGACTGTCACCATTCCTTGCGCCGGATCTCAATGCAAGCTCTCGACTGCTGCATCACCCAGCGGCACCGCACCCGCATCTACCAGCCCAGTCTCCTTCACTGGTGCTGCATCAAGCTTCAGCATCGGCGGTGCCTTCGCATCATTCGTTGCAGTCGCTGCTGCTGGGTTCGCCGTGCTCCTCTAGAAACAGAGTTGCTCTTGATGTATGCTGATATGAGAGGTGGGAGAGTCTCACGCTTTGCATGGTGAAATTGAAGCCGACAACATCTGGTCAAAGGGCGTTTCTATTTTCGTTCCATTCTTCTTCGATTCCTTTTTCTTGTCTTTCTCACTTTCTTCTTTCTCATGTTTGTTCTCAATTGATCCATCTGTGTCCGAACAAGTTACTTATCTCAAAATTCAAGAACAAATGATTATGCCCCGAATGCTTGTTATTGACATACCTTTGAAGGACGTCTGGAATGAGGCCCTCTCCAGAATTATTTGTCGATACGTCTGCTTGTGGAAGGGAGTTCTTAAGTTGCTTGCGCTCGGCTGACATGCCTATCAATTTGCGATCGTTTTGACAGGATTCGATACTTTTCGACGACCTTCATGGTGCTGGCCTTGGAAGGGTAGCAAGATGAGCAGCAAAGTCGTGTCTGAGTCCCCTCGTCCTTTCCACTCTCGTACGACAGGGTTTTGCGTGAGCTGTCAGGATGAAATATACGCCTGTCTAGAATATACCATCACATCATGTTATCTGTCCTTCGAACCTCGGCTGAATCACAACGGTTTTCGACCACGTCAAGCAGCACCTTTCCATCTGCTTATGATTCTTCGAGCATATCTTGATCAGAGGAAATCAGGAAACGACACTCGAAACCATCATGTTGCGTAGAAGACTGAGACGATGAAGTCGCCTAATGCCAAGCCTTTAATATCGACGGCACAGGCCAATTGGAAAATGTTTTCTTTGGAGCAGAACGGAAGAACATTCAGATTGTTGCATAGCAACAACCACCAGGCTGCCACCCGCGATTGACCATTATGAGCGACATCGAAAACATTCCGACTCCTGCGAGCTCCGTTCAGAGGCGTCCGGCCTCTTCGGGTGGCGACGCCTCAACCCCGCACCCTCGACCACTGAGTCTGTTGCTTCCTTCGATTCCGGCATCGGACGTTCTGGCGAGGACTCTGGCGATACGGACGGATCCTATGAATCTGAGTCAACTAGTTCTGATGGCTCTTCAACTCCCGAACAGGTCGATCAAGCTGGACTTTCGCACGGCCAATGCAATCGCGAAGATTGCGCAGCACGAGTCGCAGAAGACCTGGCCACGATATCCAGACTCGAGGAATGGGTCAAACTCGCAACCAGTACCAGGATGGATGAACTTTTCGATCAGTATGTCAAGGAAAAGGGATCGCAACATGAAGGTTGCATCTGTTCTCAAATGAAAGTTCTCGAGGCGAGGGCGGTCGAACTCAAAGAAGTGTGCGAATTCATCGAACACGAAAAGGAAGTACTCATCACCCAGAAAGAGAAGTTTCCGAAAGGATGGATGATGTCTCGAGGCTCTATCTGCAAGTTCAAGTCAAAGAGAAGGCACTGGGTGAAACACATGCCGCCATCGACATCAGAATGAGCAAGATGGACGAAATGCTCGGACTTGCCAACGACTCAAAGGCAGATATTACACGCAAAAATAAGGAACTCGACGAGCGACAGGAATTTGTCGAACAACAAACCAAGAAACTCGAAAACAGCCAGGAAATTTTCAAGAAGCAGTCGGAGCTGTTGACCAAGCTCTTGCGACAACAGCAAGAATCCAAAGAAAAAACTTGACGATCGCGAAAAAAACCATGAAAGCCCAACAAATGTCACTGGAGCTTCGCGAGCTTGATTTGAAGAAACGAGAAGCCATTTTGGCGCATCGAGAACAGGCCCTGAGAAGGCACGAACGAGATGTTCAGAACCACATTGACCAGTACACGCGGGGCGAACAAGAATTCAAGGAACGAATGGCGCAATTGATGGAACAATCAATGCACACCAGTATAGCGAATATGGGCCTTGAATCTGCCGCAGATGCAACAGAGGGCGCAAACCAGGTATGGTTTACCATGCAACAGCTTACAAGCAACAACCACTGATCAATCAACAGGAAGCAGTAACGTCGGCTTCGCATGCCCCTGAGGCGATAACTTCTCCGCAACCCTCTCCCTCCGCAGCAGCACCACTCCCAAGTTCACTAATCCCGCCCGTGAGACAGCGCCGAGAGCTGTATGGAAGACCTGGCAGACTTGGTCGATAATGAGCTTGACTGGCCTCTGCAAGCAATGCGCATTCTTATTGGTACGTATACAAAATCTCCTTCCACCACTCGCTTTCCACCTTTCTTTGCATGATGTAACAAAATTGGTCCGTGTTTCTGAGGCGGCTTAAGACCCCGCTACACGATGTCAAAACAATGTGCTTGTCGCAACACTGACAATTCACCCTTTTCACGCTCTCTTCATATCATCCTTGTTTTGAGCGACATCTGCTGACAACATCTGTAGCAACTGTCTGTTCCTTAAGATCACGGGCCAATTCCCAGAGTTGTGCCACATATAATTGAGAAGCCTGTCAACGGAGATAGTGAGCGCGAGAACGACGAAACTAATCAGAACGGAGGATGTTTGTCGAAGAAGAATTACATACACGAGTAACCTTTCATTCGAACGTGCTGTATATATCCATCAAACCAATACTCATATCATACACTCTGTCAATGTCCGTTGCCTTGCATTTCGCACCGAAAACAATCTAGCCATTGATCAAGCTATGCTCGGTGTACTGGTCAGCTCTTTTTATACATCGTGGAGCGGAGTAGAGAGAATGGCCACATCTCTTCTCGCTGGCATTTTCTTTGTGCAACGTATAATTATATCTTTGTTTGCCAACGTTGCTTCCATCAAGTTGGTTCTGTGGTGTAGTTGGTTATCACTTCTGTCTAACACACAGGCGGTCCCCGGTTCGAACCCGGGCGGAATCATTGCTTTTGCTACCCTAGCATCCCTTTTGCATGCCTCGGAAGTGTAGGTGGTACGGGTTTGGGGGTGGAGAACTTTTGGAAAAATTCGCGGAAGGTGTGGCGTTGAATTCGAGGCTTCGCGGCGTTGCATATCAATTTTGGCCAAGTCACCACCACATTCGATCATGGCCTAGAAAACCAGTACAGATTTGGTCGTTTTCTCCATATTGACCTTCGAAAACTGAGCCAAGAACGTCTCAACTACAGCTCTACACATTCTGTATCCTTCAGACAGCTTTTGCAATCGAGAAAATGAACTAGAAAGTCGGCCAGGAAACGAATTTTGTGGTGGAAATGGAAAAGATACTCACTACAACGGCAACACCGAAAGGTTTCGTCTCATTTTTCAAGCCACATGAAAATTGTATTTCGTATACCTCGTCTTGCAAGACTGGTTTGGGAGTGTCTTTCTACGAAGTGCTGAGCTCGTGCTTGCTGCTGGAAAATTATTAACAGATTGGGACACAAGAATAACGGAAGAAGAGACTGTGAATGAGCCTCCATCGATCTTGTCTTCTTCGATGGTATAGTGTCTGCCATCTGCTGTTTGACAACCCACGCCAAGAAATGCAGTCAGCAAACCACAAAACTCTCCGCTCCGCCGAAAAAGCCCCGCAGCACCAACCACTTTCCACCCAAAACTTTTTCTTTGCTATGCATAAAGGTTTGTTCTTTGCAAAAGATGCAAAAGATGATTTCCGACACGGGGAATTGAACCCCGGCCTCCTCGGACCTAGTTGTTGTGTGATACAAACGGTTTGAGAGCGAGAAATCCTAGCCACTAGACCATATCGGATGTTGTTGAAGCATTTCCGGTGTAACACGAATATGATGACAAAAGTGTACAGAGCAAGATCGAGCAGCGTGTCTAAGAGATGTCTGCTTCAGATGGCAAATCGCCAACCTGGGCAACCCGAAGCCACTCGTCGAACAGGGAGATCATCCTTGTGCTCGAATTTTTGCTTCATCACCAATTCTTCTCAGGGATCACATTGGTGCTAGCTCGAGTCCAAAACGCGAAGACCTGTTAGTCAGCTCTCTGGAGTGATATAGTAGAAGTACATAGCAGGTTTTTCATATCGCCACATTTCCTCTCAGGCTCAAGCAAAGCCTCAAGCACATAGCCGAGAACATATCGCCGGGCTTGGTAGGGACGATAGACGACAACGAGGCCACGAAGGTTCTGTACGAGGTCGTCGAGATTGGAACCAAGGGCGGCCTGTAAGGCAGTACGGAGAAGCGGTGGCACTTCCTGAACATCTTGGGTTTCTCAAACCCGTCCCAAATGGTCTGTACGCAGTAAGGATTATCTTTGCGAGTTTTCTAGACTCAATAGTGCGGTGATGAGAGCCGAGAGTTCGTGCTCACGAAAACGTACATAGTGCATCGGGGTTTTGAGGCTTCGCCTTCTTCGCAAGAAAGAGTACGGTGTTCAGGCACTCGAACATGAATGCAACAATGAGGCAGGAGGACGAGAGACTCATGCTCCTTCGATAACAGCGAAAGAAGGTTTAAGGCATGAAACTCATGTAGAAGTAGAAGAAGAACAAGCACTGGGTGATTCTTAGCCAGAGCAGGGAGGATGCAAGTCGAAGATGAAGAAAGCCCGTGAGCTTCAAGTATATAATATCGCTGGTTGACGCGGACATCAGAACCTTGGAGGCGACAATCGAGAACGACTTTAGCGGGGCCGAATTTGGTGCTCAAGAACTTGCGAAAGCCTTGTGAGCAAGCCTGATTCTTTCTATCTGGCCGATTTCGTCGGCAGAGGAGTGACACCAGATCGATAGTCGCAGCAGGTCGGCTGTGACTGTCATAGTTGCTGGTGAAGATGAGAGGTTGGGACTCGCGGAGGCGAGCAGCCTCGACGGAAGACTTGATTGTATCGTCAAGCTGTGAGACCGGACATGGTTGTGGAAAGGAAAGAGATCTTTTCTCCGTTCAGCTGTTGCTGCCAGGAGGTTCGTGTTTCAACGCGGAGAGCCAGAGCCTGGAAAGTATCATCGAGAAATTTTCTCATAGGAGCAATGCATGATGCCGGCGGCATCTGTTGGATGTGTCATGTAAGTCCTTCGGAAAATACAGAGCGGAGGTCAGTCTTGGGTATTGAGCTCTTCTGGAGGGCTTTTGGTGTAGGTGAATGGGAACAGCCGATGTCCACTTCTGACAAAGAGTGTTGGCACTCGGGACAAGCAGCATAGATGAGGAGAGGGTCAGCAGGATAATCACTGGTTAACCTCCTTAGTTGGCAAGCTGTTACCGGTGGTCGAGGGAACCCAGAGTGACAGAATCAACATCAACTGCCACCAAATTACTGGCAGAGTTGGGATGTTGTCGGAGGCTGGAGTGAATGGATCGAAAGCTGAATATTTTCTAAGCATATCAAAAGTGTCCTTGCCATCTAGACGAAAGTCCTTCAGAAAACTGCCAAGATGGGCTAGTCCTCGATGGTCGTGCGTGGTTAGTACGCGCTGATGACGAACTATCCGCGCGAGCTAAATTCCCATGAGTCCGGAGTAACAACCACAACAAAACATTCTAATTCTGGCGACACACACTGTGGTCCACAAACTTCACATCAGAGGGCCGTAAGAGAGGGTATTGAACCACTCAGCATGACAGTCACAACCAGGGCGAGGGCGATGAAAGCTCGCGGCTCAACGCGCAGTGCTACCGAGAGCATGGCATCAGTTCCTACCAACACCAAGCCCAAGGACATGACCAGAAAACCTCCCGCCGGTTCAAAGAAGCAAATCGACATTGAGAAGAGGATGATCAAGAGCACAAAGCCGAGCATGGCTCCTCCCAAAAGCCAAAAGCCGTACATAAAGCTGTGCCTGGACGTGTAGATCCAAACCTTGCTGACACCAACCAGACTACTTCCCATCATGTTACTCGTAGTCTGGACATTCATGATGTTACGGATCAGAGCAAGACCGCCACCCAGCGTCCAAACACCAGAAGCGTGACCAGAAAGAACAGTAGCAAGCCAAACCCTGCTAAGCCAGCTACTTCTCGCCCTTTCACTGAACGCACGCCTTCCAAGGCCGCTGCCCTCACCAAGCAGAACGTATATGCCAATGCACTCGAAATCAAGAAGACAGCAGCTGTGAAGAGCAGCACCAGCGCAGCTCGTCCTGTCGCCAGGCAGATGGCCAAGGATATCGCCGCTGCCTCTCGTACTCAATCGAGTCCTCCTCAGGTTACTCAGGCTGGTCCTTCTCGCCGCGCTCCTCAGCGCAACCGTGATGGTAAGCCAGGAGTCCCTGAACTACCACAGTACCTCATCTAATGATGATGTTTTTACAGAATCTACTCCCGACCATACCTCTGTCGCCAGCCCCTCTGTGGCCGCAGCCACTGGTCTCTCCAGCGCTCCAGAACAGCCTTCTAGACTTAGACCCGGCCTTGAAGTTCCCCTCAACGAGGATGAAACTCTGGCCTGGGGACTCCAGAATCGTGCTCGGCTCAGGCTCGCGCTAGAGAGCGAGTACACATGGCTCGAACTGACTCACGGTCAGCGCAGAGAGGTCACGAAGCTATACCAAGCCATCTCATCAGAACTGGTGATGGATCTTCAGAAGTGTCTCGATCTTCCGCGTGACCACGAGGTCTGGACACAAAGGCCCAACAGTGATATAACTGCAAGTGAAGTTCCATGGCACGGGTTTAAGAAGACAACTGACAGGTGCTAGACGATCTCGAGAGCCGAGTCATGGTTTGACGGTTTGACGATGGGTTCGGAAGGCGAGGAAGATGAAGATGCCTAGGGGGTAACACACCTTGCAACTTGACGAGGAAGATGTCATTATCAGTGGGTACCAGAAGATGGTGGGTCCGCAGAACTTGTTATAGAGACAAGTAGGGTCAAAACGGGGAACAGGTCAAGGTCAAAGGAGGTTCGTGAAGATAATAGGGTACAGGGCGCAAATTCAAGACTTGAGTGATGCTTTGGGACGTGATGGTATACAAAGAGTTCCTGCTTCTGTTCCATGGTAACGTGACCATACAAGCTTTCGATTCCTTCATGTTGGTGAAACTACTACTAAGTTATTTCTTTCCATGTTGCTGGTAAGGATGTGAGCCAAACATCTTTTCGGCACGACCAGTCTCGAGCCAATCAACACAACCTTGCTCACTACGCTTCGGTCTCTGTGCACAACCCCGAAACACGCACACAGGAAGAAAATATAATTCCTATCATCAACAACATCATGCTGCTCATCATCGCTGCGCTCGTTGACCTCTTCTTCATCCTTCTCGCCGGACTCATCATGTACGGGTCCCTGGTGTTGCTGCTGTACTCCTTTGGCTTTGACGACGACGAGCAAATTGCTCGGCGAGACGTTCGTTACTTCGGACTCGTCGTGCTTGACGTCCTCCTGGTTATGTATCTGATGATGCTTCTGGAGGCCATCGTGACCAAAGTACGTGTTGCAGTATGCTATCGACTCTCGAACAGCCCTGACTTTGTGCGCTCTAGAAACTTTGAGCTCCCGGGAAGACGGTCAAAGGAGCGACTAGCTATCAAGTTGCAGCGCACTTTTGCTCCCAGTAAGTTGTCCACTGAGAGCCGCTGATGTACCAGTGCTAACCTTTACAGTAAGCAGGTCTTCATTGGACACGACCGTTCCTTGAACAGAATTGTGCATTCCTAACCAATCACATAAACTGCTCCTCAGGAGTGTTGGAAAATCATGATATAAGAACTATGAACCAAAAGCAATACCAATTCCATCTCTCAATATCCCAAGCTCAAGTCGAGATTCTTCTTTCCGTGTTCTTGCTACCAATGTGCTTCTGGCGAATCATGTCAAGCTCAAAGCGCACCTTTGCGGCTCTGGTCTTCAAGTCTTCCAAGTCCTTCTTCTGCGTGCTCAGGGCGGTGATCTGTTGATCCTTTGCACTGGCGTCAAAGCGAAGAAGACCAGCTTTGATCTCGAGGGCCTTGCTTTGTTCGTCCTTGTCGCTCAAAAGGGCCTTGACACGTTGTTCGTGTTCACTGAAGGGAAGGGGCTCTGTAGCACATACCAAAGCATCGCTGCCGCTTCTCGGTCTGGGAACGTGCATCTGCATCTCCAAGCGCCTGATTTCTGATTCTTTGGCGCAGACATCGTCCAGTGCCTTGGCCCATTTGTTACCGCAGCTGATCTTGATAACGGAGATCTCCTGATCTGTGTTGATTATGAGGTTTGCGAGCCCCTGGTCTTTCTCCTTGATTATGTCACGGAGACGGCGGTTCCTTCTCGCAGAGAACTTGAGGGGTGATTCGCCGGGCTTCTCGATCTTTTGTGCTGGGGGTGATTTTCTGGGTCCTGTCTGACTGCGCTCGTGGGTTTCCTTCGATCTGCCGATCTTTCCGAGACTGTCGGTCGTCCCGTCGATTGTGTCTGCATGTTCTTGCTCGCATTGGTCGAGTTGCTTCTTCATCTTGGAGAGTTCACGTTGCAGGGCGGAGTAGGTCTCGTTGGCGTTGGCAAGCTCACGATAGACGTCGAACTCGAACTTTCTGTAGCGTGCAAGTCCGGCCTTGAGCTCACGAGTCTCTCCTTGGAGCTGTCGGGTCTCGTCGATGGCTGCTTTTTGTGTTGCGTTGGCGTAGTGGAGCTGCGCCTTGAGTAGACTGATGGGCGTGTCGGGCTGCTTGCCTCTAGTTGATGTTGAGGCAGGATCGGGGCTTGTGGCTGTTGACATGGAACAACCACCAACGACCGACGGATTGTCGTGCTGTGAGCCACCAGGTTGCTGATCGGTTGTGAGATCGACGAGCTTGTTCTGAGACCCACTGGTGTCGTCCTGAGGAGCTACTTGATCGGAATGATCTGTAGTGGCTTGCTTGTGCTGCCCATTGCCAGGTGGGATACCGGCCTGCGTAACCTCAGGCTGCTCAGCAGGAAGGATGTCACTCTGAGCGCCCCTGTTCTCAACTTGCTTGATGTGTTCATCCAGTTCGGGTATGACTTCGTACATGAGGTCGTAAGCAGTTTCGAAGTCTCCTACAGCCGCCGCCTCTCGTCGCTCGTTGAGGAGTATATCCCGCTTGCGCTTGGCCTCTTGAAGTCCTTTGCAAAGTGTGACTTCGTATCTGCATGTCTTGCAGGGCGGCTCTGTTGCATCGACAGGGCTCGCAGCTTGGCAACGGTGGGAATCATGAGAGTCAGCATCCATAGTCCCACACTGCTGGCATCTACCATAATGATGTGGTGCTGCGAGTTGTGCTTCGGGAAGTGTGATGCGCTTTTGCATTGAATTGGCTGAAGACTGGGCGGCAGCATTCTGGGCTTGGGCGTCTGCAAACTGAGTGAACAGGTCTCTGATTTGCTCTTGTGTTTCGTCGTTGCTCGCCGCTTCTTTTGCCTCCTGAGCTGGAGATGGTTCGACTTGAGTTTCGGCGTCTCTGTCCGCAGGGGCTTGCTGTTGAGCTTCGAGGTCGAGTCTGATTCTGGCTAGCTCAGCATCCAGATCCGCGCAGCGTTTTGACAGGCAGTATCGTGGTCTGTTGCGGTTCTGAGAGCCTCGAGGGCGGCAGCGAGATCCACTTGATGCTTGGTCTCTTCGTCTGCGAGAGCCTGGTTCTGATTGCGCAGGTCTTGCTGCAGTTTAGCAAGCTGGGCTACTAGATCCTTGTTGCGCTGCTCAATAATGGCGTTGTTGGCAGTTGCGACACTCTGAGCGTCTACAGCTGTAGCAAGATCCTTCTCAGCCTGGGAATCTCTGTCTCCGAGGAGGGTTTATTGTTCGAGCTTGAGTCGAGCTGTCTCGAGCTCAGCAGCCAGTCTCTCATTCTCCTTTCTGGTTGCTGTCTCGTTGTCGAGTGCAGTTTTGAGAGCCTTCTGAGCTTTGGATAGCTTGTCCTTTTCCTGAGTGTTCGCGCCTCTCAAAACCTTGTTTGACTTCTCGAGTTCTGTGATCTTCCTGTCCTTGAGCACCAGCTCGTCTTTCATCTTGCTATCTGATTGCGAAGATTCTGGCTGTCCTGCTGCTTTCAAGGCTTTGAGTTCGTCGTTGAGGCGTTGGATAGTCGATGATTGAGTGACATTCTTCGCTTCAACCTGGGCAAGTTCATTCTGGACCTTGGCGAGTTTCTCATTGGTAGCTTCTGCAGGGTGTCCGATCGAGTCTTTAGGGCGTTTCTCTTCCAGGTCGTTCTTTTGAGCGGCTAGCTTGGACAGTCGGCCCTGCAAATCACGCAACTGCTGCTTGAGAATCTTCTCGTTGTTCATGGCGATACGGTCTCTCTCACGAAAGTTTGTCTTAAGAGAGTTGATGTGATCCTTGAGTTTGTGGATGTCCGTCTCGAGCTCGCTGATCCTCTTTGACTTGCGAGCATTCTCTCCCTTGACATTTCCGCAATGTTTGCACACTGGTGGCGGAGGTGGAGGCGATGGCGATCGAGGGGCAGACGGAGGGGGTGGATATGAGTGCGCAGGTTTGAAGTTGAACTGGTGAGGACAGTTGCCTCTGGTTTCTCCAGTGCAGGATGCGCAGTAGTTTTGGCAGCTATCGTGAGCTTTGATCTTCGCGTCGTATTGGGCGCGCGAGTGGGTGTCAGATAGTACTTCCCAGGCGTTGTTGACCTCCTGCATCATTGGAGTGGACTTGCTTCTAGATTTGTCCGGATGATGCACGCGAGATGCTTTGTGATATGCTTTTCTGATCTCGTCCGCGGTAGCTGTCGAGGAGAGACCGAGGATCGTGTTCAAGTCTTTGTCTGGCGGCATTGTGTTGTTTTGCGCGTGCGGCTGTAAAATCGATAGGCCGAGACTCTGCGCCGATCAAAGTCGAAACAGGCGTAACCAAGAGTAATGCGTGTGGACGTAGATTTTCGAATCAGTCGAATGGTATGTTGATCGAATAATCGGCAGGGGCGGGTATGGTTTGGGAGAAAGGCCGGCGTCGAGACAACAAAGCGGCCACCAATGTGGTTCTGGACCACGGACCAACAAAGAGATCTTCTGCCCTGGTAACAAGCAGACAAAGCGAAAGCAACTGATTACGAGGTATGGAAAAAGTTATTTGACTATGATCAAGGGATGCATACTGGTTCTCTGACGCATGGTTAGGGATAAGCCCCTGAGCACTTCTGCTCAAAGTTCATGGCCTACGAGAAAGGCATTGCAGGGACAGCCCATGACCATAGGGAACATCAGAACTTCAACCAGCCGCACTCGGTTGTTTCGGAGAGTTGGTAATAGACGGTATGAATTGCGTGGCTATAACAGCGATACTAATGAAATTTGATTGCCCAGTCATTCTTTCTGCGCGGGTGCTAGACGTGGTGTCATTGGCCACTTACACGTGCTCGCAATCCATTCTCTTGTTCATCTACACAAGACACGGCATGGCACTCTCACAATATTCGCAAGAAGAAGCTTAGGTGACGTGGGACTTGTCCCTTTTGGTATTCTGATACATACAAAGTCATACCGCCAGCGGTATCTCCTGGATTACAATGTGTCAAATCACTCCAGAAAAGACAGCAGGACTGTCTCGTAGAAGCGACGAGAATCTCTAGAGTTCTGGTCGTGGTACAAGGTGAGAAGTTCAAGTGCCTCCTGTTCAGCAGCGATGAATCTTTCAGATCGGATTGGGCGAAGAGACAGCAATAATTCCTCAATGAACCTACGGTTCCTATTATACATATCATCACCAGGGACATGTGAGGCTTGCGCCTCCATATTGCGAACTGTGACAACGTGCCACGCAAATTCATTGTACTCGACGGCGTCTTCGAAGCGAACCCCTCCTCGAGCCATACGTATCTGCAGGTCGTACAAGATGGGCAATATCAGTTATATGTGTGCGAACGAGTGGGCCTCTGGCAAGGTATTCAGCGTGGACAATGACCATGATATGTAGATGAGCAATTAGCTCCTCGTACAAAAGCATGTCTCGACCTGAGTACTCAGCAGCGAGTGATTGACCAGCAAGTCTTTCCTCATCAAGCTCTGCTTGCTGCTGAGCTCTTTGAATTGCCTCCCAGTCCACATCATCGTCCTCGCTATCACTCTCGTCGTCGCGCTCGGCCTGCACTCTGTCCGCATCAGCAGCAGATTCTGGACAGGACCCTAAACAGTCTTTCCAGTCTGAACCACACAAGATACAAAACTCGTGGGTGCAGCCGTAATGATTTCCCGAGATGTGTTGACAACCACCATTACGCATGATAACAGTTCCACAGCGTGGGCATGGCATTCCACCATCAGCCTGACTAACCTTAATGGCCTCCTTTAGGCCCTCGTCTTCAGCACACGCACCATTATGGGCGTCCTGTTTGCAAGCGAAGCAAGTGGTGTTGTTGCAAGACAAACATTGACGACCTCTCGAGGATGTGGGAGCTGAGGGAGGAATGAAATTCAGACAGTGAGTATTGGCGCAAAACAGACGCTCGGTTGCCGGAGTATCCCACTCGAGCATTCTATTGTACATGACGGTGTAGAATTCGGGGTCAAGCACAGATTGGAAAGCTTCGAAAGGGACGATACGTGAGCAGTTTGGGCAAGATGGATGAGGCTCACCCTCTTGCAAGTTCCTGATAGCTTTAGCGTGGCAGTCTCGACAATAGGCAGCGTGTCCACACGGAAGGACCAGAAGCATAGTTCCCTGGAGACAGATGGGGCATTCGCCCATGTCGAAAGTAGTGCTCATCTTGTTGATTTTGTATATATCTAGATGGTTTTGCTGAGAGAGTTTGATTTTGATGTCGTTTTGGATGTTTACTGACCTGCTAATGGGGTCACCTGCCCCTGCTTTATACACCGCCACGGCGAGGGCAGTATAAAGAAGACGGACAAGAGGATACTGGAGGCGCTTTGTCCGAGCACAATGGATAAAGCGCGATGACCTAAAGATGAAAGAGAGTGCTTTTAGCCACGAACCAACAAAGGAAATTTGTACGAGCGGGAGTTTGACAGAGCGAACCAAATTGGGATAGAGAAACAGAAAAGGTGTATATTCGGCTACAATCAAGGGAAGCAACATCAATATTGGTTGCCATAGCTAGAGATAGATCTAATACGATCGCTTACTGCCTATGTCATGCTCTGAGCAGTTCTCTAGGTTCAAACTCTCTCTTTATTAGACTCATGTGAGTAAGGTATACGGGTGAAGCAAATATAACAATTGATAAGTCATACGGTGATGATTGATGAGCTGGCATTCCGACAGTCATATTCCAATCCTCAGAAGCCAGAATACATGGTCAAACACAGAATATGGTCAAGATATGTACACGAAATTCTTCACACACTATTGTCTTGCACAGAATGGGATATTTCTCAAACATGAAACCAGTCCGATTTTGTTCCTTAGTACTTAATTGAGGATCGACCGCCAGCACAATATGACTAGATGATACCAAAAGAATGAAGAACATCTCTCATAAATCGACGTAAAGCGTTAGTGGCAGCAGCAGAGGTATCATACTGAAGATGCACAAAAGGCCAACAGAAACGCTTTGTCGAGACACAATGGACAAAGAAGCATTGCCAGCGTCGAAAACAGACGTTCTGGAGCCGACAAAGAAGAACCACGCGCGCAAAATTTGACGAAGCTCACGTAGAAACAAGAAGTATCCACAATTTGCATGATCACATTGGGGGAAAAGGCTTTGATTGCAGACGATCTGAAGACATCTGATGGCTGTTCTGTGACTTTGAAAGCCCGAAAAACTAGCTCGATGGCAGCATGATCCTGTGATAGCTAGCCGAGGTGAATGTGATGGCATTCGCTGAACACTCAGTTGTGCTTGCGGCCCGACTCAGGGGAGTTGGGAGGGGCGTAGGGGCCACACGGGTGTGCTTGTGATAGATGTGAAGACCACCCTCGTCATCGTCGCTGTCGTGATTGACCTGGGCGGCGCGGCGGGCAGCCTCCTGCAGGAGGGACTGCTCCTGAGCGCGCATCTCCTCGCGCTCCTTCTCCTCGCGGCGACGTCTGGTGTACTGGCGGGCCTCCTCCTCGGTGGCCATCATGTGGAGCTCGCGGGTGAGGCGGCGCTCGTTGCGGGCGTGGCGGTTGGCGCTGTATACGCGTCAGTAGAGGTCAGAGGGAAGGATAGCCAAAGATCTTACACAATCATGAAGGAGAAGACGATGTAGAAGGGGGCGAGGAAGAAGAACATGATGAAGGTTTCGACAGTGAGGAAAGTCTTGATGTCCATGTGTTATGCTTGTAGACAAGAATCTTGTGTTGATGTTGTTGTGTGGTTGAGAGAAGGTTGCTGTTGGTGGTGGGGTGGAGGTGTTGTCGTGTGAACGGGGGCGCGTCGACGGAGAGTGGCGCCCTCGAGGGCATGACTCGTATTTGCAGGTTGAGCAAACGAACGAAAGCAGGTGTTCGACGGAGTGTAGTAACTCTGGAAACATATCATAGTAAGTTTATGACATTGGGATTGCACGATAGCCTTGAGGAACAGGATTGTCCCCACGGAGAGGTGGTATACTCTCACCTCTCTTTGGCCATATCTCCGCTTCTTAACTCAACTGTGACTTTTTATGATCGAAATGTTGCTCTGTGCCCTTGCAGGAGAGGGCGAAATTAACCTTGAAAACACCTCTATCGAGGTGCAGAATCTGTTCTGGTCATTGTGAGAGCAGGCATCTGAGCAGCCTTCAAAAATATAACCTGAATCTCGAACCGACTCTGCATTGGCATAGTCCTTGGACGGTGTTCGAGTCTCTGATGAGAAATGTTTATTCATTTGACTCCCTAAGTAGCAACAAGTGCCTTGCTATACTATCAAAAGTCATAATGTTATTGGAAAACACAAAGTTGACCATCGAAAGGTGTAGTTAGCTTTGATCTCATTGGGAACTGGTATGAATCAGTTCTGCTCTGGGGCTAAAAATAGCACAGATACTACCGTGATCGCCAGACGAGCAAAGGAAATCCACGGTGCAAGAGGCAATGACGGTCTGAAAGAGATCTCCACGCAATGGCTGGAAAGTCCTGATATGTCTGCATAGAGCTAGACATTATGAGACAGGAGCTTGGAGCTACGCGAGTGGAAGCAACGATCTGCAAACGAGTCAAGGTGGCAATGAAAGCAACCATCAAGACGAGATAAAAACTCGCAATGGATCTGCATATCAATTCTGGATTGCACAGCATAGTGTCTTCCTCTATGTATCCAGAGTAAAGCTCTTGATGATTGAAGAAAGCTGGAACATCTAGAACAGGTATCAAAGTACAATCTCTTCAAGCCCAAGCTTCTACTGATGAGACACTCATGAAATCGCAGGTAGACCACTGTTCCACCCGTATGTTCATAGAAGTCGTTCTTCAACAAGTTATCGATGGGTACGGCCCAACTATGCAAGACTCGTTGCATTTCGAAAATATCGAGACAAGCATGAGGTTTAAGCTAGAGCCGCCCGAGCGTATCGTGACTGCAGTGGTCTGAGATATACAGACGATGCTCCTCCAGAGGCACAACCGTTACGACAAGATGGTCATGAGAATGCAAAAGTCGTCTCGACATCGAAGATGTCCAGTGAGACTTGTTGATGTGCTTGAAAGAAACAGCAGTCTCGTTGGACAGTACTCTTATGATGTAATCATTGTGCAAGAGTATGAACCAGATAGACCAAGTATCGAGAAAGGAAACAGATGGTTATTTTTACACTATAATACAAGACGGGGTATCAAAAGGGGTATCTTCAGCGACAAACACCATCTCCACCAACAATCTTCTCCAAAGCCTCATGAACAACTCTCCTCTGCCACTCGGCCAAATCTCCAACCTCAGCAGCTCTCGCCAAGAACCCCACGCACTCCTCCTGAGCAACTTGCTCTCTAGCCCTCTGCACCTCTCTAGCAACCGTAGCAGCAAGTGCAGCACCCACAGCACCACCGGGCACCAAAGGCAGACCGACATTGACGGCAGCATTGGCGGGTGCTCTGTGGCGCCACACAGCACACAGCACACACGCACAGTGCTGCAAGTCTTCCTTGAGCAGCGAGGTGAGATGTACACCCCAAGTGGCCCAGCTCTTGAAGTACTGGCTGCTGGGGTGGCCGTAGATGCGCAGCTCCCTGCGCGCGGCGTAGACGCGGTGTTCTGCTTGGTAGCCGGCAGGGAGATCGCGGATGGCGAAGGAGATGCCTCCTNNGTAAGAAATTCAGTCACAGACCCCTAAAAGCAACAAAGCTGGATAGAACTACTCACCGAAGAGGACTTGAAGGTCAGCCTGGCGGCTAATGGCCGCGCGAAAGTCGGTGGCGACCGTGTCGGGGTCGATGACCGCGAAGAGAGGGTCGTTGTGGTGGCGGAACGCCGCATCGCCGTCCGAGGGCAGCAGATCCAGGTCGATGGCCTGGACGGGGGAGGGGCANGCGGCAGGGAGACGGAGAGCACCGATGGTGGGATGGAAGGCGGCCATTGTTGATGATGAAGAGCGGTTGGCGACCAGAGAGGGGAAAGTGATGTCTTCTTGTTGCGTGAGTGGTAGTGGTGATAGGGTTGGAAAGATGCACGGTCTGTTGTGTTGACGCGAGACGCGGTGACGGATGTAGCTAGGGCGACTAGAGTTTGTTAGGTGAACAGACTGGCCGTAAGTGTGACTTTCACCCTTTCAATGGACATCCATAGATCTTGAAGAGCTTTGTGCATATCAATAGTCATCTATGACGAGACATGTGTACGCTGGAACTTGAATGCACAGGCCACAAAGGTTTCTACATCGATTCGCAACGATATAGAAAAAGGCAACTATAGAAATGCAGAGACTTGTAACATTCTCAAGAACATCCAGAGAAGCAGCAGTATATCAACTTCTCTTGCTCGTCATAATCGTCCAATCCTCCAACTTCGGCAACCTCAAAGCCGCCATACCAAACCTAGGCACCTGATGCATCCAAGTCTCTTGCGTACCCATATTCCACACCCACTTCTGCGGCACCGGATAGCACACTTGCTCAGTCCTAAACGCTTGATTCTTATCTCCCGTCGTTGTCCTCTCTGGTTGATCTGCACCTTTGTCCCGCCATAAGTCCCATTGCTTCCGAAGAGTATAAGCCAAAGGGTACACAACAGGCCTGCCGATGCTCTTGCAGCCTCGAGTCACTGTAGCGGATCATAGCGTAGGGATCTCCACCGAGTAAATAAACACAGAAAGCGGAACCCAACTCATTAGACCTGTCTCCTTGGATCCATGGTTCCGAGGGAATCGTGTCGTTGGGTAAAGGGAAGTAGGCGCCATTGAAAGCGTGACAGAACTCGTGCACGATGGTGTCGGCGAGGAAGAAATTTGTGCGGTCGTAGGCGGAGGTGGAATCCGTCTTCTTGGGACGACGAGAGGCGGGTACATTGGTCTTGTCGAGCCATACTTCGAGATAGTCTTTGTGGTTCGAGGTACCATTGGAAAAGTCGTCGTCGTATCTCTGGAGGACATTGAGGAAGGTCTGACAGAGGAAGATCTTGGATTGGTAACAGTCACTGGCTGTATTCAGTACTCATTTGCAGCAGGAGGGATGGCTTGACTTACTCGCCTGACGCTCTCATTTTGTCGCCACTGGCATCTTCTCGCCATTCGGCCAATCCAAAAGCGCAGTCTGCTACCATGTCCCGTTGAGGTGCAAAGGTCCAAGTCATCCAGTTGCGCATGGCCAGAATCTTTTGGTAGACCGCAGTCTGCTGTGCATTGGTCAAAGTGGCAGGTACACTCACAACCTTACATACACCATGAACCTCATCCTCAAATTCTGCCATAGCCTTGACATCCGCAACAGCGTACAAAAAGGTAAGGGTGGCCGGATCATCAAGCAACGCACTCGCCAACAGCAAAGCCGGCTCCAGTAGCCCATACTCCTCGTCATCGATATCCTTCCACATCTCTCTTCTCAGAACTGGATGGATGCGCTTTTCATCGTCCTGACCTGGGTTNCTTGCTCGTGCTAGTCGTCCGATTGGTGCCATATACTCCTCCTCTTCTGGCGCATCATATCGCAAAAACCCAGCCTTTTCGAGCACAGGAAAGCCCCATTTTCCAATNAAACCATGCCATTTCTGCTCCTGCGTCGGAGGACCAAGAGGATACTTCGCAGGCCAGTAAAACATGTTATCCCAATCTGGAAGCTCATAACCGTCAAACCCATCAATGTCTAGTGGGCGAACTTCAATGCCAGTACCGTGGGCATCTTTGCGTGCTGTGTAGCGCCAGGAATGCTGTTTCCAGTCTGTCTCGTGGGCGGTACCGTTGATGTTTGTCCAAGGAGGTAAGCGGGGAGGATCCATGGCTGTGTGAATGCGTGACGCGGCGGTTGGTGGAGTGGTGATGCTGATGACACTTGAAGTGATGGACTCGTTGTCGGACTCATCGCCCGCGTCTGGCATTTCTATATCGTCGAAGTCGTTCATCTTGCTGTGCTTATTGATCGCTGAGCTAGGTTCGACAATTTCATGTTGTGGGCTCGCGTGTACTGCTTGAGCAGAGTCTGTGATGTTCTTTGACGTGCAAAGCCTGCCGGATGCGGGACCGCACAGAAAGTGGGTACATGTTAGGTCAAACAAAGCTTTGTGTCGAGTACCAGCCAGAACAAAGCTTCAATGGATCGGTTTGGAAGTATATGACTTGTTTTTGGCATGCCAAAAGGCATGCTATTTGTCGAGCAGAGACCGAGCAAGAAAGCTGCGTCAAGTGAACGGTATGACGAATATATGCTGCATGTTTTGCTATCTTCCCATCTAAAACTCCTCGCTCACAACCTCAGACCCAATGCTGCGTCTTCGCAAAGAACTCATTCCTATTCCACCTCTCCTCACCCGTACGCCACTGCCCCCTCGACCCACCTCTATAATACATAACCTGCCACCAAGGCAACTTGGGCAACCTCACGGCCTCAAGCCCAAACCTCTGAACCTCACTCTCCCACATATCATCCCCAAACATCCTCTGGAACCACTCTTGCAAAATCGGATACATCCTTCTACACTGTGTATACTCTAGCGCGCCGTTTACAGGGATGATTGTGGAGTGTGACCAGGTGGTGGCGTCAAACCATTGGTCCCAGTGGTCTTCGAACCAGGCGCCAAAGGGCATGGCAACCGACTGTGCCATGGCGTATAGATGGCTGATGGGTGGGATAGCAATGACCATCGCGCGGGGTAAACCTCCAAGTACAAAGTTTTCGAGACAGCAGCCTTGTTCATTTGAACGTGTGCCACGGAGCCAAGGTTCGCGGGATTGAATGGAGGGGCCAAGGTCCTCGAAGTAGGCATTACAGAAAGCGTGGGCGAGTTCGTGGAGAACGGTAAAGGCGAGCATGAGGTGTGTGCGCAGTTGAACAGACATAGTATCGATGTTTTCGCGTTTGTGGGCGGGGATGCGCGCCATGCGTTGCAGTTGCCAGAATGGATTCATAATCTCGGCGGTGCCCTTGTCGATGTTTGTCTTGATTTCAGATAGCACTTTGAGGTAATGGTCGTCGAGTACGATGGTGCTTTTTCTTGTATTTCTGTATGCTGGATTAATTCATGCTTGCGGTTTATGGAATCGATACTCANNCGGTCTTGCTGCAGGAATGGCAAAACCGAATTGATCAAGTTGCAGATTTGTCACGCCGTAAGCGGCATACTCCGAGTTTTCCATCTCTGCGATACTAAAGCTTGTGTATTCGCGCATCTTGCAGATTGCCTGGTAGGTGTGGAATTGTTCGTCGTCGGTAAGAGTGGCTGGGATATCCGTGGTCTTGCAAGTCAGACCAGGGCCAAACACTGTCTGCATCGAATTTACAGGCTGCTGTACAGCGTAAAAGTAATTCAAAGTAGTAGGGTCGTCCAAGATGGCCGATGCAAGCAGCAAACCTGGCTTGATCAATGCATACTCATCTTGACTGATGCCTCGCCACATGTCATATCTGAAAATAGGATGCATATGTTCCGTAGGATCTTTTGTGGGGTTTCGCCAAAAGCTACTCAATCCTTTGTTGAGCCTTCCAGCTGGTCCATTGGTCGCGTTCTCCTTGGGTTGTACCGAGTTGATGAACCCAGCTGCATTCAAAACCTTCAGTCCATATTTTTCGTGTATTGGGTGGTAATCTGGCTGTTCACTCGGAGGTCCCAATGGGTACATCTGCGGCCAATCTTCTTCCCAGCGTTTACCCATACCGGTTGGATCATCGTGATTCACTTCTCGTACCGCGAACGCAGACTTGTCAGCTTTTAATCGTGTGGTGTAATTGTCGCGCACGTCGGACCATAGCTGCATTACAGTTTGATTATCGTACTCGTCGAAGCCTAACACAGGGACGTCTGGAGGAAATGGAGCGCTGTAGCCTCGTGGAAGATATGGCTGAGGTGGAAGCTGACTTGCAGGTTGGGTTGGAGGCTGAGCAGTACCAGTGGAAGCATGGGTCATATCCGTGTCGACACCCATAGGTGAGCCAACGTTCATAGGTGTGCCTAAGCTTATAGATGAGCCGATGTCCATGGGATCAGGGTGTGGCCTTGCCATCTTGTCAGCAGTAGAGTACTGAGCTCAAAAGGGTAGTCGTTCCGTACTTGCAAACAACTGGACAGAACACCAAAAGTACATCGTTGACAGTCAGTATAACCCACCGAAAGCGGAAAGGAGAAGACAAAGAAGTCAAAAGCACTCTCGTCGCGACTCGAGTATTTACCTCGAGCTGGATCAGACAAAGAAGCTGATCGCTAAAATCGCCTTTGTCTTTGTTAAAGTCTGTCATTGTAGGCTTGCGGAGTCGAGATGTAATCGCATGGGCAAGAGTTTGGTGGTATACAGCGTTATAGGCAGAACATCGCCTATATGAGGCTGTTGTAATGTAATGAGGTCCTGTTTGATGATTCCTCTGCAACGCGCGGTTTGCGAAGTCGAGATTCAGCAAGCCAATTCCTGTGGGAGTCGAAACGGAGTCCGGCACGGATATAGCTCCAACGCGGATCCATGCCTCGATTGTGCTACTGGTTTCTTGAGCTTGACCCCGCGAGGACGTCTTGGGGGCAGACTTTGCATGACGACGAGGAATGTCTGCACGTTTGGGCGTGATGTGCTCTAGGCATGCCCTTATTCCAGGAAGCATATATTGGTCTGATGCGAGGCAATCGTGCATCACTTCTTCAAGCCTTCTTAGCGAAACCAGGATTCTGTTCCAGCGTCTGGCCAATGAAGCCACGAAGAGCAGCCCATCTGCTGGACGAACCACTGGCGTCAGGGGCAGCTTGAGCAGGCACGCTCATGCTTGCCAGATTCTTTCCGAATCTTTCCTTCTCGCTCTCCTCCATCTTTTGCTTTCTCTTCAGGGCACCCGGTCGTGATTTCAACGTCTTCAACTTCATCTTTCCATCAGCCGGCTTTGCCTTTCTGACTCTGACCATCTTGCTCAGTTCACCCAGTGCACCATCCATGCCATCTGTTTTCTCATCCTCATCAATGCCTTCCCACTCATCATCACTGTTCTCCTCTAGCTCTGGCAAAGCGTCTGCCAGCGAGTCCAAAGCGGTATTCAATTTNTTCCCCGGACGACGGCGTTTCAAGGGCTTCTTNTGCGACTTTTCGATGCGCGAGATGAGCGTGTCGTGTTTTAAAGCGCGCTTGCCGGCTTTTGTATTTGAAGAGGACGTTGTGACGTTGGGGGCCGTGGTTGCGGGTCGCGAGGCTGCGGCGACTTTGGCGCGCATCGTCGTGCGCTTNTTGCCGTTTGTGGGTGCCTGTGCTATGTTAGGAGCTGAGCGTTGATGACCCTATAACTCGCGTACCATTCTGATGTGGGTATCTACGGTAGCCTGATATGGGAGAAGCTTTCAGGGGCTAGGGGGTGTGTATAGACGTCAAGATAGGAAGTCGCGATGCGAGACTGGAAGTTGCGATTCTGTCGGTCGCGACTTCTCAAAAATCTCCAACATTGATGGGCCTGGTCTGTGCTCACACTCGTGCTCTCGTTGTCACCTCGGGACTCAGAATACGCCCGAGGAAGAACATCGGGGTGCTTCAACGACATGTCCTAAACCTCTTCTACATTGTGACAACTTTTTAGAGTCAGCATCGCGACGCTTGTGAAAGTATTGATTCAGAGGTATCATGATGGAAACAAATGTCGCATCCAGATTTGCTATTCGAAACTCGGTGCTCAGCTCAAGACGGTTCCGTGTGCACTCACATTCCTCCGAAGCTGCCATTCCAGCCACCCTGTCTTCGACGGACTACGCCTCCAGCAAAGCCTTGAGCCTTCCGTAGAAGCTATATCCTGTCAGCGATCTCTTTGATTTTGAGAGGAGAGTCGATTGTCAGATAACATGTCTCTCTTGCTTTCCGGACCAAGAAGAGTTCACGTTTATGACTTTCTACTAGCATGATAGTTGGTGTCATGCCCTGCGAAACACTGTCCGTACGCTGTTCTCGTCAGAGTCGGACTTGAGTTTTGATCAAGTCCGCATACGGTACAATGATTCAGACTATACCGTTGAACCAGTAGGTTGAACATGATGTTCTTGCCCTGCAGTGAGGATCTTCCACTCTGAACCTATCATCCTTGCAACTATACCCTGGGCTCTGTCTCTTCTCCCTGTCTCTTTCTTTCGAAGCTGAAGGCGCTCTTCCTTTACCGCATCCTGGATTTCTTGAACTCTTTCGCGACCCTTTCTCGCTGAGTTGGAGACTACGTAGATCAAGATCGAGTCGTGTCGTCCGGAGTCGTCTTCATCTCCTGCCAAGGCTCGTACTCGTCCACAAATCATACCAAACATCTTGAGACTCTTCCGTCGCTACTACTTGAACTCGTTCGTGTGCCGAGAAAACGACATCGATAGATAGTCAGCCTCGCTCGACACACAATTGCAGGTCATCATCAGCATCAGTCGTTGCCCATCACAGCACGACACCTCACGCACCATCATAACACCACCATCGGGAGTGTGGCATGGAATCGGCAGTTTGGGCTCTGTCTCGCGGATCGTCATGAACAATTCTGCAGGCGTGAGGGTGAAGCAAGCAATCAATATCGCCAGCATTGTGTCCACTGAAGGCGGTATCGATAACGATAGGGGGATACCCGGTCTGCTGTCAGAAGTCTACATGAGACACTTTGTCTCTCATCTTCTGCGTAAGTATACCCTCTTCGTCACCACAGCTGAACCTTGACTAACTCCCTCGCCAGGTATCCCCATCCGCAAAGTCCCCAAGCCCACCACCCAACACCTCGATGACTCGGGACCATGCCTCAAGATCCCTTTCTGGCGCGGTTGCTCAGGGACACGCAAGAGTTCTACTGGCAACTGGATGCCTACAATCGATGGGCGCGATGACCCTGAGCCCGAGGCTGAGAAGCAGGAGCACACGGAAGAGGAGGAAGATGCTTTGACGCAGCTATTCGAAGCTTGTATGAAGGAGGTCCCGTGGGTAAAGACTGCTTTGAAGGCTGGAAAGAGACAGGAGAAGGCAAAGAAGAAGAGTTGTGCTGGTGGTGAGGCACGTAAGGTGCAGGAGGGATAAGAAGACCAGTGTTTCTAATGGCAGAGGTGCTATCTTTGGCGTGTGTTGAAACGCAAATTGTTTATTATGCAAACGGTACTGTTCGTTGGAGTGCGGTGCTCAGTAATATCACCCTCCTTCGCGGCTCGAGTAAGAATGATTCATCCCGCTGCCTAGAGGCCGTCTTCATTGTCAGAGCTCGCAATCGAGGACCGCCGCCTGCACGACATCAACACCATCTTTGCGCCTCGGCGAATGGGATGCCCATCCCAGCCAGGATAGGCCACACTCAACCTCATACGCCCCTTCTCGACTTGTCAATCATCTCAATCGACTTCATCGAACATGCTCAGCTCCAGCAAGCGCAACGCCCAGCGTGTGAGCCAGTCTGGCGGTGCTGCCTCGGCCACTGGGTCGAGTGCTCGCTTGTCACCTGCTCGCGTTGATGGCAACCGTGATCTCGTCCCCACCGGACCCGCTCCTCAGTTGATCGAAGGCGTTTCCAACAATGTCAAAAACATCGATCTCCGCGCTAACATGTGTTCTGACGCTCACGGGTCAGCCCGCTTGCAAGCTCGGCAGAGAGGTCAACATCCAGTTGAACGCTTTCATCGTTCCTCGTCTGCCCCTCATGCCCATCCACCAGTCGAGTAGCCTTGTTGTCATTGCCTTCCTGGGCTGCGCGCCTACTTCAATGGTACCGCCACCTACGACAAGAAGATCCTCCAGACCATCACTGTGCACATCATGCGCGAGATCGCATCCAACAACCTTCCATCTCCGGTTCTTTCGACAAGGATGTCGAGACAGAGTTCCCAGACTCACACAAACACCATGGAGAAGTTCTGACAACGACAATATTCGATACGACGTGTCCTGAACACCCACGTTCAGAAGGCTCAGCCTCAGTACATCTCGAACGTGTTGATGAAGTCCAACGCTAAGCTGGGCTGCTTCACCCACGACTTTGATTTCTCTTTCCATCCTACTCAACAAGCCAACTTCCAACAAAACCACAACATCAAGCTGCAGTATCTTGGCTCGCCTGTCGTTCAGATGATCAAGAAGAATTTCATTCGCTGGCTGCTCACGCTCAGCAACGTCCATGGCAAGATCAAGCGCTACTGCGAATGCAAGCTCGAAATCCCTTCTCAAGATGTCCAGTACGCCCACGTTCAGAACGAGCAGGTCCTAGGTCCAGGCAATTGAAGAGGTGGTCTGGCCTGGGATCCGTGACCTCATGTCACTGGTCCTTGGTCCGGGCAATTGAAGAGGTGGTCGGCCCGGGACCAGTTGACAATACATATACAAGCGACAGCAGCTTCTTTCGGGCCCAACTGAGCGATGCTCGCACTGGTAAGCCCCTTACGAGTTTTGCTTTTCTCTTTCTACTGCTAACACTTCCTAGTTCCTGCCAGCAACATCCAGCACCAAGCTCAGGGTGGTTTCGGCCCTCCCAACGGTCCCGACTGTAGTATCAATTTCAAGAGTTTGCCCCGTTGGTATTGCTGAACACTGGCCCTTGACTTCAAGGCTCGACTGGCTGGGAAGAAGGAGTATGCTCTTGACCACAAGTCCTGTAATGGTTGCAGTATCAAATTCAACTCGCAGTTCAGAGGCATCGTCGACAACATCAATGATCCAGACTTGATCTTGATGGGTAACAAGTGCGGTGTTGTTCGGATTTGCTCAGCGCAAGCCCATCGTTGCCTAGATTCATGAGCTTCATGGTGGGCAGATGTGAGAAATGGTAGACAGGAAGACGGCGAGAGAGAGATGGTAGGGAGTGGAAGAAGAGGAGAGTATTGAGGAGAAGGAGGAAGTGGCTGACTGTGCGAAGCAGAGAAAGAAGGAACATGCTACAACTTATCTCAAGCTCATGATCAACGTTTTGCTACCATCTTAGCTTCTTATCTTCGCGACTTCTGCTTACTTGGTGACTTCTTTGCTGTTTCCTCCATGACTTCATCCACATCTTCTGCTTGATACTGACTTCTTCAGTCCAAAGCAACAACTTCTCCACGAACGCGACTTGGTTTCCTCGCAAACACGATGACATCTTTGTCGACTTGCAGCCGCCACTACACAGCGACTTTCACCAACACACGCCATCTCTACTCAGAAATCTGTGTTTACGTGCGACCCCAGAACCGACCTTTCCAATCCTACCGCCGCTTGCGCATCTTCTGCGACATCAAGGACGAGCATTGCCCCGCTTCCACATCTTCCAGATCCTGGCCAACATCTGCCTGCAAACCCTGTTGCTCGAATGTGTACACGACTGGCCATTTCCAATACACGAGCGAGGGGCGCCTGGGTGAAGGTCTGGTGAGTTCCCTTTCTAGCGCTGAACGAGCAGGATGCGCGCTGGCTGCAGGTGATATCAGCGAGATGCTAGAGAGAAAGCATGACTTGCCTTTTGGCGAGGAGCTGCGCAGTGACTCCGCCTGCTCAATGTGTTGCAAGAGACGAAACGAACGGGAGACCGCAGGGAACGAGCCTGGCAAGGCGACCCCAGCCACAGAACGGCGAATTCGATCAGGACAAGAATGCCTTTGGGGTCAACAAGAGGATTGAGCAGCGGTCGCGAAGACCTTCAAAAGCACCGGCGAAACTCGACCGCAATGCTGGTACATTCTTCTGAAGAGCCGGAGAAAGGATGCAGAATCTAAGACGCTGCTGCAGTTGAAGAGCTACGCCGACGTCATACACATCCTAAACGAGCAAGAGGCCAATATATGGAAAGCTGATCCAACACTGAGCACGCGGATGCCCACGAACTCATGCGGCGTCGTATGCGCCCTCGTTGACGATCAAAAGATTGCATCCCGTCGCGCTGGATACATCGACGAGCCAAGAAATCGACACCCGGTGCTCTGTGTTATTCTCAGAGCAAAGAGTCCAAAACTTGACAGATGATCAAGTCAAACCGCGATAGCGGTTGCAAAAGAAATAGAAGACATCCTCACCATGCGACGGCGACTCAGAAAGATGGAGAAAGAGCAGAACGACGAATAAGAATCAAGGGCAAGTCTTGTTACCGATACTACTGATTAACCGAGACCAAAGCCGACATCCAGTATCTTGAGCCCGATCACGCCGGTCGTACTCGCTTTGCAGAACTCAGCTTCGACTTCGCCCTGACGTACTGCCATTTCTCTCACTAGCACCGCCAACATCCATGTTCAAGTCACAAAAGCCTTTGTCGGTTCCAGGTCGTCGAGAAAGACGTTCTGTTTCGGTTTATTCGATTCTGCAAGAGCTGCCTGGGAACAAAGAGCTAAAGAGGATGTCAAGACCGTGTAAGAGCTGAGCGAAGAGGTCGAAAGTTGCGTCCGGCCTGAACGCAAGCAAAATCATCACGCTTGTCGCTCAACTGAAGCGCAGAAGAAAGGATGCAGGCATGGGCCATATTTTAAACGCCACGACTTCACACGGCTTTGCGGCTCAGCGTGCAGTCGAGCGGCTCGCCTGCAGTTGCAGCTCTTCTTCAAATAACTCAACAGGTCCATTCTGCTACCGACAAACGACGACTGGAGAAGAGGTATTTCGAGCCAGCCTGAAGCTCACAGAAGACTGATTCTGAACGACTTTTTCCAACGTCAAAGAAAGACAAGAAGGATGATTTTGATCGTTGCCAGATCGCCTGTATCCCAGGATAGATTCTCACGATTTCTGCAACTGAGAATACGTCGTGCAAAACAAGGTTAGCGGAATACGTCAACGGCTGATGGACTGTCCCGTCTCCGAAAGGCTACCACAACCTCACCTCACAGTTCCCATTGCCTCTGCTCTTCGATATCAGCAACCTCTCGTCATTGCAACCAAATCAATCAGACTTACATCCCGACCGTCTCGAATTATCATGGCCAGCCTGCAAAAACCGCCAGCGACAGCACATCCAAAACCACTGACTCTCCCAGCCCCCAAGAAATCAACGAAGAATCCACCTCCGCAGCCCAAAAGGCCCTCGACCTCGAAAAACAAGCCAAAGACCTCACAAACGCAGCGGCCGCAGCAGCGGACCCCGAAGAGCGACAAAAACTGCTCAATGAGGCTCTATCCAAAACCATCGAAGCCCAGTCACAAGGAAAGGTCGCAAAGTATCTGTCCTCAGGCGCGTTCCAAGGGTTTTTGACTGGAGGCGGCGTGGGTACGGGTGTTGGTGCGGGGTTAGGCGCGTTGACGGGGACATTGGTGGGGGTGTGAGTTCGTTGGCGCTGGGGGGAGTGTTAGGCGGCATTGGGTCTGCGGTGGGTGCATTGCATGGGCCGTGGTTGAGGCCGGACGAAATCATTGGGAAAGGCGTGAATGCGTTGTCGGGCATGCTACCAGGGTGGAACTCGATGGGTGACCAAAAGCAAGTACTCGAGAAGATTATTGGGCAGGTCAACGAACAGAAAGCGCCGTCTTTGGAGGAGCTCGAAGCTATGGCGACTGGCAGGGGCTCGGAGAGTCAGGCTTGAATGGATAGCGCAGAGCCGCATGCACATGGCAATATCTCACCCCAGCGGAGAAGAGCGACGATCAAGGTTACGGTATACCGCAACGCGCCTCGGCAACCGAAATCGAACGAAAGAGACCTGCAATGTCATGATAGCCGACAAGTCTTTCTTCATTCACCAGCGCCGGACTGAACAACCAAAACAGCACAAGACTCCACCTTTGTGCTCCTGAACTCCAAGGCGAGGTCTGGTCAGCGGACACGATGTTCTGGCCTGACTTGTTCGCGAGTCCGACGTCGACCAGCAGGACCCATGAAATGCAGAATCTGTCAGAGCAGTGTCTGCCGCGGTGTAAGAGAATGTTGACAGCTTTGTGCTCCCTGCTAGACCCACCTGTCTTTGCCATGGCTCTCTGAATGCGGCTTGAGCGACGGCAGACATGCGCTATCTTTCGCTGCTGTTCTTGCCACAACCACATTTTTTACTCGTAGTCGCAACCGACTTAACCGAGATTTACAAATGACATTTCTTTTGGCGAAACTGCAAATTTATTCCTGAATGGAGCGGCAGATTTTCATTGCTTGATTCGTCCCTTGCTTCTTCGTGGCCTGGGTCTAGGTACAGAAAGTAGTCGAGACGGCGGATATATTCGCTTCAGAGTAGCAGAACAGTCTTCGCATGTTCTGCCTCATCCCATCGACTGACCAACTCGTTGTGTTCGTCCCTTCCCACGAGCTTCCGGTACTGTAGAGCTACGTCCAAAGGCTAGCCCACGCCTTTAGTTGCTAGAAAGACACAGCACTAGCTAGTCAGAAGATATACAAGGCCGGTTCTGGATATGGCAAGGAAAGGGAGAAGAGAAGAAGGACCAGAAAGAGCGAAGGATGAAGGTTGCTGCTGGAATAGGTTACACAGGGATTCGAGATGCTTGTTCCACCGTTTGCGGAGAAGGCCTAGACGTGGCGTTGGCCATGGATTATGTGGAACTGTCAATGCGACCGCATACATGATTTAGCGGAACATTGAGAAGTCTTGTATTTAGCTGTCTCGCTGACAGTATGATGACCCACAAGATTGCAGTCCATATGTATTGGTCAGCTGCCGAATCAGTTGGTGGGAAAAATCAACCGAATATATGACATCCCAGTCTGAATGTGACTAGACATGAGATTATGGCTGTCCAGCCCTGAGAGATAGCAGAAAGGATCTGTACATACCTTCCCAGAGCCTCATACGGTGCTTGAACAGTACGAGGAAAGAGTGCTGCATTGGGAGGGCGAATGTGCTTCTCGACAGGGTCATACCATTGACGAAGTTGACTTGTTAGTTTTGCTCGATCTCCGCATCCGGCATCTCCAGCAAACCCCAGCATTTCTTGCGACCTTTGCTCATCTCCACCCATCACAACACCCACCGCTTATGTCTCTATCATGAATATACCGTGTATACCGAAATGGGGTCTTGCCGTAAAGGTAGAAGAAACGGCTCAGTACCGTTAAGGATTTGTGTCTAACGAAAGCCGTTTCGGCGTCCAACGTTCGCTCCTTGTTTCTTGCTATGTACTTTGAGTCTTTCCCTCTTCATTCTGCATCTCCGGTTCTTATTTCAATAACCTCCATTACTATACAAAGATGACAAAATTGTTCGGCGTCTCAGCCATCCTGGCTATCCTGGCAACCTCGACCACAGCTACAGATCTCAACACCACAGACCTACTGGAAGAACGGGCGACAGCAAAAAGTCATGCATGATAACCGTGCCCGGCGTCGGTCGCTTCAATCAATACGTCAAATACGACTTTGCAAAATGGACAAGTTTTCCTCTTGGACTTGCTATCAGCAATTACGGCATCACAGCGGACCCCGACGACGACGAACACCCTTTTGATCAACATTATGGTCCCAATAATGTGATCTTGAAACGCGGTCGCCCGTTGCAGCTGAGGGTCCCTGGAGGACAGACACACTCGCCTATTCAAGGTGCTGAGTTCACGACTGCTTATGATGATATTCTTTACGCTTCTGTACGCACGGTAGCGAAAGTGAGCGCTGTGCCTGGCACTTGTCATGGTATCTTCCTCCACTTTTCCCATTTACCACCCTTACTGGTCCAGTGAGTCCTAACAACAACAACAANNGGCTTCTTCTTCTACCACTCCGACACCCAAGAAACAGACATCGAGATCCGCACTTCGTTCCCCGACCAAATCTTCCTCACCAACCAAAAGACCTCTGCCAGAGCTGCTGAGTCCACCTTCTCCATCGACCCTCCTTGCGATATGAGTGCTGGGTTCCACGAGTATAGATTTGATTGGCTGAAGGGCGCGACCAAGTTCTATGTGGATGGAGAGTATGTGGGTGCGATGAAGAAGAATGTGCCCACGGTACCTGGGAGTATGGTTTGGTGAGTTTTTACTGGGTTCGTCATGGTTAGAGATCATGCTAATGGTGATTTGCAGGNNAACAATTGGGCCAATGGTGGAAGCTGGAGTGGTGGACCCCCGGAGAAGGACAATATTTTGGAGATCCAGAGTATTGAGATGTACTATAACAGGACGAGCATTACTGGGGTGAACTGTAAGTAGACGTTAGTTTGCGCTGATATAACCGAACAAATTGTTCGAGGAAAAGTTGGAAAGCTTTAGAGCCAAAGTCTTCAAGCATTTCTGTATCTGTTTCAGTGTCTGGTGGTTGACCAAGAGATCTAGGCCAAGGTTCAGATATCATATCAAACTTCCTCATGGCAAGAGTACGAAATCTCTTTGAGGAGATCGCAGGTCGATGCACAAGATGATTCGGTACCTTGCGACGAACTAGATGGACTTATCGAATGTCTGTCTTGCCCGATACCAAGCATAGCTGGAGTGCGTGCAACTGCCCTATGCGCTTCAACCCCATGATGTTGCGAGATATGCATTAGTAGGAATCAGCATGAACATCTCTCAGAAACTCGATCTTACGTCTCCTGGGATGCCGTCACACTTCTTACTTTGCTCAAACGAGAAGTGGTATTGCGCAGATGAATCAGCTGATCTTCCTAGATCTCGAACCAAGATAGAGCTGCGTGAACTATCGGTATCTGCGGACCGAATGAAGGATCTTGAATTACTCAGTCATGAGACTGTTGTTACGAAGAACAAAAAGATACCATAGGGTTGCTATGCTGCATGGAGAGAGAGTGACAAAAGCAGCATTGTCTAAAAGAGACAGAGGCGCATCAACAAAAAGCGCCATTACCATGAGGCCCATCCCAGCGATGGCATTCGAGATGCTCAGCAACGAATGATCCATTGGCAGACGCGCAAGACGAACCACGGGAACACAGGCGGCTATGCAGATGAGTGGGAATCGCACCAGGGAAGCAAAGCAGCGTGGAAAATCAAGAGCGAAGCTCAAAGGCTGGAGAAATTGGTCAGCTACAAGAGTGGTAATAATGCAATTGTAGTGCACATACCTGACAGAACGACCAAAAAGTGAGCAGGCAATGCGAGGCTGGAACCGCTCTCCTGAGCCAGATTGAAGGCAGTTGGAACGACGAAAACCGAAGAAACAAGCATGGTGGGTGTATGGTCTGCCAGAAGAAAGAGCGTCACCGCATGGGCTTGAGTCGCAAGCTTCGGCATGGCGAGGAAGACGATCAAGGAAGGGATCCGAGGAAGACGAAGACTGAAGGAGCTTGGTCAGCTGTGGGCAAGGAGAGATAGTCGAAGCGTACATTTACCAGCGTGCGAGATAAACGAAGAGAATCGTCACACGAAATCCAAAGTTGGTTCAAATTCGAGAAACCTCATGAACGGATGGAGCAGTAGCGGTACACGTTCGTATGTAGAGGACTGAATGCAGTCACAAGTACATTGGAATGGAATGCCACAATGGAGGATGACGAGCATCGATGCAATGGCAGGAGAGCCTGAGCTGAGCGTAACTCCTCAGCGAGGATGAGGGCATAGCCCTCATGCGACGAGGAGAACTAGTAGGTGCTAGATTTGAGAGAAGCGATTTCAGGTTGCCCCTTGCCAGTAGGTCAGAGCGACGCGGGTACCATCAGCAGCCTTCGTATCGAGGATCTGCACGAAGTTATGAATCGTAGGCTCGACTGGACAGTCGTAACGATAGCTGATGGGTGCTTTGTAGACCCGAGATCATCCATCCGGAAAGGAGTTGTTGTAGCGTTCAGCAGGCTCAGACATGATCAAGGTTGATGTAGTGATCTCGAGGCGATGACCAAGTTGGAGTTGTGTGGATGAGAGAAAGGGGCGCTGCAGCTAGAGTTGAATGACATGCAAACACATCGAAACCACTGCCAAGCCTTAAAGAGCCTAGTAACCAATTGTCCGTCCTATTCCAGAACAGTCTACAGGCTCGATACATTTTTGTTCAAACATCTCTAGCTACACTTTCATACAAGACCACTTTCCAAAACATTCGCGCGTCCGCACTATCAGCCATCAACAACCAACCACATCCACCCGACTCATATCCACCAACTCTCCTCTACCTCTCATCTGTATGTATATCCTGATCCGGCGAGTAGATTTTTCCATAAACTGACTGGCCAAGAAGCAAGATCATACAAACATGCCTGCCACCAAGGCCGCCGCCGCCGCCGCCCGCATGATTGCCGGTGCCGTGGTCTTCGTTCCCACCCTCGCCGGAAGCGTTGCTCTGGAACAGAAGTATGCCTTGCCTTTGCTCTTGCTTCGACGCACGATTAACCATCACACTATAGGGTCATTCAGGAGAAGGCCGAGATGGACGCCAAGTGGCTCGAGGAGCACAAGGGCGCCAGCAAGCGCCAGGAGCTGGCCACCAACGAGAGACCCGCCGCTCCCAAGAACACCTGAGCCATGCTCAACTCAGAGTGGCTACAAGCAATCAACATCTGAGCAAGCAGGAAGAAGAGAGAGTTCAGGGATGTATCGAGCATGCCCGGTGTTGTCATCAGAAGCAGCCTCGAACAGATGTTCGGCGCGATACCAGTTTTTTGACCTTCTCCCTTGAGCTGTATTCATGAATGTGACCCTTTCTCAATGCATGATGTTATGTGGGCAACCGCCTTTGACCAAAGGAGGATCTTCATCAAGAAGTATAAGTGAGGACATTTGATGCTCGACGACTTGTCAGTGAACGTGACAGTCAGACGTCGGTCCCAGCTTGGTGGCTCACTCCACGACGTTCCTCCTACTCAGCTTTGTGCGCTTCGCTTTCTTCTCTCCTCTTCTTCCTCTCTCATCCATAACACCATTCACAATCTTCAAGATCTTCGTCCTTATTGGCAACTCAGCCTACAGTAAGTCTGCCTTCTCATTCTTTGCATCACCACGATCCTTTGGCCCCGCATCAGGCAATCCTACATCAAAAAGCAGCGCAGGCATCTCGGCACAGCATCTTGAAGATGTCGTACGCGAGTAGAGGCGCAGATGCTTCTTCTCGTTTCGCGATGTCTCGCGCAGAAGATCTTGCAAACATGGCTTCCATGCCTTTCCTGATCTCCTCTCTTGCACATCCAGATGGCGGCCGGGAACACATGCGCAGACACGTCTATTCGTCTCGCTGGGCATCTCGCACTCGTCACTATCATCTCTTTCATGCCCCATCCTCCCTTGCGTTCCTTCCCGGTTCTACGCGAGAGCTCCATCGATATGCACCCCCAATCCACATAGCAAAGATCTTACTGACGTCTTCGCATTCAGCAGCAAGGCCCATCAGGCTCGGCCCTGGGTCCAGGCAATCGAATAGGTAGCTTGGCCCGGGGTTGGCCTCCTCTCCACCCGCATGACCGGAGAATCACAGGCCGGGTGGTGCGGGGCGGGCTATCGCTAGGGAAGGGCGCCATCCAGATCAACTGCAAGTATGTCTTTGCCATCACCTTCTCAACAGATCTTGACACTGACACTTCAGTAGACTTGGGTTGCTGTTCCGGCCCACTCGGCTGGACAGCACACCCTTACCATGGGCTGGCCGCCCTCCCTCTTCAGCCATGGTCACTGGGGAAATCTAAACCTGGCTGGGGCGGGGCAGGCCAAGTTCCGCAACTCAGTGGTTATGGGGGAGATCCCTTACTACCGCCCTAAGCTGTGGAACAACATTGATTCCACCGACCTTTTGGCCATCGCAGGCATCCCTAACCGCCAGGCCGTTGGTACCAAGGCTTCATTCCCTCCTCCCAACAATGAGCAGAAGCGTAAGCGCTCTAGACACAACGCCGCTACCATCGGTCTGTTCCCTCCTCGTCGTGGTAGAGGCCCGTACGGCCCTGGCTCTCACTACCGCGAGGGTCAGTACGACCACGGTACCTCCTTCGCTATTGAGGAGGAGCGTCAGCATGCAGAACAGCGTGAGCTCCGCTTCAAGGAGCGCCGGCGGCAACCACCACCGTCAGCGCCCTGCCTCTCGGAACGGTAGATACCAGCAGCGGCCCCAGTTCCGCAGCAACTACAAGAACGAACAGGAGGACGACGACTACTTCGACGAGGAACACACCTCTTCCGTGGTGACTGCCACGGTCACTACCGTCGTTGAACCCTTGGTGGGTTGGGCGCTTTGTTCAGCCACTGAGTGCTGAGTTTTGGACGCAACCACTTCTCGCTTGGGAACTACACTGGCAGGACTTTTTCTCCAGTACAGAAGAACGTTCTTCAGTGCCACAGGGTTGGCGTTCGTAGGAACTGCACGAACAGAAACCTTGTTACGACTTTTACTTTCTCTAAATGACCTAGCTTGATCCTTTCAAGCTTGTCAATATGCCATCAAACTTGCAACGACTGCGCTCATACCTCTTATCTCACTTGCAGCGTCAAGAACAGCCACGAGTACAGCCAACCATCAGAACCCGAGCGCTACGGACCAAATAATAGCTCTCAGACATGCAGCTCTCGACGACTGCCAACAGCAGAGTTGGAAAACCAGGAACAAAGCCTGAGCCGGATCTGTTTCGGTAACTCGAAACTGTTTCTCGACCCCACTCCCGTGGTCCACTGCGATTTCGCGTGACTCCATCACCAACTCTGACAACAACTTCAGAGTCGGCCACGCCTCTGTCATTTCCCATCCCAACATCTGGCAATCATCGACCTGAGACAGCGCTACTTGTGTCTCTGCGTCTTTCCACCCTCTTTTCCAAAAATCGCAATGGTGGCTCCGCCGTCGTCACCTCTGTTCCGCCTCACTTCCATCAACAAATTCGTCATGCAGCGTGTTGATCTCCAAAACTCGGAGCTATATGTGCACGCTACTTCAAAGAGTCAACAAAGACATCTCTAACCTGCGCAACAACTTCTCCAACAACTACGATCTTCATTACCCACCCCCAATTCCATTGTCAACATCAATCGAGCGAAACTTTCACCTCCCTATCGTCTTCAAGGACAACGTCGAGGTTACTAACAGCATATGGCTGCTCATGGCGTCAAGGTTGGGGTTTCTGGTGATGTGGATATGATGGTCGCTGGCAGTGCTGCGGATGGTTCTTGCGGAGGAGGAGGTTTATGTCGAGCAGGACGAAATACCTCATACTTCCATTGAAGGCTGCATGTGTGCTGGTGAAGTCTCGGGATGAGGTAGTGATGGAGAGTGTTCTTTGCCAGGGCTACAGGTTGCATCATAAGAAGATTCGATTGACATGTCTTTCTTTGAAGGACTCTCGATTAGAGAGGACATTGTCACTTCATTCCGTGTCCAGTTTTTCCAATATCAACATCTTTTGTCTTGCAAACACGCTATTTGAGTCTTTGTGAGTTGTGTTCTACCTTCCTTGCTCGCTGTATTAGCTCCTTGCCCCATACTTATAGCTTATCATCTCGCTCTCCAAGAGTATGCGGCTTTGATCTCTCATTCTTTCCAGAGGCGTATGATGAACACACTCGGCAATGAAACAGAAAGCAGAACACCCATCAACAAGAGAGACCAGTCTTCAACTGTTAAGAAGGCTTTCAAACCTGTCGTAGTCTATAAAATCTACCTCGACGGTGTGATGCGACCAGCCGGTCTTGATTCGCAGCATCCACTCTCGTTGCCATCATCGAGGACTCAAGGCTTGGAGGCAATGACCTGATATCCCAACCCATTGGGAAGAGGGGCTTGTCCCTACTGGCATGTCAAAATTGCAGAAAAAGGGCGGTTCTTGGAGTCTCGTGGACTTGCTTAGGTCTTGAACAACGAGCAGAGAAGAAGCGAGTCTCTAGGAGGAAGATAGAGAGACGCCTGAAAGAGTCAGCCAGACATGGTCAGGCACGACTTGATCGAGCAGCCGTGACTCGAAAAGCCAGAGCAAGTATCCAGAGACGCATGATCACTGCACAGAACCTCGGGTCGAAACAAGCAAATGAACAGCAAGATAAAGCTATAGGGATTGAGCGCAAGAAATCTCTAGGTACTTGCGACCTACACAGGCACGATGAATAAATCACAAGGTAAAGATATAAGGGTAACATCAACATCAAACGGCACTCTTGTATTGTACTAAACGAGTGTGGTATGGAAACATGAGACGATTGATGCCCTGAGAACGAACGACTCATTCCTAATGTCATGCGCCTCTCTTGTCCCTTCTTGGATCCTCACACACCGCAACTTTTTCCGAAGCGAAATCAGGCGTCTGCTCGGTATTCGTTACTTCAAAGGACGGAAAAGACATGTATCGTGGTTGGTGATAGTCATTGTGATGGTGCTCGGTTGGACGATGTTGATGGAAAAGAAACAAAGTAACGGTGTTGCAAGGGTGGTGTACAAGAAGTGAAGATTACTGTCAACACCAAATGCCAGCGTTGCCATCGCATACCCAGATACAAGCTTCAGTACCTCGAAACCATAGTTAATAGCGCTCCAGTCCCTTCCTCCGTGGTTGCTTTGGAGATTGTCCAAGATAGTTTGCATTCTCTCGGCTCCATCAATAGGGGTGTAGCCGATTGCTCCAATACCTGCACGCGTGAAGCTGAAGTTCTTGTGCCAGTTGTGGCGAGTACTGAGAGTATCCCTGTTCCAGCTGCTAAGGAAGAAGGCAGTCAAAGCTGCTGTAGAGAGCAAGAATGAGATTGTGAACAGCATCCGAACGTGGTCGCGTGACTGTCTTGCTGTACCAAAATCAGAATTGAAGGCGTGGAGGGTGATGAATAGCAGGGAGAGTGCACCTAAAGAATTTCCCTCAATTGAACACTCGATAGTCCAAACCCCAGAGATGTGGTGGACATTAAGTAACGTTGTCTTCTCGTGAGCTGGCTGCTGTCCAAGAGGCGACGTTGGGAAGGCTCGGCTTATTGGCTTGGTACGTTGTTTGCCGGGGCATCGTTCTGTCGCTATGAAGAAGATCAAGAATATTGTCGCAATGTTTCCCCAAATGTGAGCAAGCTCATATCAAGTATCGTCTCGCATACTGGTTGTATCATAGTATAGACAAAATATAATGGTGATGTGGTAGCGTTGTTCTGGACATGGCTTGATATGACGAAGCTCCATGGACTTGGCTTTCGCTTACGACCCATCGAGTCACTTGACGACGATTGGTACATCACAACGATCTGAACTCCTATAAGGATACACTTGAGAGTCGCTTGAGAGCAGTGTCGGCCGCATCAGATGATTGTTCGAATTGCGAGAGGGAAGAAAGCGGAGTGGCCAGGGTGATACTCTTTGCAAGCGGCGTTGTTCCGCGCAGGCCGCGATCGGCGACGGAAGCGGGAAGACTTGCCGGGGTACGGATGGAGCTTCCGTTTAGGGCTAGATTTGTCCAAAAGACTTTCTTTGTTCTTTTGAGCCTCGCCGCGTCTATTTTCCTCTCTGTCGCGTCCACCAACACCATGAAGAGCGACACGTCGAGCAGCACGACGCTTACCATGACCGAGCCCACTCCAATGCAGGCGGCGGCCATTGCATCTGGGGAGGCATCTGGGGTGACCCCGCTGTTGAGTTGAGTACAATGGGCGACCAACGGCAGGCATCACAGGTGAGGAGCTTGGAAACGACCCAGNGAAGACCTCAAAATTACTTCGAAAAAGGCAATGCGATTGTTATGGGGTGTATCGCTTTCAGCACTGGTATCGCCTCTTTTCTTGCTGGTACCATCACAATCGCTATTCCAATCATGGCANAAGACCTCAACATCCCGGATAACCTGGTCCTATGGTAAGTCTGAATTTTGAGATCTACAAGTGTCGAAGTCTTGGTAGCTAACATCATGCNNTGGCCCGTCACGGTCTACTCTCTGGCTTGCGGATGTACCCTTCTCGCGTGTGGCTCCGTCTCGGATGTCATCGGAAGCAGACGCATGTTCTTGTCCGGCTGTTTCCTGCAATGCTTCATGACAATCGCCTGCGGTCTATCCAAAAACACCGCCCAAATCATTGTTTTCCGCTCCTTCTCTGGTATCGCGGCTTCTTTCTGTCTTCCCTCGGCTGTCAGTCTCATCAACGAAGTGTTTCCTCCGGGCAAGGAGAGAAACATCACTTTCGCTATGATGGGCGGAGCTCAGCCGTTTGGTTTCGGCATTGGTATGGTCTTGGGTGGTATCTTTACCGGAACTGTCGGTTGGCAGTGGNGGTTCCACATTGCTGCTATCATCAACTTCTTCATGTTCATTCTTGCCGCATGGCAGCTACCTCCTACGCCTGTTGCTCACAAACACCAGATCTGGTCACGGCTGGCGACTGATATTGATTGGCTTGGCCTCATTCTTGCAAGTGGCTTTCTCGCCATGCTGTCTTATGTCATTTCTGCATTGACAGGAGATTTGACTGTGATGAAGCAGCCCGTTAACATCACTCTGCTCGTTCTCTCATTCGTCTTTCTCGGTGCTTTCGTTCTATGGGTTGGCCGCCAGGAGCGTCTCGGACGTCCAGCACTGATTCCAAACTCTCTCTGGCAACACAAAGGATTCTCGTGCATCTGCTTCAACGTCTTTTGCGTCTGGGCGGCCTTCAACGCTTTCGAGCAATACGCGAATTTCTTCTTCCAGGATGTCCAGNGAAACAGTCCTCTTGGCACCGCTCTTCGTTTCTTGCCTGCCCCCGTGTCCGGGGCTCTTGCCAACATTGGAGTCGGTCTACTTGTTCACCGCATCCGTGGGGACTGGATCGTCGTCCTCACCAGCATTGTCTCTGCCCTCGCTTCCCTCTTGATGGCCATCATCGACCCTTCCTGGTCCTACTTCCGCTGCGCCTTTGTCGCCCAATTCTTCAACCCTGTGGGCGCAGACGGTATGTTCACTGTTGCAAACCTGCTCATCACATCCATGTTCCCACCCAGCGAACAAGGCGTTGCAGGCGGTGTATTCAACACAATCTCTCAGACTGGAAAGTCGGTGGGAATGGCGTTGACGTTGTTGATTGCACAGCAAGTTACTGCAAACTCGAAGTACGAGGACAAAACCAGTCCTGAGGCGTTGATGGTGGGATACCGAGCGGCGTTTTGGTTTTGTGTTGGATTGATTGTGGCGAGTTTGCTTGTTAGTGTTTGGGGATTAAGGAGAATCGGAAAGGTGGGGCTCAAGAAGGATTAGAATGTTCTTCCGGTATGCCAGAGTGGATAGAAAAGTTTTAGCATTATCGTAGATATTATTCTGTATAGTCGCTCGCTGCGATATTGTTTGTTTTGCACTCTTCGTCCATGATCATAAATCTGTCGTGAAGCAATCTAATTGACTGTACTGACCTTTCAAGGGATTTTCAAAGTCGAGGGCCAATTCATTGTTCCATGCAAGCGTCATCTTCCGGATCCGACTGTCACCCACTAGCAGTCCCTCATGGTCAATGATGCGATACGCTCAGTAGAAGATCGTTGTATACTCAGCCTTTGTCAAGCTATCAAGATTGTCTGAATACAGTTGTCTTCCAGACTAGGAGGAAGATAGCCATTATCAATCGTCTTTGGCCATGAGCGATCCTTCATGTCTTGCTTTTTGACATCCTGGCGAGGAAGATGCTGTCATACTTTCTACCGCAATGAGTTTGTTATAGCATTCTGAAGCTTCTCCTTTGTCTCTTGTGGCTTTGTCTTCCGAGCTTCAGGATCTGCTTGCCGCTGCCGTGACTTTTGGGTTTGTCTTTGTTGTTAGAAGCCAGTGGTTTCCTTAAGAAGTTTGCCAACCTGTTTCCATGCACCGAATTGTTTTGCTTGTTTGGATAAGGAAGCTACTGCCCTAAGATCTGAAGATGAGGTCGCTCAGCGTGAGAAGGCTGCTGTAAGTCTCTTGTAGGACCAGCAATTCCTCGCATTGTATACTGATGCGCTTCGTAGGAGGCTGCTGCTGCCGAAGACGCCGCCTATGTCGAGCATTGTCGCAAGATCGCCAGCGAGACCAAGGAGGAGGGTTTAGATCAAGTCACTGTCAAAGTCAAGAAGGACAAGAAGGAGGCCGTGGGTGGCTTCCAACTCAGAGCATGTTTAGACAACATACTGACATGTAACAGAAGTCCGAGAATGAGGCTATCGTCGAGTCCAAGACCAAGGAGGGCGAAGACAACACCATCGGAGATGGACAGAGCTCTGACAGTGGCTCTGACACCAAGTCTGCCTGATTGTCTCGATATTGGTGCGCGCATTTGATCACTCGGGTTGTCCCATCATTATGCCCAGAGCAGCAGCGGATCTTACTTTTGAGAAGACTCGCATGATCTGATCCAAGTACCGTTATCGCAACGTCATGTTCCCAGTTTCAACCATTCCTTCCCATTGGTTCTGTATCATCCTTCTGTCCTCTGATGTACCCGCATCCCTCTTTGTGCCAAGATTTATGTAGTTGATACCTCATATCTCCCAGTCGTTCAGGAGCAAGCACGATGCATTTTCATATCATTGAAGCAGAGAGTCACCGTCAAGATGTATATATATGCTTCCAGACTCCATTCAGCTGGGAGTGAGGTTGAACTTCGATCGAATTGTCACAGTGAAGCGATAAAAGCTTTGACCATCCACAATGTCGAGAAGCGCGCTGTCTGCCCGTTCCGAAACTCGATGTTCCTTGATGACTAGCATCCTGTTTCGTACGTGGTCGCCGAACTCAATCTCATTCTCGACCAAGTATCAAATCACTAGAGTACTGCATCTTACATCTTGACGACGCAATCCAAGCTGACAAAGGTGCAGACATACATCATGCCTACTGAACGTACCACTGGAGACATCGCCGAAGATGCGGAGCTCGAGCAATGGGTCTACCAGATGATCGAGACAGCTATAAAGCGGGCACAGGAAGCTCGCAAACAGGAAACCCTTGCCGCCATCGCAGAGACTATCATGGAGGACATTCCTGACGGTCTGATGAATGTCAGTGACTTCGGACAAGACAGGCCAAGAGAATATGCTGAGTTTATCGTGTAGGTGAACGACAAGAGCTCCGAGGACAAGGATCGCAGGTCGACTTGCAATCATTGTCATTGTAGGTAATGTCAATGTCAGGAGATAGCTCTTCTCGCCTCTTACTAACTCCATCAGTAGGATACAATTCACAACGCTGGATCACATGAGCTCGAAGCTATACTATAATGGAAGCGCTGATGACTAGAGCGTAGAAATTCGAAAGGCCATGAATGCTGTTTGCTGCACCGTGTTTTACGACTGGAATCCAACTGCACCATACCGTCGTATACGGAAGAGAATTCCACGTATCCCTGGAACCCATCAATTCTCGTGTCTTTATCTGAGCTATGACTGAGATGGACACTTTCCCGTCCTTCAATGCTGTCTCAGGTGTTCATCTAGCCAACCAATAATCACCAAGCAAGTCAATGTATATCTCAACACTTTTTGACCACTCGGCAGCAAAAGGACCCCGAACAATACCTCCCTGTATCCATTGACCGTTCGCGTCACTTCTGCGATCGCACTAAGACGTATTGCCGAAATAAATGCTTAGGACTGGCGCCGTAGAAGGATGAGGGACAAATATTGCTTCTGGGGTCTAGGTTCGTAAGCACACTACCGTTTTCGTGAGTGTAAAGAGGCTTTACTGATCTTCGTGTAGTGAGCACGACAGAGACTGGACTCACCAAGCTCAGGTCATTGGACCTTGGAAACCTTCGCGATGATTACTGGCTCATACTCACCTCTCGACATGCTATCATTCTCGAAGGCTTCGATGAACACATGCCGCGACGTGCTTAACATGGCAAGATTTCAGGCGCATGCCCCAGTAAGTGCGAACGAAAGAGATGGAGTACCAGTGCTGACATGTGCGCAGAGCTCACCGCTGGAGAGACTAGACGAGTATCAGAGACTGACTGCTGCCACATATCAAGCATGCAGACAACCGATAGACTCTGCATATACGAGGGTTGGTATGATGTGGTGAAACTGAGACTATTGATATATGCTCTGTGATCCGTGAAGGAGAACATGTCAACATTGCAGAATCATGAATCCACAACGGGCCTTTCAACGGAAACTCGCAGTATATCTACATCTGTACAAGAGCCATGGTCCAACTTCAGCACTAGTGTTGCACTAAAAGGTGTTGTTGTTGTTTGAGCTTGGCGCCGACTATGCCGATGCTGCATATATGTGTTGGCAGAACTTCTGGCTATCCTCCTTCTCTCTAAGAACAACACCAATCTTGGTACGCAAATCATACGCGATGAACGTCGTACACCTGCTCAGAAGTCTCAAGGAGCATCTCGTAAGTCATTTCAACACGTCTTACATGACTTTTCTGACGTGTTTTGACGCAAGCTGCAGTGTTGTTCGGCCATAACAGAATTCCATACAACATTTCACCCTTGCCGTTCAACCTTCCCAACAAGTCTTTCAAGAACCACGGAAATATGTCCTCTGTATTCTCCATGCACGAAACCCTTCCTCTCATGGCCACTTTCTCCAACAACAACCACGGCGTCAAGACTGAGGTTCCTTTCAATATCACTATCAACCGCCTCTCTGACCCGTTTGTTGAACGCGACACCGACGTGCAACACATGATGTCCAGTCTGATGGCCGCTCAGATGGTGCTTGATTAGAAGAAGCACATGGCGGAAATGCGCGACGATGCTACAATGCTAGAGGCCGTCGGCCTGATGCCCGAGCAGGAGACCGCACGCTCCGAAGAACTTCTCCGCAAGTGCTGTATGATCTTGCACAATTTCAACCACGATGAACAGGAGAACCTCGAGTTCTTGAAGCGTCGCTTGTCAGCCGACTTCTCTGAGATGTATGTCTCACAGCCCCTCTCTTACCTTTCCATCTCGTTTACTGACATGATTCACAGCGCTGACCAAGTCCCTACTCCCACTCGCGCCCAGCCTTCAATGCACCGCGCACTCAAGCTTGAAGCCATGGCAGACGCCGCTTCGCTTGTCGCAAAGCAGGAGAGCAAGCTCGAAGACATGACCGAGCAGTCGAACCGTCTTATCCAGGTCGCCTATATGGACGGCCAGAGCGAGGAAGGTACTAAGCAAGCCCTCATCGACGCAGTCGTGATGGAGCGCGGAATCAAGAAAGAACAGGCCAACTTGGTTTTCCTCCAGACCAGACTGGAAAGCATCAAGAAGCATGTATGTATACCAGACTTCCAGATCTCGTTTACTGATTCGCCTCGCAGCAAGCGTCATTGGTAAGAATAAGCAGGAACTGGGCAGTATGCGTACGCACACACTTAAACCAAACCATGATGTATGATATCGATGAAATTTTGTCTGCTGTCTCACCTGATGAGCAGTGTTGACCATGGAAGACGGGCAAGGAGATCCAAGCGAATCACCAGTGGGCGAGACAACGCGCCTCAGAAAAAGATCCAAAACTGCTATAAAACCTATCTTGAGTGTTTCTCTGTGCCTTCCACATTTCATATCCTTGCATCTGACATTTCACCGATTATACTTGTCGCGACAATGCTTTTCATCCGAGTATGTGTGCCTCATCTCCACACTTAACGCTCTTTGCACTTTCCGTACGATATGACTGCTTCACCAACTCCAGCCTCTCCTTGCTCTCGATTTGCGTTGCCCGAGAACCCCTTGTTACTTGCCTATCTATATCTAGATTATAGACCTGGTCGATGCGAGTGACAGGTAGCAACTCCTCTTCATATCGGCAAGAGCCATGCAGACAGCCGTCTGATCTGCCACGAGGATACATTATCTGGCCATCTCTGCACCAAAGACTGTTGTAGAATTGGGTGCGAGCACTCGCCCAACCAACCTGATGACCACCGCTGCCGATACCCGACTGTTCCCAGAGATCATTTCCTAAGGCCAGCAAGCCGCAGACGACCATGGAGGTGAAGAGAACACTGAATCTCTCGAGGAAGAACTTTCAGAGTCCGAGACTGAGGTCAGAATTTCAGGCATCGATACAGTACCTTGGTCTAACATGTGATAGGAGACTCCGCGGTCCCAGCAAGGCACATCTCAACAGACAGTTCCACAGCACAGTCTCAGCCAGCATGCTATTCCTCACCACTCCACCCACTCTACTGGCGCTGCACCTGGTCCCCTTATCCAGACGACCGCAGCAGTAACGACATCGTCCCTTGAGTGAGGTGCCTCTAGGTTACGCTTCCTTACGCTCGCGCATCATCTCTCAATCGCGACCCTCTGCAGCCAATTATTGTCTTGCCGACCATAACACTGTGCCAGCCGCTGACAACGACGATATATATCTATCAGATGACGAGCAAAGCCAGTCTGCTCGAGACGAAGCAGGCGGTTCGGCGAGCCTATCAGCGCCGGAAACAAACAACTCCGACGCTAGTGCTATTGAACTCAACACAGAAGACCACCATCGAAGTACACCTCGAGCTGCCACTTATAGCAAGCTTGCCTCCCTCGAACGTTCTGATCGCGAACTGTCTCAGTCGGAGACATGGCTGGTAAGCGTTTTGCCCTGACAGGAGAAGACAAGGCGCCATTTGAGATCGATCACAAGGACACAAATCACTCGCCCATTGCTCTCACCAATGACGAGAAGATAGCGTTTGGACTCATCATGGGCGAGGAGAGCCCCTTATTTGCTCGAGAGACCTCGACCTCTACTGGTGGTGTGCCAGCCGGCTATATCTCGCTGCGCCCAATCATCGCCTTCCAATACGCATCCCTTGGCGATTCCGAGTTCTCAGAGGACCACGACCTGGCTTCGAGTCCCTATGCGAACAACGCCTTACTCCCTCAATTCGAGCATGAGTCGGATGCGAACACCTCTGAAGACAGCGACCTCGAGAAAACTCAGCCGATCTTGGAGAGGCCGCAAGGGAGAGCATCTCGGAGCAAGGCGTATCTACGACTGCCTCCGAGGACCAGCTAGGCTCAACCGGAGAAGCAGACACTGCATTGCCAATAGGCACAGAAGCAATCTTCTTTGATCAGACGCCCACTCCTACCAAGAGGTATGCAGAGGGAGAGTCATCAACTCGTCCACCTACAACCTCGATATGATTACCCGCGGTACCTGTTCCTCGGGCTGCCATCCCTCAAGCCATCACGCAGCAGAAACGAGCATACAAGCCATACGCTCTTCATGCTGGAGGTGCACCTGATACTCCCATGGAGGCAACCTTGGCAATGCCTATCGTTACAGAGACCGAAGCAAGAGCCGGTGATGCCGTCTACCCCGAGTTTCCACCAGTCACGACCATCACCAGCAAGTGTGTCTACACTCTCAGAGACGCTCAGATATACTGGGACAAGGAAGGCAGATTCCAGTGCTTCAAGTCTGGATGTGAGAATAATTGTGGCATGGGGTACATATCTGTGTGATCCAGACAGGAGCACAGAGAGTATCACGTGTTCAATCTAGAATGCCCGCACCATGGCTTCTCACAAAATGGTCGAGGTCAACGTAAGTTATGGAGCAAAGCGCGAAATGAGTAATGACTGACAGTTTGCAGAGAGCGGCAGATATTGCCAGTTGCACTAGAAGACAGTCAATGCAGTCCTCAAAACATTCTGTCTGGTTTGAGCCACAACTATCAAGGTATATATCCCGATGGCACAGAAGAGGTGGAGATGATACACGGAACAGTGACATGGAGTCTCGTGCCTATGCCAGAGGCCATCGAAAATTCCTGCTCGCCATCGAGCGTGATCAAGGACCTACTCGTGTCCCTCAGCCTCAGCATCCTGTGGCTGATGCCTTGAAAGCCTTCCACGCTACTCAGGTTGAGGAAGCTACCGCCATTCCGTCTATCGAAGCACAAGCTTTCGACGATGAAGACTCACTATTTGTTCCTGAAGATGCTCGCATCGACGAGCCCATCGAAGAGCCTGTGACCGAGCCCATTCTCGAGTCTATGACCCAGCCTGTTGTCGAGCCCATGACCGAGACCATGACCGATCCTGAGCCCAACAACATCCCTCCCGCTCGTACCAAGCGCTGTGTCACCTTCGCTGGACTAGGAAGGACGTCTGGTCAAGCTGCAGATCATCAGCATTGGGAAGCAGAGGCACAGAATCACAAGGCAATGGATAAGAACTAGAAAGAATTGAGAAGAAGTCAAGGAGTCCTGGCATCGGGGCGCTCCGTAGTTAGTTGCAGCACACAGTCAACAGTGCAAACTCCAAGCACAACAACTCTCCTGCACGCGACTCATTCATCTTACACCCATCAACTCGCCTGTCATGGTTCTCACCGAAGTGCAAGCGCTAGACCGCCTGGTTGCAATCCCGATAACGACTGTCAGCCTATTCATCAAGGAGGCCATGTGGCATCTCGAGTACAACCCGTACGACCACAAAACCTGCAACCACCACTATAGCGACCAGGAAGACGACGAGTAACACGTCTTGCTCGCAGAGGGTTTTCATGAGCTCTGGGAACACAAAGAGCGCCAGGTCCATGATGCTCAGGACGAGCTGATGCAGCGTCCCGTACATGAGCGCATCTATGATACCAGAGACGCTGAGGAGATCCGCTATACCATTGCTTGTCAGGAAGGTGTTGACCCTATCGCCAACATGGAGACCTGTTGCCCACAGAATGGAGTGTAAGTGTCGTGATCCTTGCTTGTAAACAGTCCACTGACGAGAGGCAGCTCCTCTTGCCCTCCCGCAAGCACCGAGACTCTTCAGAAAATCAAGGAAGCCAAGGAACAGAGAGACTTCAGCCGCTTCGCCAATACCACGCGCATGACAGATGCCATGTGATGGGGCATCCCCGAGACAGAGTTCGAAGAGGTCATGGACCAGCGTTCACGCCAGGAGGCTCGGGAGGAAAAACAAGCACTCGTGAGTACAATGAACCACAGCACGAGGCCCTCACGACTGACTTCAGAGAATAGGTAGCTTCTTACTTCGGACAACCAGATCATGACCCCAGCGAGGAGTAACAGGATACCTCATACGCCACTAACTGCCGTGAGTGGGACAACCCACCACCGACAAATTCTCCCGACGGCCTAAGCACCCGCAATCGAAACCGCAATCGCAACCGTGATTTTTGCTATGAGACCACCGCTTATCGTACCTGGTAGACAGGAGTATCCTTCCCCATTACACGGCAGCTGCATATTTTGGAGGCCCCACACCACAAAAGGGTATATTGATGCAACAACGAGATGGATGGAAACTGTTGGCTTGATGTGTTTCTTTGTTTTGTCTTCTGACTGTGGCTTTTGTATCTGGTCGTTTGTGCTCTCTTTCCCCTTGTCTGATGCCTGGCTCCCTACTAATGTCTTTTTCTTTGTTTCAGGGCTGGGAGTCCATTTGCTATGGCTTTTGTTACCTTCTCTTTGCAGTAATACAAATCCGGCTTTCCTCGTTGGAATGTCCTGCTACCTTTTTCTGTGCATGCGGCTATCATTGGACTAACCAGTTTGAGTAAGGATATAGAGGAAACGGCAAGAGCTCATGGAAGTCGTATCGGGAAAGCAAAGTCACAGGGCACAAGTGGATGTGACAGGAGTGCCTGATATCTCGTAGGAGGGAACACGAGTGCAGCTCCATGGAAACTCTCATCCTTTGCTTGCCGCATTCTTGCAACGTCGATCCAACCAAAGCCCGTTCACACTCAAACACAAGACCAACTCTCCGCTTTATCCACATCCCCACCAACGTACTTCTGTTTCTTGGGATACATACACAGCGGTCTCTGTCTGAGCACTGTATCTTGCGTTGTATCATTCTTCCAAGTAGTAGCAATGATTTGGTTGGGCGCAACACCGTGTTCAACCCACCGCATCATGGCAAGCATAATATCGTGGGCAGCATCTCTGAACCCAGGTACACCAGTGACGCCAGGGTTTAGGACTTGGCTGCCACCGGCAAAGTACCAGGGTGCGAGACCGGGNGCGAAGTTGCCGCTACAGTGACTATTAAGCGTGGTTAGCAGGTCGAGTTATATGGAAGCAACGGAAAGAAAAGCACTTACCCCNATACCAGGAACTAGGAAGAAGCGGAAGAAGTCGTCCAGCTCGATCCCTCGGGGTGCAAGTTCACGCAGGATTTGGGAGTACAGGTACAAACTGCTGCCGGTGGGGATCAATTGATCAGCCATTCCATGGTAGATTAGCAACTTGCCGCCGTTCTTCATAAAAGGAGATAAGTCAAAGTCGTCTGCGGTTGCGTTACCAGGACGGATCCTCTCAGCGTTCTGGACGACGCTGAAGTCATAATCTTGCCACTTCCAATTCGGACCGTACTGCATGAACGAGGTTACGTAGTCCACACCCAGACCTCCTGGAGGAGCACCAAAGATAAGAGGCCAGCCAAGCTCGCTACCCTTCCAGTAGTGGGGAAATACCCAGGTGTCATTCGTCTCAACATAGTCAGAGTATATTTTGAAGAGGGTGGTGAGCTGAGGTGCAGTCAAGCATGCAGATTGGTTGGATCTTGGCGTGCAGAGCAGAGCATCGATGTCAAAGTTGCAAGCTTGAGGGTCCGAGAGGATGCCGTCTTTGACACCATCAAGGCCGTCGCATTGTCGAATGACTTCGGCATTGATAACGGGAAACAGGTTGTTTGGGATATGGGTCGATGCGTTGACAGGGAGGTTGTAAGTACCTGCCTTGAGTGTAAATGGCGACATGTGAGTCAGGTACCAAGCAGGAGCTCCAGCAATAACACCATCAAAGTCCTCGGGGTATAGCTGGATGTCACGAAGGCCTTGACGTCCGCCAGTCGAGCAGCCTCTGTAGTAACTATACTTTGGCTTGTAGCCGTAGTAGCTTTGGGTCAATTGCTTACCCAGCACAGTCGATCCGTGCATGGCCCGGTAGCCCCAATCTTTGAGCTTGTCTTGTTGTCCATATGCCCATGTGCCGTCGAAGGCGGTGCTGTTGTGTCCAGTATCTGTCGACATGACCGCGAAACCATATCCTAATCCACTGCCCTGATGTTTGATCAGCAACATGCACACGAGAGAGGGCATGCTTGGACCTACCATGTCCAGCCAGTTGATGCCGCCGGCGTAGCCGCCATTTCCTACAGCCNNCTGGACATCTCTATCAGCCTGACGACATTCCCAATCAGAGACAAAGAGGTGGTCATACAAGAATCTTCCATTCCAGTCATCAGGCAAGAACATGCCAAAGCCATAATTTGAAGTCCCATTTCGGACGCGGATCTGAACGGCGCAATGAGCCGTCATATTAGTGGGCGATCTCGGATACGCGATGTCTCCCGCAGGGACCGAGAAAGTTGAACCTCCGGCTTGCCATAGCACAAAGTCCACGGTAGCAATAGAGGGAAGCAAGGCCTGGATACCGGCAGTCGAACAGTCTGCTGCTGCTCTGGTTGCTACTGTTGCCAACAGAGCTGTCCTGATTGACGTTGAAGCTTTCATGTTGCAAGTGTGTGGGGAAAATATGAGACGAATTTCAGACCTCGAGGGACATTCTCATCGTCCTTATATATCGATATCAGACGACTTCGAACATGCAGCATGTTGATATGCAGCTCTCTGCCGATGTCAATTGCCGTGTCGCTGGGCTTGTGGCTAGATACGAAAAGCAGGAAGTCGCTCGAGTCGGCGAGCCAAGAAGGGGAAAAGAAGAACAAGAAAAATGCGGGGCTCCACATTTTGATTGGCAACCTCGGCCGAGTGCGCAGAACAAGCTTCGATTGCTCGTGAATTGGCTTTCGCTTACGGTTAGGGCTCCGGCTATCTCGATACATAACCAAGGTTGTCGGTTATCACCATCTTTGAGAGTTCTGGAAGAAATTTCTTGCCCAAACCATGTCATACAAGGCCTTGCAGGTATTAAATGCGGAAGTGTGAAACTACTGTACAATTAATCGATTGTTACTAACTGACGATAAAGATGATGAGTTATCCATCCAATGGTACAATGCAGCGTCGTTCGCAAGACATCGTGTGCAAACTTATAGCGCAACGAGTTTAGTAAAGCCTAGAAACAAGCTTCCAAAGACAAGATTTCGAGCGCTTTGTTTGATACGAATACGGCTGCCATCTTCTGCTTTGTCCGAAGCTCGCTTCATGGAGGATGCTTTGCCGCAGAACAGCTGCATGTATGCCCACGATGTGAGTACAGCTTCTGCCCCAGTGGAACCATCTCAATACAGGTGTTGTCTGCACTCGCGAAACAAGGAAAGTCTCTCCGACATAATCAATATATAAGTCGGCCGTAATAATATCAATGTTTGTAATCTCATTCTTCGACACACTTGTTTCTGATGATGATTGCCTCGAGAACAATCTGAACATTGTCTGCTGCGGCTTGCTGCCGCTCATTTGCTCTGATGGGGCGCAGCCAGACACCGAGTCGACCAGCGTGTACGAGGTCACTGTCACTAGATGAAACTTGGGCGGTTATCCTGTATAGAGGCATCCAGGTTGGATGAATGAGTCTCTGGAAGATGTCGAGATTCATAACCGCCGGCTGAGGGAAACCGCAAGCAGGTACAGGGTCGTAGAATGGCCAGGTTTGACCAACATATAGAGCGTCTGCGTAGTCGAGGGACTATAGCGTTAGGTCACCACCCAACCTCCTTTCTCATCAGGCAGCTCACCACCGTCGATCATCCACATATCAGTAAAACCCTTTCGACGACCATCAGAAAAGCGTCATCAAGATGCCTACAGGAATGGATACCAACGCACAGCGCCTCGATCACCTCATCCGAGCCTTGCGCGATTTCCACCACGCAGCCTCCGAACTTCATGACCGCGTCTGTACTACTCTCTTCGCATGCATGATGTTTGAAAGATCTTGGCATGGTGCTTTGACTTAGTCGATATCCAGATTGTGGCTCAGCTCACGACCTACAACTTCTGTCCTTCGACACCCACTAAGCAAGGACACTCTCTGTCAGGATCTGCCCTACAAATGCGTCCTTTAGCAATGCAGTAGTCCGATATCTAGTTAATAGTCTACGTCGAGGGTATCGAGATTCGTAGGCCACAGGAGTGGTTTTTGCGTCCGGTAGAAACTCGAGACAAGCATACATTTCACGAGCATCGTGTCTCAAGTAGCCGAATCATATCCCTGTAGACGACATGGCGTTATATGGTAGGCAGCAATGGCAGTCAGGTTCAAAGGGGTGACATTCCGGGAGTCGAAACGCCAAGCTTTGACATCCTGCGAGTTGCTCACTCCAGCAGCGTTCTCACACATCAACATATACCTGCTCCTTTCTTAAACGCAAGTGCAATGCCACTTGATCTGCAATAACGAAAGTCATCTCCATCCAGTAAGCCAACGACAAGACACACGTCGACTCAAGTCAATCGCAGCAGTTCTTGTTCTCGCAGATCTCCAGCACTCGTTCCATAATGTGCCTCGGAGGGCTCTCCAAACATCTGGCCCTGTTCAACAAGGACAAATCAGCTTGCCGTCGTGCAAGAGAACAAAAGAAGCAGTCTCTTGTTTCTGAACGTAAGCATACTCTCACATACTGGTTGATCAAGTTTGGTCAGACTAACGCGGTGTTATAGTAGATATCAAGCCCAAGATCCGTACCATGAAGACCTCGAAGAAGCGTGCGGTCCATGAACTTACTTTGGAAGACGTTTTGCACGATCTTTCACGCAAGAATGTCGACGCCGATCTCGACATGATTTCAATTCACCCATTCTACGGCTCTGGTCGCCCTCGTGGTAGTGCAAGCGCTCCAAAGCGTAACGATTGCTCGAAGAAGCGGGAGCAGCACTTGATACCATTTGAGGACAACACCAGCACCATGGCTGCCCATCACTCGGTTTCGTCGAAGTCCGACCCGATGGTTCTTGCCGACATCCGTCGTACCGCAGCTCGCAAGAAGCTTGATGAAACTGAGCATTCTCCTGCAAGAACAACCGCAGCAGACCGCACGAATGGTATCAGCAAGGCTCCAGCCCAGCAAGGAGAACCTAGACAGTTTACGGGAGCGAACAGCAGCTCCATCTCGAGTCAAGCTGTGCGTCAGTACATGGCGTGCCTGATACTCGACAGACCGGAGCGTCGCAGCACTGACTCGCTTGAGACCGATCAATCGGCTGAAGGAGGCAAGACTGAGGGCCAGCGCGAGAGTCGAGCAAAGCGTCCCGGTGACCACGCCGACCTATTCTTCAATGGTAGAAAAGAAGGCAAGCACGTCAAAAAGCTCTTCGACGACTTTCCAACCCTCTTCTTGGGTAGGTGATACGACCTAGAGACCAAAAGCGACGACTTGGAGGCGAGAGAACTATGAAGTAGCTGATAGCTGGACGAATTTCAGGAGATGGACGACAATTCGGGATTGGTGATGGCAGAGGGCAAGGGATGATCGAAGAGCGCGCCAGACGAAGCGCAACCCAGAGAGATTGAGACAAGAAGACGAAGACAAAGTTGTACTACAATATCCAGACACTAACTAAAAGCACAAAAAACATACTGTACCCCCAAATCTCGATCCCGGACTCCTCAGGCCATCTTGGAAGGTGCCTTCATCACAAGATCGTATGATGTGAGTTATCGATACTCGCCTCAGCCTCCATCAGAAGGTTTGATCTCGATAACTTGATCTTTGTCTTTCGCCAAAGTGCAATTTCATCTTCTCTTCGTTTCCAGAATCAAGGATATCTGTGGAGTTTGCCGGGGTAGTGGACAAGTTCCAAGGACCATACCAGACGTCAGCTGACCCACGAAGCACATGTCAGAGCAATATCGAATCTTTACATCGCAACAGCTCCCTCTCTGTCTGCTTTATAACCACCACCACCATCATCATGACCCTCGTGGCTCCCTCTCCCTCTCAAGTCGAGCTCTGCGACCGCTCATCGAGCGTGTTGGCAACTCGCAACTGCATCGCGCCTGGCGCTTTGCCAGCCCGCTGCGCGAGCATCTCATCTGGGGACATGTTGTCGCCCAGGAGGGCTCTGCTCGCGAGCGCAACGACGAGGTCGCTAATGCTCACAGGTATGAGTGCTGTTTTCGTCCGAATGATACATGCGCTGAACAATGGTTGTAGAGCACAGCACTTCCTGCCTGCTGCCCTCCACGAGAGGAAGCAAGACGACCTCGTCGAGGTGTCTTTGCCTGTTGGGTACCGGTATCATGACCTGCTATGAGACTAAAAGCACACGTCTGACAATCTCCGTAGCATCATTGACGCCAACGAGGCTCTGAGCAGCTTCGAATGTGGCAAGGCTGGCGGCACCATTCTCCCTCAGGTCCTTGTCATGGGTTGCCTGGCCGATAGGCCTCGTAAGCAGTCCAGAGCTGACCTTGTTCGACGCTCCGTACTGACTGTCTCAGCCTACAAGATCGAACGTGCCTCTGCCATGAGCAAGCCTTCGGAGCACAAGCTCTTTCGTAAGATGGGCTGTGCCAACCTCCGCCAACAGAGCATTGTTTAGAGTATATCATCCAAAGGCAGAAGCTTTGTTCCCTTTGTCTTTGCCCATCGAAAGCCTGAAAGCGCACATCCTTGTTTCTCTTCTCTATCTTCTTTGTGGCTTTCGCAATTTTCTTCGAGCGTATTTTCGTCTCCTTGTTGGTCGAAACATTGCATTGTTCGTCTCTCTCATCACCTGTGGATCGACATCGAAGTCGTTTCATACATAACCTACCATCGGGCTCACCTTCACACAGGTCACCCAAATTTGAGGAATCCTACAGCAACCACCACCACTATCAAAGAACAGCCCTGCTCCAACCTACTCAAAATCCAATCACATACTTCAGGTAAGATGTGCTTCATTGAGAAACAGATGCTGAATTGTTCTTTATGTGGTGGGCCCGCCGTTCCGTACACTGTCCTCCTTGGTTGCTCTTTCGGCCAGAAATGGGGCGATTGCAGTTGGGGTTTTGAGACTGTTGTTAACGTCACTAGATCACACCCTTCTTGTATTGTGCTCGACCAACTCTGCCGTGACGCTCGCATGGGTGTCGTTCCTGATGCTCACCTAGCTCCTGTGCACATCGACACTCGCATGGATGTTGATCCTCTTGACGCTCCATCGTTTACCACGCTTGCTCGTACAACACCATCAATGCCTGCTTATGCTCACTCTCTTCCTGCTGGTTGGACTGCTGACAGCGCCAATAATCCTTCCACTGCTCTGACTCTGGCTACTCAGCACCGTGACTTACTCGTTCGCATGATTGAAGAGATGGTCCCCACCGTTCAGAACCTCCGCACCACCATCGCTCCCATCGACTTCCGTCTTGCTCGCGTCATTCAATGGTCTGAAAATTGGATGGCTGGTATGGTCGTCGCCGCCAATACCCAAATTTCCAAAGTCAACTATGCTGAATCCGAGATCGCCAACAATACTTCCTGGGCCGCTCAGGCTTCCACCGACATCGCAAACATTGAAGCCGGGCTAGTCAACCAAACTGACCCTTTTGAGGGTGCTATGATCTGGCACAGAAGATTCACTAACTTGTTTATTCATCTTAGACGTGTTGCTGGTCAATTGTCGCCACCGAGACCTATTCCTGAGTCACCGCCGCCCATGATGAGGAGACGTGGTGCTACTGCTGGACTTGAGGAGATGATGGCTAACGACCACTCTGACTNNTTTTTGCCGCAGGCTTCGTTCTATCTTCCAGAAGGTGCGCTTTCTGATGATGAGGCGGGGTCTTCTGCCGATTCTCAGGACAGGGAGCAGGATGAGTATATGGACTTTGACGACTAAATACGCTTCGAAAGCTTTTGTGGTTGTTTCTGATACGGTAGGTTCTTTCAGTTTTGGATCATATGCAGACAAATACACTTTGTTTTTGATGAATATATATCTTCTTTCTTTGGTGCCATAGCGATATCGTGAGACCTTTCTGCATTTAGATGCTATACCAAAGCTGTTGATGCAATCTTCGGGAGCGTCTTTAGTCAACTTGTTGAAAGTGAGATCAAGAAGATCGGCTCTGTCTCCCTGGTACTGCTGTAATTTTGGTGCTCGGTCAAGATGCGAAAACTTATGCCAGATCTGCAAATCCCAAAGAAGCGCACGACTCAGAGCTCACTCTCTGGACAGGATCGATATGCAGATGCTTTTGTGCATTCTGATAAGCTGCAGTAGTTGTATGTGTACGTATTGCAGGTCTAGAGACCTCTCAGCGCTCCCCAAAGCCTGATCGTGTACTGTATTGATCTCTCGATACCTGCTGCTCTGTCATGTTGCTGTTACATGGCAAAGACTTTATCTGTAGACCCAATCTTCCACAGGGACATTCCATACGGATTAGCTTTCTCTGGACATATCGAGTAATCGTACACCTGTGCGCATTCCACCCAGACTCTAGGCTTCCCATATGCGGGCGTGAGAGTTTACCTCACTATCGCACGTGATACTAGGGACTGCCACTGGTACGACCCTGCCCAGTCTTCCCGATCGACAACATCCCTACACGATATGGGTCAGCGCCGAGGGTGGGCTGTTTGCAGCTGTTTGGCCTCAATTCCGCGCGATCAAGAAAGAAGACTTTCTCCCCGCACATAACTCCAGATCATAACAACCAGGCGATGGCAGAAGATACGGACGCCCACCCGAGAATTCTCTGTAACATAAATCTTATCATGCATCGTCACTGGAAACCTGCTGACCTGAATCAAGGGGAACCAAAACAGTACATGCGCTTCGTCTATCCCGACGGATACTCTGCCGCCCACCTACGAAGCCCCCTCGGACAAGCTCACTTTCGACCGTCATGCCAAGCACATCATCCACTACATCGCACAAGTCTTTGACGAGTATGGCGACGACACTTACGCCTTCCAAGGAGACCTGCGCTCGACTACCCCTGCCGAAGATGGCACTTCGCCCAGTGCTGCCTGTCGGCTACAGAATCACCAAGGAGATGCCCGTCCTAAGCCTCTTCGACGCCTCGGATCTCGAGATGTCATGTGGAGTTCCCAGACATGAGCGCTATTGAGGACGACGCACTGGTTAGACTCATCATCTACAAGTCCCTTGAGTTTGAAGAGGAGCATGAGTACAATGAGGAGGTACATGAGGCTGCTGCAGCACTTGTCAAGGAAGGGGATGAGCAGGCTGCCGCCGATGACGAGTGAGTACAGTCTACAGAAGATGTGTCGTGACGTTTGCTGACGCTATCCAGTCCCTACTGGGCGCTCGATCCAGAGAGAGCAGAGTACAGAACCGGATGGGTGAGGATCCACATCGGATCTCACACGGCCAGCAACGATGATGGTCAATGTGTCATGTCCTAGGCATGATAGCAATCGAAGATGGAGCCGGTGAAGGCAGGGAATATCTCTAGTAATGGCTACAGTTCCATAGTCGCTGATTCTTCTGGTTGCGGTATGTCTTCCTTGCCTCTGAGTGCACACTTTGGTATCTTCATCGCAACACATTTCCAATCCTTTTTGCATATCTCTCCTGGCTCTATACGTTGTGGGACACTGATCTTGCAACAGCATCTCCTTCAGTACGTGCATTTGCTAGTCCACTAGCTGGTGGTGGTTCTAACGTTCGATGTTGGGCGGGCCATAAAAGCTGCACTAGGAGCAGGTGATTGCTCATCTGGAGCTGCCGCTGCCTGAGAGTCGCCATCTCAACATCAAGACAAGGGAAGAATAGAGAAAGTATGCCTCGATTGATGAACAAGAGATGTGAAGAGGTACAGGAAGGCGAGGTATGGTCGTGTCTCAGCATTGCCCGGATAGGAATATTGAAAGTCTCAAGTTCCAAATGGGTATTACTGAATTCACATTCTTCCAAAGGCTGTCGAGCTCTATGACTATGATGGTTCAAGAGCACTGAATCAATCGTGAGGCACTTGGAGATTGGCTGAATTCGGAGATTGGCCGAAGAAGTCGAGGGGAGTTACAGTCGTCCTTTCACGCCATTGTAGTAGACGCCAATAATGCAACTTTTTGATGACGAGGAGAGTCGTCTGGAACCTTTCCTTGGTCTCTTGTTCCAGCCATCTACCTGATGTAGCTCCCCAGATCAGCCGTTCATGCCTCTGCTAGTCTATCACCCATGCCTCTCTGTGCATACTTGTTTGAACGCGAGTCTTCTGGAGGGTATCAGCATGCGCCTATATCCAACACGATGATCTTGGGTGGGCTTACCAAGCGTGTCCTGCATACAGGCCAGAGTCTACTAAGCACGGCTCTGACGAGAGCAAGAGCTTACTTCTGATCTACTTCCAAGAATTAGCACAGCTCGAACGGCACGTAGACACTGTAACTTACACTTCTGCTGGGCAGCATGATCATCGGGGCCCTCGTTGACGACGCGGACGGTGTCACGATCGGATGCAGCTGGAGCAACCTGGTAAGGCAAGTAGGCAGTGCCTCTGGCAGCGCAGCGAGGAGAGTTGACGCGACGAATAGTGTCAAGCTCGATGGGGCGAGCATTGAATTCATCGCTCGACGAAGATGAGAAGGAATAGGCGGACGCAGAGGATTTCTTGCCGAAACACATGGTGCTGATGTTGTTATTTTGGTGGTGGGAGTGGTTGGAAGTTCAGATTGTCTTGGATATAAGGTGCTGACTTGGGACTACGTTTGTGGTGGTGGGTTGCAAGGAAGGAAGGAGAAAGACAGGAGTGATGCCGGATGGGCTAGACGTAGATGAAAGTCGGAATATTCTGGCAGCTGACGTCAAACAGAGGATTCCGAAACGCTTTATCACTGCTTCACGATTCGTTGACGGCAGTACAGCTGGACTATGCGATTGCGACAAGTCTTGTTCATTGCTACTGCTACATTCCTAAACCCAATCTTTTGTGTATGCAAGCTCAGTCATCGATAGGGAAGCGCTCCTGAGCAGGCAAGGTGCAGGGAAGCCTGGCGCGCTCCTTTGCATCGCGCTTCTCCGAAGGGGTGCGCATAGGGGTGGCCGGTAAGACCACGACTGTCTCGTACGAAGATTTGTTGTTGTTGCTGCTGCTGTTGTTGGGTATCAACTATCGGGAAGCTTTCTGACAAGCGAACGGGTGGTACTCACGCATTGCTGGGCTGGATGGCGCCAGCAACCTTCTTGACGAGGCTCTTGCACATGTCCTTGAGCTTCTTGGCGAAGCTGTATGCCATTAACGGTGGTGGTGTGGCAGGAAGGGTGGTGGAGAGGTTGCTGGTGGTGTGGGATGAAGCTGGTGGTAGCAAGAGGATCTGGACCCAGTGATGGTTGATGCCAGGAGAAAGAAGCTTGGTCATTTCTCCGTCCAGCCTACTCCTACTTTCACCATGTCAAGTTTCACTAATTCCAATCTGCCGACGCATGTGACATTTTGTCTGTGATCTTTTCCAACGATACCTCCTGCATACAGTTCATCTCCTGCTATCAACGCCTAGTCTCTCCACACCACTCACAGGCTGTAGAACCATAGAAAGGCAGCACTGTTTCCATCTCGTCGCCCTGCCCAAGGGAAGGCTCGCAGCGTCTCGCAGCTCTTCGTTCTCATCCTTTATGCCCCCTTTCGGTAGGTAGGCCTCCGTATAGAGTTGTATCACGAGCTAACGTCGCTCCTATAGACACTATGACTCTTCAACGTCTCGACTACTCAGATCCTCTCGACCTCGCCATACCTCCGACAAATCAGTACACTGACTCCACTGAGATCGAGGACCTTGAGATTATGGCCAAATTCAGTTTCCCACCAACAGGCCTGAGCCCAGTCGACCCTGTCCACTGGGTTGAGACAGAGTGGTCATATCGAGACGCCCGTCTACAGGAGGTCCACGAGCTTCTTACCAAGGACCTGGAACCCCTGTTCGTCACATCCAAGCAGATCGTCACTCCTATCGCCATGTTGAAGTTGTTGGCAGCATTTGGATACTGGATGCAGCACTCGTTCTTGCATACAGCCTTCGATCAATTCACACAAGCGAGGACGATCGACAAGAGCGAAGACGACCGCCAAATCCTGATCAATCTTTTCGGCGACCTCTGGGATCAAGCGTTCAAGACCATGCGCAACTTCCTCGTCGACATCCATTACACTCAGGAAAATCGACTTGTCAGACGATTTCTTGGGAGTTTACCAAAACTACGAGCTCTACGTCTCACAGAACAAGCTTCTTCTTGCTGCTCTTGGCGCATCCCGCTGCAGTGCTATCGCTCGAACCGATGATTACGAACTTGCGTGGTGGGACCATCGATCAATCTTGCTGAACACAAGGCCCAAGCAGACGTCAAGGAGTTGCATGGCTCCTCCAGAATCGGGAAGAGGTGGTTGAACTGGCCAGAAGATACCCAGAGGCTGCAACGTTGTTTGATCGTCCTTTCATGCCACCTGCCATCCAATTAGGCTGAGTGACCTTCCGCATCTGGACTTGAGTCAGATTTTGATATCCAGACATATTGTTCTTGGTTTTCTTCGTCAAATTGCAAAACGTTCTCACTTCTCGTGCTCAGATGATCCTCAAATATTGCCATCAGAATGCAGATTGATACCTCTTGCATCGGTACAGGCCAGTAAGAGTCTCACAATACAGATGTAGCCAAAAGGAAGAGATGTCTCGACGGACCCCTTCTTTTGGAAGAATTACTCCATACATTTTTATTGATATATCTCCACTATAGTGTTAGTCGTGGAGTATAGAAAGCAGAACGTCGAGAGCGACTATCCCATACTCAGTCCACTGCTACAAAGTCTCGTAAAAAGGCAGAGGTATATCACATAGAAAGGCATAAACCACAGAAAGGCTTTAGATATTAAGCTGCATGCAGATGTCTCAGAGGTCTCCATCCGAGGCAGCACAAGATTCATGCGTTTCGACGGCTATAGCTAGATGGGAATGGCGATTCGAAAGCTTGAACTTTATGCTCGAATACCACTCCCCGTACGCCGGTCTGTTCTTGATATAGCTATCAATACGTAGAAACGCATAGCACAGAGTGGTACAGTCCAGTGAGATCGAAAAGAGAACAGAGGTCTCTGTGGAATACACCTGTTACAGGTATCGTGTCATGCATCCTGATAAATGTGGATAGCTGAATATGTTCATCTGGATGCTCAGATATGGAAGACTGGAGCGCTGATCCTCGTGGTCAGATAGTGATACGATACAGTCATAAGAAGGCACAAAGATATCACGTTCAACGATATGGACCACTGAAAGGCCAAGAGAAACAGCGATTTTGGAGAGGAGTAGAGATGTTCCTTTGGTAACTACACTGTACAGCAGAAACTTCATGCATGAAAGCATGGTCATCAGAAGAAGGTAGCCCCCAGGAGATGACAAAGGAAAAGCAAAAGAAACAAAAGAAGAACAAAACCGAATCCAGCACACAAAAGAAAGAAATGGGAAAGCGAAATGCAGTCCCAAGACGACCGAAAACTCCATAAAAGATCGAAAACAGCAAAGGTCTAATGCTTGGCAAGCTGATACAGAGGGATTGCGAGCCTACCTTGTGTCTAGAAGATCGATGTCAGTGAACAGTAGATGGGCAGATGTGGGAAATCAAACTTACGTTCAGCCAGAAGCAACCTTCTTTGGAGATCAGTCGTCCTCCCCTCCTCGTCTCCCTCGGGGAAGTCAGGGAGAAGCACCATGAACTTTCCCGGATTCCTATCATCACACATAAGACGCAACCAGAAAGATTCGATGTCAAGGGTTTCTCCTTTTCCAACTTTCCAAGCCTGATACTTCTGGACACGACGATAGACATGCAGGATAGACGCTTCATTAAAGTCGAACCTCGGTTGAGCGCTTGTAATTGAAACTCTCCGGAAAAACCAGACTCGTCCTCTCATGGCGAAGAGGGCAACCGAGGGAGTGACTTACATTCATCATCTATATAGCTCTGTACCGCTCGAATGACTCTGAATTATGATCCCTTCTATACTTCGACATCACACATATCGCATTTCCTCTGTATTATTCACTGTAGAAGGCCGTCTTGTTTCGATGGCAGCGGTTGCGTCGAGCGTCGCTCTGGATTCCGCGTCTTTCTTCTCTTCCTCGCTTTTGCGTCCTGCTTTCTCCTCCAATTCCACTTCACCTTCCTTCCTCGTGGCTTCAAAAGTTGCTGAACAAAGATCGACGAGTCATAATACATGCCACAAAGGCTGCAGTCGAGTGGGCAGACTGCACGCCGCCCAGAGATGCTCTGTACAAGCGCGGTCACACTTGACAGACTTCCTCGCTTCTTTTTGGAACCAGCCGGGAGACCACTGCTTCGCATGTCTTCTAGCACTGTGTCACTCGCATTACACTGCCTCGAGTTGACGCGAACATCTTTTCATCGAGTCTGTTGGCCTTGAGCCGGTACTTGAAGAAGAATTTGTCTCTTTGTTTGGCACTAGTAGGCTGTGCCATTGGTTGGGTTCTCCTCTCGCCGCGTCTTTGTTCCCTTTCTCTCTTCTAACCTGCGCCCTCCTCCTCTATCATCTCCGCCCCCATCTCCTGTGGCTTGCCTTTTCGAGCTTTGATTCGCGGACGCTGACTGCCGTAAGCACCACTGCTGGGGGTCTATTCAATAATCCCGTTTGCTGGAACTCATATCTGAGATGGAAGTGTCGTCAAAAGCGATGATCGCAGGATTGCTGGGTGTTTCTGAACGGTGTCTCAGCTTGAGACGTTGTGCAAAAGGTGACCAAGATATCGTGAGAGATATCGATAGGTCCTACAGATTGAGGTCTTTTTCCACCTTTCTCAATTCAAAATAGTGGTCCTACTTCCATCCTGCATAACATCGTTAGCTCGAGTCCAACCAACGAGGTTACTCAAGACAATATTCTATATGAAGTTGTAAAGAAAGTATCTAGCAAAAGACCACTGCTAGTTTTCGAGTCGACATAAGAGAAGTGCAGAGAATACTGTCCCTACCATTTTCGCGGACAACTTTTCGTTGTGAGTCGTATTCCTATTGCCGATTCCCAAAACATAAACTCAGATGGTATACAGACTGTCCGTGCTTGTTGTTTCTGCCATCAGCGTCGGCGTCGCTTCCGTACCGAAGCCTGCCAACTCTGCGCCCGCAGCCAACAAATCCTCCAGAACATATTATCCACCACCTCGACCTCTCCATTCACACTTCTAACGCTTGCAAAAAAAAATAGAGCTGCTTCACAGCAAAAGCAATGATTCCGCCCGGGTTCGAACCGGGGACCGCCTGTGTGTTAGACAGAAGTGATAACCAACTACACCACAGAACCAATTGATGTGAAAAATCTCGGATCTATCGCTTATCATGAACTTGAATCAAGCGGGAGGAAACAGAAGGGAAGGGAAGGGTAAGACTGAGCTGCTGCAAGTCGTTGATTGAGCTTTATCGTTGACGATGCGATTAGCAAGGTCAGACTTGGCCAATATACATATCCTTCTCACTGCGTTATTTTCGTCTACTATAGAACTTCTCATTGCAGATAGACTGGCGCTTTGACGGAAAGAAGACAGAGCATGCGTCCACTATATCTCTAGCACGCAATCTAATCCCAGTGCTCTGGTGAATTCCTCGCACTCGCAGATGGGGTTGTGCTTGGTCTGATTAGCCGTGATTCTCCAGCAGCAGTATGTGCACAAATTCCAACCCCGCTACAAGCATAGACCGATCTTCTTTATCACTGCAAGTCCAGATTTTGAACGAGAGCGCAAGGCGAGACAGCAGTTCGATGGATCTCACTCTTCGTTATCTGAATCCACAACCTCCTCATAACCACCTCTGGCCAGACACAGACCAAAAAAACACCTTTTGGGTGTAGGGTGGTGGAATGTAAACCGCAGAAAATACAACGGGGTATAATGAAGCACAACAAAAACACAAATGGGTATAGTAAAGCAGAAAGCAAAAGCAGAAAGCATAAAAAAGCAAGCAAGGAGGGAAAGACCGTTTTTCCCATCTCTCTCACTTTCTTCGTCAAAGCAGAGACGTTCAACTCCCACAAAGTAGAACCGCAATAACCTCCCACCTCCTCGAGCCTCTTCCTTTGTTCCTAGCAAAGACTTTGAGTGCCGCCAAAGCCATGAGATCTCCAAGAGATGGCAAGAAGCCGGTTTCGAGTGGTACGCACTTAGCAATGCATTTGGTGTGAGAAGGAGCCAGAAGTTGGAGCCGAGAGAACATCGAAGCAAAAGTCGATGGTACCCGCGACACCTGTGGATACGAGAAAGTAAAATCCTGCAGAATGCGTGATGCTGAAGGTCCGGCGGATTTGCTGGCATTTTGAGAGAAGAGGACGGGAAGTTTTGGACAAGAAGCTGTTGAGAAAAAGTGTCGTTCAGAAGTCGTGTCCAGCTGTTGCCGACCAGTAGGCAGGAACTCCTGGAGCGAATAAATGCTGGTGTTGTTGTTGTGGCTGTCGATGCTGAGGTTGTTGTTGATGTTGCATCTGTGGAGGAGGCTGTTGCATCTGCTGCTGCAAATGTTGATGACTCGACTGAGTGTGAGTCTGCACCTGCGCTTCCACCTCATCTCCCACCTCATCTCTCACCACATCCTCCATCTCTTCCTCGTTTTCACCACCTCCCTGCTCTCCACCCTCTACCCCCTCAGCCTTCTTCATCTGCCTCCACTTCTGCAACTCATTGGCCACATCCTTCTCACTAAACAAGCCCTCAGGAAACCTCTCTCGTAGTCTCTTCAACCCCTCCTTCCTGCCCAACCCTTCCTCTGCAATCTCCCTTAAGCACTCTTGCACATCATCACCCTCCCTCGCTCTGCGCCGATGATTCGGCAACGTCCTCACATCAACAGGCGGATGATTATGCAGCGCTGGATCCGTGTCCCCNCACCGAATCTCCCACGCACCATCAGGATCATTGCGATCAACAGCCCACGCCCAAACCCGGCTCGGACAACCCTGCTTCAAGCTCCCTTTATCCCGACGTCTTTGATCTTCAGTCAGATGCCGCGTATTCTTTGGCTTCCCACCTAACACACAGGTAATATGCCATTTATAGTACGCAGCATTCGGGATTATGCTTTTGCGGCCTCCCTTTTGGGTTGTGGGTTTTACGCCGNNAGCTTTTTTTNNCACCACGTCGAAGCCGTGGTGGAGGGTGTGGGTGTGGCAGGCTGTCATTAGATCTGCTAGTGTGGTGCCGCGGAGACCAGAGGGGATGGGTTTGATGTAGTAGCTTTCGCCGTCTTTGGGGGTGGCGGCGGGGCGTGGGAAGGAGGGTGTGGTGGTGGGGTCGGGTGTTGATGTTGTGGGTGCTGGTATGGTGGGTAGTGGTGGTGTGGGTGTGCGTGTTTGCGGCGCGTGCAGTTTCGTGATGAGTTCGTCGTCAAAGTCCATGGTTCGCCTGCTGTTTCCTTGGTTTGGCTGGTTGTCTATGAGAAGGGAAGGCGCAAGAAGGATTCACGAAAGATGAAGTCGCAAGAAGATTTTACCAAAGAGGAAGTCGCGATGGCTGGACTGGAACTGACAGCTGCGTCGCGATGCAATCTGTGGGGAAAGACCTCGATGGACGCTCGTCAAGACTTCTGGCACTCGGGAAACATCTTTTGGCCACTTCCTGCTGAATCACCTCGTCCTCGAGGTGACACTCTTATAGCCATACTATGTGATATGAGGTGCCATTGCTCGTTGATCCAATATTGGGACATGGCTCTGGATGCATGCGTAGTTTCGAGATCTAATCAGAACGTGTTCAGATTGAATTGACTACTTTTTGAGTTCAAACGAGCAATCAACAGCATCTGCTTGATAACATCGCAATGGTATTGATAGTAATGCCTATCAAGATATTTGCATGCTAGTCATGGCAAAAACGCATGCTCGTACCAGAAAACGCCACGGCTATACCACTAATGCTCATGCTCGTGAACCATGCAAACCAGAAATGCTCCCTGTCAAGCAACCATCCTTTTCTTTCCATTGCAGACCTTTGACTTTCTTAAACGACCTTGGCCTTGCCTTTGCCTTTACTGCTTTTCTTGCTCTTCTTTGCTTCTTCTTGCTCTGGTGTGATTGGCTCTGTGGCATTCATCAGATCAGTCAGCCAATCTGTCGGAGCTTCAGTTTCTTGAACTAGAGCTGATTGTTCGGCAACCGATTCTGGTGCAACTTCTGCCTCCTGGTTTGAAGCACTCTCAAGTGGTGCCGGTTCTTGAGTGATTCCGTTCCCGGCTTTGGCCTCCGCTTCAGCCTGCTTCTTTGCCAACTTCTTGGCCGCGAGCTCTTGAGCCTTCTTCTTTGCTTTGGGAATATAGGGTTGACCCTTGGGTTTGGGATTGAACCTCTGCTTTTTCTTCTTTTGCACAGGTTTGACAGGCGCAGTCACGGCTTCAGGACTGGATTGAACGGCTTCTTGTTGCGTCTCAATTACATGCCATCCGGCAACCATGTCCAGTTCATTTCCGATGCGCTTTTGTCGCTCTTGTGATGTTTCCTCGCTGCGGTCTGGTTTGATGAGTTCTGTGGCGTCTTCTTCGGTGAGGATTTTGGATGTGTCTTCGTCGCCGGTGATGTGAGCGACGTAGCCCAGCCATTTGGTTAACCAGGCGTCGTTGACTTCCCCGATGCAAGTAGTTTGAGGTCCGTGCCGGCTGGGAAGGTTGGAGGATTTGGTTCTGGTGGAATTGCCAGTGCTTCTGCGATGGAAGTGAGATTGGGGGCTTCTTCAACAACTCCTGCAATCACGGGCAAAGATTCTTGGGTTAGATCGGCAGGCGCAGTCGAAGGGCCAGCGACAGCAGGCAAACTCATTCGTTGACGTTTTGCGGGTCTCTGATCTTCATCGTCTGGTCGTGCTGGTGGAAGAGTCGTCTGCCTTCTCGAGCGTTTGTCGATCAAAGCGGGTTTCGCATCAATCTGCAATCGCTTCAACTCTCGCTCCCTCTTGAGAGCCTTTTTCTCGTCTTCTTCCTTTTTCTTGGTGTCTTGTTGGTCCTGACCTTCTTCTGCCGTGACGTAGAGCTGTTCTTGATCTGTATCGTGTGGCTTGTCGGGCTCCTTTTCTTGTTGCGGTACGTGTGCTGCTTGTATGACGCTGTCCACCGCTGGTTCCTCGACGTGATTTGATGGTTCTTGTTCCACCTCTTCGACAGCCTCTGATTTAAGCTCAGGAGCACTGGCGGCTGTTTGCAGTGTAGCGGGGGCAGCCACAGGCGGTTCCGGCACGCTGAGGGTGTTTTGCAGAGATGGCGGATCGAGAAGGCCGTCGTCGATCTTGCGACGCTTGTTGTTCTTTACTGATTGTGGTACAGCAGTGAAATACTGCGTGATCTTGCGTTTGCCAGCAGATTTGGTAGTGAGAATGGGCGACTTTGCGGAAGCTTGCGGGTTGCTGGTCTGAGGTTGTTTGGCGGCAGCAGCAGGAGACGGCACGCGCTCAGTCACAGCAGCAACATGCGGAGAGTTTGGCGAATCGGACGGCGACGGTGTGAGCAAGACTCCCCGTCAGGCAGCAGATGATGCGGCGCTTGTGTGGCTTCTGGCTGTGCATTGTCTGGCAGCAATTCCTGTCGCATTCCGCTGCGCCGTGAGACTCTTTTTGCTGCCGACGACGACGAAGCGACGCCGCCCAGACTGGGATTCGCATCGATGGTCAGCCGTCGCAGCTCCTTGGTCATCTTCTTGCTGCTGCCCGGCGCCGACTGTGGCAGGCCAACTGATCCATGCCGATCTGCTGACGGCGTCGTCGGCGGAGTCGCGCTTGCCTGCGCTCGTCGCGTGGATACCATCATATGCTTGATATGCGATCTTCCAAGGGTCCGGGGGTCAGGGGGTCCAGCGGTATAGACGTTTTCTCTTTCCAGTACTTGCTTGCGTCGCACCTTTTGGCAAGTATGTCGTCTGTTTCCTGTGTTGTTGTACTGGATAGACCGAGCTGCAACTCCCACAATCAAAGCCAATTGTCCATGCACGGGCCCAGCCCATTGACGTAGCCACCAACCCGCCATGCATGCACTCAGGACAGCCCTACCCGTCTCTGAACCTCGTTTCCTTGTTGATTTCGATTCTGTGTTACATGTCTCGTTGGACTATCCAGTCGCAGTGCTGAGACATTGCTCTCGACGTTGTCTCGACGCTGCGTATCGCACTCACACCTGTCTCGAACGACCAAGACATCGGCTTCGATGGACAATTCGATTGATCCGAAATCTCTTGTGCATTTTGATAGCATCATTAAAGTTCTCGTGTCGTCGGTGAACGTAGGTAAATCATGCCTCTAGGGCCTTACCGCGACGCCCGGGTCGTCGTCGTCCTTCCATCCCCTTTCCCATCGCCTTCCATTAAACATTATCCCCTCCTCCTTGCCCTCATCCTGATCATAACTCTCGCTACCCTCAGTCCTCTCTCAATCTTCATCCCTCATCAGCCTTCTTTCCTCCACTAGCAGCACGCAAATCGTCCACACCACGGCGACGACGCACAGTGCCTGGAGCCATAACAGAGGGCGAGGCGAGAGCTGCAGCAGTATGGCCAAAGAGCATGTTACCCAGCTCTCCAGCGTCTCCAGACTCGCTCTCTGACTCGGGGCTGGTCGAGGAGCTTGGTGAGCCGATGTCTCCGGCAGCGTCGTAGGCATTGTCGTTGGGGAGCGTGTCGAGCCAGCGCTCGACTGTGAGGTCAAGGTCGGGGTAGTACTCGAGCTCATCAAGACCTTGCTCGAAAGCTGAGGTTCTTGCGTTGGTGTACTGGAGTCGTGTCAGTAAGGCATTCAACACATGCGTTCGACGAGCAGAAGCAGCAAGGTCAGGTAGATGGGCCAGCAAAAGGTAGGTACTCACACGCTCAGCGATAGCATCGCTCTCAACCTCTCCCTCCTCCTCATCATCTTCCTCATCAGGCTGAATCGAATCATCACCTCCCTCCTCATCTCCATCTTCGTTGTCCTGCTCATCATGACCACCCTCCATCTCATTATCCTCCCCCATGTCTTCGTCCTCTTCGAGAATCCCAGCAATACCACCCGACAATCTCACAATTTGAGCCAAATGCATAGTCTGCTCTTGCGCACTCATTGCGCGACGCATGAACTGAGCGTCACGTACCACTGGGGCAGAGGGAGCAGATGTGGTGAATCTACCATGGCCGAGGAGATCATTGCGAGTGGGAGAGAATGGGGATTCGAGAGCCGGTGTAGAGGGCTGGGTTGCGTGGGCGCGAGGAAGGGTCTCGAGGCCACCACGACGGAGGGACGGGTTGATGGTGGGAGGTTGGGCAACGGCAGGGTTGTTGTATTGAGACTGCTGGGGTCCTGCATTGATGTTGTGCTGGTCTTGCTCAGATGCCATGGTCGTGGTTGGCGCTATAGGTGCTTGTTCTTCGTCTGTATGGGAACCGTTGATAGCGTGCTTCTTGCTAGTGAACATGATGTTGTATAGTAGCTGATTCTGCGCCAGAAAAAGGGTGCAAAAATAGTTGGGTTGTGTCGTGGAGGACGCAAAGACGCGCGCACTAGAAACACTAGCGACGGAATCTTCGAATAAGATGCTGGTTACCAGGTCGATGCACAAGAAAGGTTAGCTCTCCTGCTCTCTCCGTTTCAGGAACACTTATTCGCACATCCACTGCTGGTTGAGATGACTGCTTTAACTTACCATCGAAGTGGAGATGTTCATATTTTCTCTCCAGGTGTTGTTACAGCAATCGGGGCTTACAACTTCATCGTCATGATGTACAACTATACGAATTCACAATACCCAGGACAACGCAGACGAGCAACCAGAGGGTGTGGTAAGTTTCGATCATGGCATCCCTACAGGTCGTGAATGCAAAGGATACTGACATTATCCATCTCGAACCAAACTACTCCCTCTATCATGCTCCAGAGAACTCTTTACATCCTACTTGAAGCGAGTGGAGAACTCGATCAACGAGTTATACTCTTTATAACCCAAGCCCCGCTCATTCCCTTCGAAGACACCCTCGCCTGCAGGAATGAGCAGCGTTCTTGCGAGCAAATACTGACAGGACAGTGATGAGAAGCCAAAGCCATGACACCAGAGCTTGAAGAAATCATAGTTCATTGCAGACGGTCGAAGCCTCAGTGCCAGCAGGTGCGCGATGCCAAATGTTGGTAGAAGTTATCGGTATCTTGACGGGTGCCATTGCATCTTCCGATGGAACAGCCGAACCAGTACTGAAAGATACCAGCAGACGATCTCCGCGAAGTAGAATGTAGAGGAAGCAGAAACACAAAGATACATACCTTCGATGACGGGTCAACTGTGCAGAAGAAACAGCATTCTGGAAGTGCTGATACTCGTCAGATGGGCTTGAACTGTCCTTGTGCATCATCTCAGAGGACTGAGGTGGAGGCATGGCGGTGCTTAGGTTGTTGTCGTGCCTGTGGTCTTCATAGGGGTTGCCAGAGTCCTTGTGGGCCATATCGCTTGAGTTGGGAGGTATTGTCGTGCCTTGGTTGTTGCCGAAGACAGAGGGATAGAAGGTATTGAAGGCTCGCAGGTTGTTCAAGCGACAGCACAAATTGATGCAGTCATCAGTGTCGCCGAGAGTAGTAATACAAGACGCCAGAGGCTGAATTCTCGGTGAAGCGATCGATGTTCTGCGACACATCCCAGATGCGAGTCTTATACTGAGCACCACATCTTGCAAGAGGGTGTGGCTTGATGCCACTCTCTCAATTCTTCAGGTTCTTCTCCTGACCAGACTGGCCAGACCAATCCACTGTAGGATCGATAACCGATCAGAAGATAGAATGAATGTTGAAGTCCATCATGCTCTTTGGCGTAGCGACAAACTCGACTCGACCATCATAGATCTGTACAGTCTAGGCACGAGGATGTTCAGGTCAGCGCCAAAGTCCTCGTGATGATCAACGAGACGGAAGTTGGCTGTAGTAAGACCACTCTCGAACATGGCCTTCGAGACAGCCGCGGCATGCAAGTCGTCAAAGCGACAGTACAAACTCACGCAGTCTTCAGTGTCGCTGAGAGCAGCAACGCAGTCGTCGGTTAGACCGACCAGACTAGTCTGGCATCAGGTCAAGAACTGACCAGACGATCGACAAGAAAACCTTACTGCTTGCAGGACTTCGTGAAGGATGCTACATTCAAGCCACTCGCCAGGGATCATGCCAAAGCGCACAAAGCGAGTCTCAGCAACGTTGGGGTCAGCATCAGTGCTGAAGGAAGGACCATCCTTGCTCGAGGGAAGTCAATCGGAGTCAGTCGTGGGGAGATGAACCCTAGTATCTCTGTTGTTGTTGTTGTTGTTGTTGTTGTTGTTGTTATTGTTGTTGTTGCTGCTGCTGTTGGCCGGAGCCGAAGTGTTGATGGCCGGAGCCGTGAGGTTATGGTTACTAATTGCTGCAAACAGTTGAAGGAGTGTGAAGAGTCAAAGAAGTGTGTAGAGAGTCATGTTGCGCATAGATCTTTTTGAGCGAGGAAGTGAAGATGGGTTGGTTCATACAAAGGGTGTTGGACTTGCGCTTACTTGGCGAGCAAGTGAGTGTTTCCCAAAGCTTTTCATGGTCCCAAATGGAAGGCATTGGAGGCAAGCTCTTTTGCTGCATTGTTATTGGTGTGATCGAGCAGTTAACACATTACCGGGACTGCTCTCGCCTCTAGCGAGCTTTCCGAACCTTCTGTATACTCTCCTATACTCGCGTACACTACATGACAGCATCACAATACACAGTAGTCAATGTTTTGCTCAACTAGACCATGGAGACCATCCATCAGTCCTCTCTTATATACAAGACATCTCTTTACCCAAGCTTACACAAACTGCAGTATGCGAAGGCAAGTCGTCCTACTTGCTTTAGAACTTTCTCGGAGACCATCTATGCTATTCTTCCGAGTGTACTTCTGATATCGAGGCCACCTCCAAGATAGAGCATCAAGATGCATAAAGTCTTTGGTATGTGTTCTATTACCCATTGAGAGCTTGAGAACTCTTGTAAGTGCTCATGACAACACGAGAAAGTATCATACTATCACATGAGACGCCATCACTACTTAAGAAACACACTTTTCAAGAGTCCTGCGGATAAAAGACCAAGTCTAGGAGGTGTAGCTTTCTAGACTTGCAAGCTCTCTCATCTCCCATATCGACTGAACCCAGGAATGGTACCTGAACACACTCACCGAGCCATTCCAACACCCAATCACACGTACGAGCGTACATAACCTACCATACCTTGAAGACCGCCCGTTGCATGACCTTGACACCTCGACTGGACCCGAGAACCAACCTCTGGAAGATATTCACCGAGTCCTGGTAGCGCCTGAAAACACGTGCGGACGTGACACCTTATCATCTCTACAAAGTTTCTCGTCACCAAGTCAAACCATCAACGTGACATCTCAACTGAACCCGCTACCAGCATCTACACGATTTTCACCGAGTCATCTCGCGCCTGATAGCACGTGCAACATCAGGCGCTATAACACCTCAACCCGTCACCTCCTTGTCACCATCTGCTCTATCAAGCGCTGCTCTCTTTATCACACCCGGACAACAACATCTGAACACATGCCATGCGCATGACAGGCACAAGATTGTTCACGGGCTGGGAGGAGACTACAAAGCGCCTTTCAAGGCCTGTTGTTTCTTTCTCCTTCATCATTCACACAGCAAACACATTTCCTTATTCGACCAAAAATAATTTTCGACAATTTAGACAAGTCTTCAAGATGAAGTACACCTACGACATTGTCCAGTGGGACAGATTCAACTGGTACCCAACAATGGTTTTCTGCGACATGGATCCCGAAGCTCTTGAACGTCACTCTGCCCACATTCGTGATTTGTGTTTCTATCAGCCCTTGATATGGCAATACCGCAGCCCAGCAAAGCGATTCAAAGAGATACATCTTCACCCGGCCGGAGACTGGATGGTACCCAATGCTCTCAAATTCGTTTTCTGCGCCATCAACCGCGCAAGACGTGGGAAGAAGATCTTCCTTGAGCTGCCCAAGGACTTTACGCTTGCAGTCCAGGTGCATCAGGTCTTGATTGTTTTGCAGGTTGAGGATTGCATTGGTCCTATGCACGGCCATGTCAGACAAATCATCAGAGAGAGGCCGCTGACTACCATGGAGCTCGAGACTGTCTGGTCTTGTCTCAGGTTTATCGCTCCGAAGATCCATGAATTCGCTCTTCAGATGCGATTCGAGCAATCAAAACAGATGTGGTCTTTGGGACCAGTGATCGAAGATCAAGAGGCGAAAGAGAGAGTGGTCGAACATGACACGGACATGGCAACATCATCAGCAGAAGACACTCTAGTCGGCACAGAGTCAGACCCAGACGCAAAGATGATCGCAGAAGACATCGACACTGACCCAGAAGACATTTGCTATGATGCAGACGAAGAATCTGCTCAAGAAGCCGAGGGATTCATCACAGACTTCGATCTCCGACGCACCACCAGCGAGCCTTACTTCAAGCAAATGTACAAAATCGACATCAGCGCATTTCGTGAATGCGAAGACGAAGAGCCAGAACATTGAGCGAAGTGGAGACAATTGGTGGAGAAACGAAAGAATGCCACCCATACTGACCACCAACATGCACAACACATATTCCAAAGGATATAATATAAGCCCCGGCAGCCAAAAAGATCTTGAATGCAAGATTCAACGACTGCAATACTTTGAATATGGAACAAGCAGCGAAACAGATCCAAAATCCTGGGTTCTGCCTTCAAGCCGATACTAACCTGGATATGTTACATTTCCTCAAAGATCTAGAATGCCAGATCTCAAATTATAACTGCCTTCTATGGCTACCTACCTTTCGTGTATTCTCCCAATCTGGCTACTTTCTCTCATTCCATCAGTTCCTAGGCCCTTTTTTCTCTCCGCAAGATTGGCTGTGGTGTTGTCGATTGCTACTAATAGTGGGATTGCATCCTCTCAGAGCATCGCTGCTCCGAAAACTCTTGATTACTAAAGCTCTTCATCTTCTCATCGCTATACACGAATAAAGATTGGAGAAGAGAGTCGAGCGATGTTTCTTCTTTCCCCGGGCGATGGAAGCTCATCCCGACTGAGACCGTTCAACAAAGGTCGCCAAATCGCCTTCTTGATGATCAAGAATGCAGACTTCCTTTCCTTCTTCCGATGGAGAAGTGTATTGGATGTCGTCAAAAGAGGGTTGTGGAGAAGGTCGGATTGGAATGTTCATGACGCAATCTGCATGGCTGATCAGACCGAAGGTGCTGCCTAACTTCTGCTTCCTTTGCTTCTTCTCACAATTCGTAACCTCACCCGGGTGCCTTTTCCACCAGATCACTGCCATCGTCGTCTTTTGTATCGACTGCTGGTGTTCCACTGTGCTTCTCGCGCGCCTCCACTCGGCCATCGCTCCACCGACGCCCCTAGCTTTCGGCTTTCATCCACCCGAAAACAGTCGCGTTCCCGCCGAAGCTTCGCCGTCTCGACACACAATGCGAAACCAAAGCAACAGCAGCAGCAAGAAGCAGTGCTAGAAAATAGAGAAGGTTGCTTTCACGACTAAATGAAACCATATCGTTTCCGAACGGATCCTCTCCTGATCCGTCCCTAATAGACCAATATCTGGCAAAACTTCTACACCACCACCGTACCCTCCCTGGCCTTCTGCATAACCGGATCAGTGCCACCACCGGCAAAAGGGTCTCGCCGGGAATCGAACCCGGGACCACTCGCAATTGGCTTAGAGTTTTCAAGGCCGCAAGCAACCTCCCTAAGCGAGTATCATACCGCTAGACCACGAGACCTGATCAGATGCACTGAATTGATGAGGTTGCGGTCGCCTGTTGGGGTTAAGAACTTGCAGACAATGGGACAGAGCGGAGCAGAGCAGGACAGCGTCGAAGTTTTGTTGAAGCCTTTATCGACATGGTGTTTCACTGGACGCAGTACTGTGTCCAGATGTCGACAGCGGCTTCTCGCTGTTTGATATGTACTTGAACCAGTCAACTCCCTGGCTTAATCCCTGCGACTCAAGGGGAACAGAACCTCTGCAGAGTTGGGAGCCAGTGCATGTCGACCAAAAAGTATGATTGAAGGTAAGTGAATTAGGCTGATTGTATTTTTGTTCGAGGACGATAGTATCTTGCAAGTGACTATAGCGATGATATACTTGCGCAATTCCCCTATGTGCTATACTGACTTGAGTGCTGCTAACAGCAAACCTCTCCACTCCTAACCTATCACTCGTCTCGAAGGATACTTGTACCATGCTACAAACTCATCGTCAACCTCCACAGATTCTCCATCTGTTTGTTTTATGCAAAACAGCTCTCTCTCCTCGGCCCGTTCCATCGGCCAATCTTCGGAAATTCTCTGTCTGCCATCAAATTTCCATCTTTGTATACCCACATTGCTAGCCAAGGCTTCAACAAATGGGGTTGTGGTCTAGTGGTATGACATCTTCTTAGCATTGCTCTTGCGAGTAATCCTGAGTTGGAGAAGGTTCTGGGTTCGATTCCCAGCTACTCCATCTTTTGTTCGTGAGGTGTAAGGGAATGGTGGGAGGATGTGGTGAGTGGACTTCTGTTTTGCAAGGTTGGCTGAGATTTTGGCTATGCGACTGTGGTGGCATAGCTGGTGAGAGGCTGCGAGAGGTGGTCTGAGAACTTGACATCTGCAGGAAATTGTAGACTTGCATCGAGGACGGCAAGAAGGTAAGGGGATCAAAGCATTTCCAAACACCAGCAGCTCATGGCATCCGAGGGATGACCATTCCTAATGATGACAAGGAACACAGATAACTCAAGGTAGGTTCAGAGGAAGCGAACAAAATCTGATAACGAAGTGAATAACTATCTGCATCTCAAAGCCACCCAACGCAAAACTTCTACATTCTCAATCTCTCCTCCTTTTCAACCAAGAACTCAAACGCACTGCGAGTACCAAACATTCTGGACCTTGCAAGTAGATCCCGAGGCGCAGGTAGTAGCTCCAGTCCATCCATTACCACCACACTGACCATACTTAGCAGCAGTGCCTGAACCAGAGCCCGAAGCAGCAGAAGTAGCAGGAGCAGCAGCCTCGGTAGTCTTGACAACAGTCGACAAAGTGGTAGCAGGCTTGGTAGTCACAGGAGCAGCAGACGTGGTAACAGCCACCTTTGACGACACAACAGCAGACGTGGTAACAGCCACCTTGGATGTCACAACAGTAGAAGTGGTGGGCTTGTTAGATGACACAGAGGCTGCACCGCCGGCGCCACAGCTGATGACTGCAGGTCCAGGAGCCTTGTACGAAGTGTAGATGGAGGTATCGTAGATGTTGGCAAGGATACCAGGGTCAGTAGCCGAGTAACCACCAGGCAGCGAGATCTCAGCCGACGACGCAGGCGAGAAGGAGCCAGAGCCCGTAACTTTGATCTGCGCACACGACTGGTAGAACTGGGCACCTCCCTCAGAGCTAGCAGAGTGCAAGGCAAGCAGCTCAACACGCATGAGGTACTGGCCAGGCGCAATGCAGCTGGGCATGGTGAATTTCTGCCAGCCAAAGCCGTTGGAGTCGGTGTTCTTGATCATGTCGTCGACGCCCCAGACGCCGGACGAAGTCACAGCGTCGCTGGCAATCTTGAACCACTTGAGGCCGGTGGCAGCAGCGGAAACGGCATCGTCGACTTTGGCGAGGTAGACCTGGGTAGGACCCTTGTGGGAAGAGGCAATGGGGTTGTCGCTGTCAGACTGGCCTTGAGGGCCACCGAGAACGTGGGCCCAGGCGCCTGCGACGGCGGCACCGGCGGGGATGGTGATGAGCTTGGAGGAAGTGCCGGCGCTGGCACCGCAGAGGAGGTCGGTGGAGGTGACGTCTTGGACGGGGTTGTTGGTGGGTGGAGAACGGATGCCAGTCAGGGAGCCTTGGTCAACACCGTCGACCATGATACGCTGCATGATGGCATGGGCGTTGACCGAGGAAGCGGCAAGCGCCAGAGCAGAAACGATAGAGTACTTCATTGTTGTATGTGTGAAAGTCGAATATAGATACCTGCCAGAGGATCGAGAAAATATGTGGATATGAACGAGAGTCGAAGGTGTAAAAAAGTGGTGGTGAGAAAAGAACGTGGAAGGTAGTCAAGATGCTTGAAGAAAGGAAAGTTCAAACCTCATGCACCAACCTTGCCCTTATATATCGATTCAGGGCTTCATTCTGTCCACCTCAGGGCAAGACTTGAGATCTCATTCTCCCAAACAGACACAGTACGACGCCACAAACCATAGGCTAATATCCAGCCAAGGCGGGAAGTAGACTGTTTATTGAGCAGTACTACGCCAAGTCATGTTCTGGTATAGGGCAAGGGCAGATTTTGTGTAAGCGATCTGGTGAGATGTGAGGGCGCAGCTCGCGTATGCCCATGCGAATGCGAAAACAACGTGCCTGCAGGGGCGTAAAGAGGAAGGTCGTGTATACTCGAAACAGGGTCGTTGTCGCCAAGCACGATCTGGAGCGCTTCGACCCGCTCAGAGAATATCCAGACTCGTCGATGCTTTAAACGGGACTATTCGCTTTGGACGTGGTATGGAAATCAGGCCCGAGAGTCCGTAAAAGGTGTGTCAAGCATCAACTGACCGCCAGCCATCTCGTTCTTGAATATATCCAGTCGAAGAGAGGAGCTTTTGCCAAGAACATTCATGCACATGCAGAAGTTCGAAGCAAACGCCAGGGTGTGGGGAAGGCGCTGTGAGAGCGAAAAGTTTACTCCAATCTCGCTTCAACATGAGGCTCCTGAAGCACGCTATGCAGATGCATGCGTTTCATCTTCTGGGAAGGACAAGCGATGAACCGGTCGCATTGAGGGTTTTTCGCGTCGTGTTGTTCTGGTCTGCAACATATGATGGCAGCGTCTCCTTGACCGTATAAAGGTATATCTGTAGCCCCTTGCTTGTTCTGCTGGAGCCCTTCGTTATGACGGGAGCGCTCGCAGTGACTCAGGGCTTGTGACTCCTTGGTCGCAATGCTGTACAGCACCTTGCCTCTATCGTTTAGCTCGAGTGAACGAAGCTGCTTGGATGCATCGCTTGCTACTAGAAGTCAACTTCACAGCGCGATGGCGCAAGATCGCTCGAGTCGAGACTGGATCAGTCAAGAGCGGCAGACTGTGGCTCGTCGAGACGCAATGCCTCGTAACTCGAGTGTCTAAGCTTGGGCAATGTTACGGCCGCTGTCGTCGCTGCAATTGCTGACTTGGATGCTCGTCGATATTGAGAGCGACCGGGCTGGACACTATAGATAGCATGCACCCTTCACGCTATATCGATGGTTGATTGTTCGCTGTTCAGGCTGTTTTGCTGGTATGCTTGTGGGAGAGTCTTGCAGCTTCCCGCTCGAGGAGTTTTGAAGCCTCAAGATTTGAACGGGCGAGGACCTCCACCTTCTTCCAGGTATCCATATTTACCGGGTATAGCAGTCATACCTCTCACCTGCTTTGTGTTTCTCAGCTCTGTGCCTTTACGTCCATACCCTTGGACTCGGTTCCGAGTACAGTGGGATGGTTTTGAGTTATAGGCATTCCACGGAAGACACTCCGAAGCCGGAGACTCGACAGGGTGGTCCTCTCAACTAACATCTTGACCAACGAATGTGATATAGAGCTGCCATCATACTGCTTATACTATACTTAAACATGCTGAGGGCAAGATACTTACTCAGGGGTCTATCCCTGAAAGCTTGTGTGAGTTGATCGAGTGCGTCGACGTTGACGTCGGTTGGAAAGATTTGAGATTGGCTTCTTCAGAAGACAGCTTGATATTGTGTAGGATCAGGGGAACATTGTCCACGATGAGCATAGATTTTTGATATCCTTAGTTCGGGCACCTATATCTGGACATATACTGTTCCAGTCGTTTCTCTAAAGCATGAAACCGTCTTCCCCACGGAGCTGTCACGGCACCGCTGCTGACACTCGAAAAGCGTGTGAGTGATTGTAGACCATCAGAATATTTACCGTTTCATTCAAAACTGCTTTTATTCAAGGCGAGATGGCCGAGCGGTCTAAGGCGCCAGCTTAAGGTTAAATCCAATACGCTGGTCCGAAAGGGCGTGGGTTCAAATCCCACTCTCGTCAATATTGTTTTGTTTCGACCCTCTCTAATGGTAGAAGAAAGGAAGAGAGTGGTGGTGGAGAAGGAAAATTTTGGCATCGGGATTTCTGGACCCTGATTTTTGGGCTTGAAGCCTGGATGCGCAGAAAGGCTTGGCGGGACTGTGCAGAGTGTGCGAATGAGTGCGGGGTACCGGCATAAAAGTTGTGTAGCATGTATAAATGTAGATATCCGGTTGATGGTTGCCCGCTTCGTATATTGCGGACTTTGGGACGCAACTTACATTCGCAAGGCGAGGGATGAAGTGTATTGCATTTTCCGAGGAGTGAAAGTCTTGGCAACTAGACACCTCAAGGCTGAGCAGTGTTTGTAATATCCAAAAAGGTCTTGCAAGGGATCAGCGAATGAGGAGATGAGTATATACATGACAATAGGCTTACACCACAGCACCAAGGACGCCAGCCCACCAGGCTCTGAGCGACGCGTCATGAGCATTGTCTACAGAAGTCATCATCAACAGAGTCTACAGCCCGAGACACAAGAGAGCGTAGGCTGGGCAAATGTCCCGGGCGATGGGTGGTACACACAGCCGCGTGGCTCGCACGATTGACACGCTTCTTACACAAGATTTGAGAAGATGGTGTGGAGAAGAGATGTACAAGATCGACTGAGAGAGCCGCGGACAGTCGGGGCAAGAGGCAGATATAACCCCGACAAGGCTGTGGAAGCTTCGGTAGGAGAAGAGTCAATCATGCCGAAGAGATTGATTGCCATGCCACTTGTGCGAAGGAAGTCTCGGACACACCCAAGAATATCGAAAGGAAGACTGCAGAAGTTCCTTGCATGCTGTATTGGATGAGCAAGGCAAGATGACAGGCTGACCGGAGGATGGATTGGTGGATCAGCACGAGATGGATGCACGAGAAGAGGCGGATGCAACAACCACCGACACCTCCGACTGTGGATATGGATCAGACGTCAGTAAAATCTCCGAAGCATCACATCACACTGCAAACATCGTGGACATGGTTGCAGCGAGAAGGTCAAGTTTTGGGTGGTGGTTGGAAGGGACTTGGTAGTGACGTCCTGCTGCTCTCGGGCAACCCCACGGACTTGCTAAGCCCAAACAGGCAAGGCGTTCGGACTTTCTGAGGCAGCTTATCCTTATTTTTGCTGCTGTTCTGTTCGCCCTGCCTCATCTTCTTGTTGCAGCTGCGAGAGACGTGGCCGAGGGGCGCGCGTGAGCTGCGAAACCAACGAGGCCCTTCGGAGAATACGCGTCACTGCAAGTCAGAGGCGATGAAGAAGGGTCTTGTCTTTGCATGACGCGGCTGTGCAACAGAATCAAGGCTATATAGGCAGAGAGGAAGGTAGGTCTTTGTTCCATCCAGTCATTTTTCAAACACACCAACTGTTCCACCTGTTCATACCACCAAAAACATACAAAAACAGCAGAAAAAGACACACTATCCAAAATGAAGTTTGATTTCTCCATCCTCGCCGCTGCCACCGCTCTCGTCGGCTCGGCCACCGCAGCACCCCAGAACAGCAACAACGGTAACAACAACTGGCAGAGCTACGCTTCACAAGCGAGTTCTTACTGGGCATCAGCCAGCCCCACCGCCACAGGCGACTGGTCGTCGTGGGCCAATGCCGCCTCGTCGTACTGGAACAGCGTCAGCCCCAGTGCCGCTCCTTCGCAGTGGTCCTCGTACGCCTCGGCCGCATCCTCATACTGGGCCTCCAACAGCGCTAGTATGATTACTGCCGCTCCCAGCGCTTTCCCTTGGGCCGGCGGTCCTGGCGGCTGGAGAGGCGGCAACGGGTACGGACCCTTCGGCGGTGTCAATGCCAACGGCACAAACGCTGGCTGGGGTCCTTGGGGCTCAAGCGGTGCATGGACTTCCGGCCCTTGGACGTCTTGGTGGGGTGGAAGCAACTGCCCTGACAGCACATGGTCTGGCTGGACTTCTGGCCCCTGGGGCACAAACGCACCCTGGACTTCGTGGTCGGGCTGCAAGGCTTCCACTACTGCCACCTCAACCATCACTACCACTGTCTCGGGCACACCTACTACTTCTCTCGCATACGGTATTCAGGTGAATGCCGCCACTCAGGCTTCTACTGGCTCTGGATCGGGTACTGCGGCTTCGGCCTCGGCTTCGGCGACTGGTGCTGCTGCCAATGTTGGTGTTTCTGGCGCTGGTGTTGGTATCGCAGCTGGTGCAGTCGCTTTGTTGATGCTGTAAACGCTTCGAGCGTAGAGCTTGGATACGATTTGCATGACTTGTTACGAGAGGAGGAAATTAAGGGATGCTTGTATGCTAGATTGTGAATGGAACGAATGGAATGAAACTGTCAATCATGCTCACCTTTCTCTTCGTCCTGATGTTTGCACTTGCCTCAGTAATACTCCATGTTTCGAGCTCGTGCCAGCCGATCGGAAGTTGCGAGAGGAAGACCTGCAAACCTCTCTGTACCCTGTCTCATACAAAACAGAGAACCTGTCAAACCCCAGACTGCCATGCTGTTGTATTCCAACATCCAAGGGTTATTAGTAGGAGGGTTCGTGAGTCCATAAAACACCCTTGACAACTCTAAACATATGTACCGATTGGCATTCCACTGCGCCTGTTCTTACCGTACTTCTCATCCAAATACTTTCTCCTTTCTTGTTCTCGTATCGACCTGTGACGCGCCTCGACGCAAGCTGTAAAGTCGTCTCTCTCTGTCACAAAGGGACCGAGACCATCATCTCCGTATCCTTCATCTCTCTGCGTTCCACCATGTAGAACCCAAAGCTCGCGTGCAGCTTTGTGGAGCTCAAGTGCTGCGTTGTGGACTCGTTCGTCCCTATAAAGCAGCAACCGTCAGTGTTGTTTCTCTCTTTTGAATAGTCAACATTCTAGTAGTTACCATGTGCGTTTGTCTTGAGGCTCGATAAACTGATGTACCCAAAGCGATTCTAGCATTGGATACACAAGAACATTACCAGTGTGAGACTTGAGAAACAATTCGCTATCAAATTGTCCACGGAGACCAAGCGACTCGATGCTCCTACACATCTCTTCAGCTTTGATATACAATTGAGCAGTATTTGAGATTGCGGCGTTGATCCTGAAGCAGCTCAGTCGTGGCAGTGCGTGGAAGAAAGATGTGAATTCGTCCAGTGTAATCGATGACAGGTCAACCTGCGAGAAACCAAATCCGTCCCACGAAAAGATACTGATGCTGTGTAGCTCTTTCAATCTTGCCAAGCATTTCCGTTCTGAGTATTCGATAGCCACTGCATCACGAAAGCATAACTTGAGATTTTGAAGATTGCGAAGAGTAGCCAGTATTCGAAAGATGGGCGCGGTACCAATGACACCAAGCGACAAAGATGTCAGCGTGACAATCCCGCCGAGCAGGTCGATCGCTGTTGAATGAAATTCTCCCAGCTTCAGGTGAGTAATACTACGGAACGGAGGAATATTCGTGGCTAGCACATACTTGCCGACCTCGAACGTAAGTTCCTAACAAGGTAGACGAAGACTCGTCAGGTACGGTAGGGAAGCGATTGCAGCAAGAACATCCTTGGTGATTAGGGCCCCGATACTGAAGGTGAGCTCCAGAGCTCGAAGCTGGAAGCATGTTTCCATAACATTCAAGACTTTATCCGATGTCGCGTCCGAACTTTCACACCACAACTCGAGAGTGCGAAGGTTGGGAGCGTTGAGCAGTCCTGTCAAAATGTCGTCCGTCCGATATGTACGCGTCAGTTTCAGCTCAAGCAGACTTCGCCGTATGGACTGAGAGGCCAGACAAACAAAGCCAACTTCGTAGTCTGACCAGCGTGTAACTTCCAGAGTCCTCAGAAATGGAAAGTCGAGTTCGAGTGCAACGATGAAATCCCGAGCGTTGGTTTCATTCAAATTTAGATGCTGGATCTTATTCGCATACCACTGTTGACGCTTGAGAGGTAGTCTCGCGAGAGTTGCAAGGGGAGCTTCAGCTTCGGGTACGAGATATCGACGTGTCTTCCACCAAATGTTCGAAGCAATTTCTGCCCAGTCTCTGCAGACTAGCACAACGCTATGATACCGGGGCTCAGAATGTAACCATCTTTCGCCTCCCACATAGAGTATGACCAACTCGAGAACGGCATGCAAGATCTCAAGGGATAATCGCTGGATATGATTCCTCGGATCAGTAAGTGGAAACTTGCGGTGGGTCGTGGACGAGACAAAATTCGCGGGCGCGGCTTGACTTTGGTATATACTATTTTGGCTACGAGTGGCTCTTCGATATTCAAGGGCCATACTGTTGCGTCAAAGTTCGACTCAGGAGGACGAAGAAGAAGAGGAGAAAACAAATCGTCGTAAGGGCTATAAGTTATTATACTCGAGACACACACATTCGTGACGCCCAAGGCTCTCCACGCCGGGCGCAATTTTGAGGCAGCTAGGGTGACTTGCGTCGTGCAGACCACGACAAGAACCTCGAGCATGCATGACAGACTCATTATATCATCTCTCACGTTGCTGACAGCCAAATGAAGCTTCCAGCGTCTTGAGAAGCGTAACGAGCGTCTCTTTGGCGGGTGGGAGGTGGCATAGTAACGTTTGCTCAAGTTGTCCAGCACTCCACGGCACGCAGCACCTGCATTCCTCACTTGCTTCAAGCACAACAATTCTGTCACTTCTCCCTCTTTATTCTTCGTCGATAGCCTCTGGTTCCGCGTATGCTGAGCTCTTCGTTGAGACTGATCTGTACAGAGTAAGCTGTTGCTTGTCTTTCACCGACTCGTCGAAGAAGATTCGCTAGGCGACTTCCCATGCCTTCCACCCTCATATATCAGATCTTTGCACTTGTCTTTTCACCATCGCTGTATGCACGTCGTCGCTACTTTTGGTCGGCTCGCTCTCCACAACGTTTTGCCGACCATCAACAATGACCGTTAGCGCCCATCTGCCGCATACGCGACTGGAGTTCGGAGAACGAGGGAAAGAGCTCTGGGAATTCGTTGGCTTGAAGCAACGGCTGGGAGGCAAGAAGGAACAAAATATTGAAGACGGCATCCTTCATCGGCACCACCTGAGTATCGAGTATTGCTGCCTCTGTGGTGGTTACCCGCACGCCGTCTCGCCAGGATACTCAGACACTGTCCATACTCTCCTGCAAGCCTCTAGCGTGCTATATGTCTAGCTACGAAGCTAGCAGGATGCGGCTGTTGAGTTACGTCGCATCGAAGGTAGGTTTCATGGCTATGGTCATGGTAGGTTGAGATGCACCTACCCTTTCTTTCTCTCCGGCAGGGCACTTCCACCATATTTTTAGCCCCTCAGAAGAGAGTAAGTAAGGTATGCGATCTGACCTCTTTCCTTCTATTCTCCGACCTATGATTCGAAGTCAAGAATTAGCCCACCTGTAGTCTTTCTGCCACTGATATAACACGATATTCCAAGTATATAGTGAGTTCTCCATTAAGTTGGTTCTGTGGTGTAGTTGGTTATCACTTCTGTCTAACACACAGGCGGTCCCCGGTTCGAACCCGGGCGGAATCATCACTTTTGCTGCTGTAGTGTCCCTTTTGCATGTGTAGAAAGCGTGGATGGAAGGGTTTTGGTGGTGAGTGGATTTTTGGAAAATCTGCGGGCGCAAAGTTTGAAGCTTTGGTGCAACAGCGGCGCCGATAGCATGGCTGATGGTATGCAGCGTTGATCGTATGCAGCGTCGCGTATCCACTAGGGATCGGTGACTATAGATTAGACCTTCTTACCACGCTAGGCACTATCTCGGGCTCGAAGATCAACGAGCCCTTTACATTACACTGACATGTACATTCTAGAAAGACGATCGTCTACAGAATACGCGGATGTGTAGAAAACAAGCATGAAAATATTAGGAAAATGACTCATCAAGAGCCGATATAATTACTATAAGCAAGAGGCCAGAAAAGAGACAACATAAACCAGCATATCATCCCTTCCTCCTCCTCCGTCATATGGGTATCGCAAAAAATCCAATTCCTCATCTCTTTCTGCACTCTGGCGATGAAGAGTCTCAAAAAACGCCATCGCTATGCAACTGCAACAAGAACAAAACAGGAAACTCAAACATCCCTCCAACTGCCTCCAACAGGCTTCCTCGCCGGAGCAGGAGCAGAGGTATGATAACTCGGTGCCGCAGTCGCAGGCGAAGCAACCCTTGGGCTATACCCACCATACCCATATTGCTCTCCATGGCTAGCAGCAACATCGCCATATGCACCTGCATTAGCCTGATAAGGATACTCCTGCACCTGCGCGTGCGGCGACTTCGGCAGCATGGGCGCAGCTTGAGCTTGATGCATACTCCCCATTTCCATCTCTGAAACTTCGTCTTGTTGGCGCAAAGTGCGTGACGTATTCCAGGATGGCATGGCAGGCAGCGCATCTTCATGAAAGGGTTTATCCGCACTCGGGGCGTCAAAGTGGGCATACTGTGGCGTTTGGTTTTGGGCGCGATACACAGGTGCGGCAGCAGGTTGATACTGTGTATACTGCGGCGCAGCAAATTGCGACACTTGTGGTGGTGGGGCAGGTTGCGTGTATCCATTTTGGCGGTGATGGGAATGCGAGCAACAGGAAGTGCAGCAAGAGAAGCAAGCGAAACAGCTGCAGCAGCATTCAAGGCCGCAGCAGAGACAGCGGACTAAGCACCAGATGATGGAGATGGCGATGACGGCGCCGACGACGATGCCGATGATGACTGGCCATNNCTGCGGAAAGAGTGTTAGTGTTGGGAAATAGAAGAGGGAAGGAGTAGGGGGAAACACGTACTTGCAGTATGCTTTTGCCATGCATTGATCCCAACCAGAAAACGTGTTTTTGACGTCCGACACCTCGGAGCCAATGTCTCGCATATAGCGGTGATACATCTTGTGTGTTCGTGGATGTTGTGACACGCAAAGCGAACGCGGGGTCGATCTCCAGAAAAGGCCAGAGAAGAAGAACTCAGAAAAGGTGCAATGTGACGGCCAAGCTGGTGTATTAGAAGTAGCACACCTCTATACTTTCGAAGTCCGTAGTGCGAAGAGTGCTGATATGAGAGTGCTGCCAACAGCTGACGGCAGCAGACCGCAGTAATAATAACCTTCCTCCTGCAAACCTGAAACGCGTCACCCCCTCTCCGAACGAGATGCAGGAGGCTGGTGTGGCTGATAGCCGTTACATATTTGGACACATCCGTTGCAGCTGTTTCGTTGGTCTTGGCGTTTTGCTGTGCTCTTTCATGCTCACGTCCTGAGTCCTCGATACGCGATGTCCTTGGAGCTACACGCCGTATACGCAGAAGTATCCACTGGATACGCTTCCGCTTTGAGCTGACGACTCGCCGACTGACTTTCACGTATTCACGGCCTCCGCAAAATCCCTCGGGAGTACATTCCTTGGCAAACCCCGGCTTGCGGCTCTCGTATGCAGACACCCGTTTCGTCCAGAGGGGCTGGGATATCGGATTGCATAAAACGGCTACAGCACTTGGCATGTTATGCTGTCATATGTTCATCTGCTTTGGACCCTTATGCCGTCATTTACTGCTAGGTTTGTGCGTTTATGCTGTCATGATGGTTCTTATTGAGTCTGCTGTAACGGCTGTGAGTCTTGTTTTGGAGCTGATTGCTGGATGTGGTATTGAGGGTATAGCTTATACTAGATGAGGAGATTAGCGAGGTCGAATTCGGATATATGCTGTATATTGCTGGGCCTTGTGATAGATTAGGGAAAAAACTGCGACATAGGGAGTAAGAACAAAAGGAAGAATAATCATTATCTGGAAAAAATAATGTACAAAGGAGACTCATGGTCGGGCAATTTCTTACAAAACCACAGCATGGATGATGTGTCGGCCTTCACCTCTATGCGCGAAGAAACAGCTGGTAGGTTTTGCCTACACCTCTCTAGCAGTCTTCTGCGCGTCCCTCTGCCTCTTCATCTCCTTGTTAGCTTTCGCCCTCCTCTTATTCTCCTTCGTCCTCTCCCTCACCTCCTTCTTCCATCTTAACCATTTCTCCAACTCTTCCCTCTCGTCCTTAGGCATAGCTGCTAGCCTTTCTGCTTTGGTCGCTTTTCGCTGTCTCTTCGCTCTATCGGACATGGCTTTGCTGTGTGCGGCAGCTGCTTTTCAGTCTCTGTCATGTTGGCGATGCGTTCTGCTTTTGCTGCTCGGCGCTCGGCGCGTTTTTGTCGCATGCGTGCTTTTTGCTGTTTTTGGGTCGGGGTTTGCCTTCGAGTGAGGCTTTGTAGGCGGCTTTGGAAAATGCTGCTTGTTCTGCTGCATTTGCTGGAATGCTAGGTCCTGAGACGGCTGCTGGCTCTGTCGCATTGTTGGTGACAGCTTTGGCTGAGAAAGGCTGATGTACAGGCTTTGGAGCAACAGCCAAGATGCGGAAAGGTTGAGCGGCATACCTAGAAGACGGATTGGCGGCTTGCTTTGGTGTATCGTCTCTGATATTTATACTGCTGCGAGTGCGAGATGATATCGAGTCCGCTGATGTTGAGCTTGCAGGTGATGATGAGTGACTTTGAAGAGCAGGGACTGCCCTGGGATGTCCAGAGGCAAGAGACTCGTTCCCTGCTGTATATACAAGAAATCCGGGAGCACCTTCGGACAGAGACGAGGAAGCAGGTGATTTTTGTGCTGCAGACTTTCCAACAGGGGTTGCTGATTCCGCCGTACTATTCCTCGTGATTTTCTTCACCTGCCTCTTTCTCTGCTCTCTTTTCTTCTTCAAGCGCTCCCAATCTTCCACTGCAGCTGCGTTCGCATTCTCCGCTGGCTCCCAGGTATCGAGGAACCTTCTGCCATGGATGGGTTGCCATTTGATCAGATACTTCTTCTCTCCTTTGACACTCTTCTCATCGATAATGTCGACAAGGGGNTACTCTTCTTGATCTAGCCTTTCCGTTTCCTCGGCCGTGGGTAGTTGAGATGATGGATTTAGAGATTTGCGATGGGCCGCTCGGCGCACAGGGGCGAGATGAGGAGGGAGCTTGGGTGTAGATGTTCTGGACGTTGATGCACTGGACGCTGGAGTATTGGATCCGGATGCTTTGGCTGCGAGTCTTGCAAGATGAGGATTCGAACTTGGCGGTAAGTCGTCATCGCTGAGAAATCCAGAGTCGGAAATTCGAGAGCGCTGCCTTATACTTGATCTAGCAGGCGTGGATATCAAGACGATGCACTCGCTCCTGCGGGATGGTCTGCGGCGATCAGACTGAGAGATGCCCGGCGCAGTAGAAGGGACGAGTTGCTCATATGAAACATCTCCTTCTTCTGGCACATCTTGCATGACCTCATCGAAAGCAGAGTGGTCAGAGATGATGATTGAAGGCTCGCAATCACTCTGGATTGCTTCCATAGCGTTGGATGTCTCATCGGTATCGCGAGACAGCATCACAGCCGCTGCAGGATCCGCCTGCTGGAAAGAGTATTCCATGTTGGCATCGGGGTTCACTTGCGGTATCAGAACCTCCTCCGGGGGCTCAGGCGATGGCGCCAGCAGCTCCCTGTTATCAATTCGGCCATTGGTACTTTTTATCGGTCTGTGACCGTCATGTCGATTGTCCTCATGCTTAGCTTGACGAAGTCGAACCAGGTTCTCAAGTGCTCGCTCGACAAATTGCTGGAAGTATGGCTTCATGGGTTGTTGTGTGTCCTGTTGATTGTCTTCATCTTTCCGTTCATGACCCGGGTGTTCTTCTGGATATGGTGAAGGGCTCGTGTGAGAGTCTTCGTCCTGTGGTATGTCCGGTCGTTCAAGCACAGCGATTCGGGCGTGAGGTGACTTGTTGGATTGCGCACCTGCTTCTGCATCTTGCTGCGACAGTATTCTCATCTCCGCATGTTGCTCTACTGTCGGGATTACTGGATCAAGCTCTCTCAAATGGGTGTCGTGGTCCATGGAAATAGGTTCATTCTCATATTCGGTAGCCTCATCATCCATATCTATGTCCACATCCACGTCTGTTGTTGGGTCGTAAACATCCCAGTCTTGCAGGGGCTCGTCGTCATCTCCGAGATCCTCCTCGTGTTGGGTNATGTAGCTTTTGAAGTGTAGACTAGCCGACGGTGATGGCGCATCCAAATCCAGGTCAGTCTCAGACTCGGCCGCAGGACAATACAACGACTGATGAAGTTGTTCTTTCTCTACTGACCAGTATTCAAGTTGCGATACCTGGTCTCTGAGTGCCGAATGTGCCTCGAGGTCCTTTGGGGTGATGATTTTGGGAGCAGGATAGTCTTCGATGCTTCTGTTGGAAGCCATTCCTTCGAGACGTAGCAGCATTGCCGGCACAAGCAAAGGGTCGTTGGTCGTCACGCCAGTCACTTGTTCCAACAATGGTCCAGGGCCAGAAGCCTGGGGTCGTGGCTCCGTTTTCTGGAAGACATCCAAAACCTCGTACTCAGATGGTAGTGATCGCCCTTCGAACACAGAGTCCTGATGTTGTGTGATGATGGTCGCGAGAAAAGAATGCGACAACTCGAAGAATAGATTCTCAGACTCGCAGGCGGTCTTAGAGGGATCAATTCGTCGAATGCATTCATCGAGCCAGCCCTTCGTGACAACCAGTTTAGGGAGAGTTGCTGCACCGTGCTGATTATCTCGTGTTGCTTTGTGGTAAGAAACCTTGTACTGAACAGCAAGCTTCGTCTGAGCGAGGCATAATTCATACAACAGGACTTCTTTTCGCAGGTTCATCGCGTCCTCGTCATTTAGTGGTGAAGGTAGATTCGAATATAACTGCTCAACAGTTGCATCACATACATCTATTGTCTGGCGGTAAGTGGACCGCAGATCTTCGAGGCTTTTTGACCGCGGCGACAACAACCGGTCCGCAGTCTCAGAAAAAGATGAATCTTGGTCTTCGGTCGAAGCAAGCTCATCTGAGGTTCCGGAGTCCTTCCTTTTGAATGTACTGGAGTTTTGTCGNGGTGTTTGCTTCAGTTGTGAAGTCCTGAGTTGGCGTGACAGCAGCGGGAAAGCGCCTGAGTGGTCTACGGCAGTTGATCGCGATAGAGCGACCCTTGGAGTTGACTCCGCATGCCTCGTAACCAGTTTCCCATGATCCATCGAGCCCGTATCGTCGTTGATGGAGTTGCTCGGTCGCAAAGTTGCAGAGCAAGATTTTCTCGGCCTTGCCGGTTTTCTCGGCACAGTCACCTGAGGCTTCCCNCGGCGGCGCGCCATACGGTTGGCGAGAGATTGCGAGGGAGATTGAGTTGTTTTGTTTCACGTGCGAACGACAACGGAAGAAGCTTCGGGCTCCAGGCGTCGAATGGCGGGGACGCCCCTGCCAAGCTCCAGACTTTAATCTCCCCTTCCAACCCAACCCATGTCGACTTGCCTTTTGGTATATCATGAGGCACACCTTTGAGAATTGTTTGACCAATTAGGCATTGATTCTGCTCTGTCCGTAATGAGAGAGTGGCATAGTAACAAAGCCTTAGAGCTTCCAGTCGGTAGTCGGTTTAACCCTCTGGACAACGTGATCTTACTCCTTCAATCTCACTATATCAACGACAACGGTCTTCATCTCTTCCTCGCACTATGCATTATGGTTTTATAGCGAAAAACAATCCTATTGTTGTAGGACAGCCTCGGAAATCCCGGATTGTCACGAACGAGAAACGAGAAAAGTTCCCCAGCAGGGTCGTCCCCTCGACCAGCATTCAGATCACTATCATCGACAGATCTCTATAAATCTCCTCTAGTATGCAAACTAGATGTTCTGAGACTCAAGAATGACCATCGGCTACCAGATGTTAAACCTTACAGAATCAGCTGCATATTCATCAAAGCCTCTGTTTCTGGACAGCAACCTTTGTTTACTTGCTATATGAAGGTAGTCTCTTGGTGACCACTGGAAATAAGTCCAATTGTCCTGGGAATCATCCTCGTTCCCAATCTGCAGCCTGGATGACTTGCCTGAACTTCTAATTTCTCTTGGGCAAGAGAAACGCACTCATCGTCATCTCCGTCACCCAGAGCGGCTCCCTTAGCCTTGTTCTTACGCTTACAAGGCGTCAGAATGTCAGAACCGGTGAGGTTGTGTATGCCCTTTTGGCCCAAGTCGCGCTCCAAACTTCTACTTCTCTCTTGAGATTGTGGAGCTTTGTAGACACTGGAGCATCTTGTTATGAGTGCTCAGTGCTTGCAAAAACATATGTACAGATGGCAAAGATGTTGCTGTTCGTGCTGTGACGCAACTCTCAAGACAATGGCTCTCTTGTATGGTGGGCCTTGTCAGGAGTCCGAAAAACAGAGTAGCCCGGAGCTCGACGTCGGTGGTAGCTGACTCGATGAAGCTGCCGAGTGCTCTCGTGTGCTCCAACTCGATTCAGTCCTACAATGGTGGACTTCCGTCGGAACGCATAGAGTTGACATTAATGGGTCGATTGTTAACCATAGTTAACCATGGTTCATCTGCGTCGTCCAAGGCCAGTAGACAAGTCTTTGTCTGGGTCAACAAGAATGACAAGACTCATCCTTACTCTCATGTTCTTTGTGAGCAATCTCAAGAATGTAAGGCTGGTTTTGATGTATTGACGATTATCTACGTAGAACTACCAGCAAGACTCGACGCATGAGACCTAGGTCTCAAAGGCTTACGTTGTCGACCTAGTCATTGCATTCGACGAACTCTCTGCGGTGGTTGATATGTCAAAACCTAACCTTCCTCCTTGATGTCCTCCATCTTGTCAGCCATCTTGACGATGTCTTCTTCGATCTCGTGGATATCAGCTTCAGCAGGAAGCTCGGCCTCGAGAGTCTTGACGATTTGCTTAACGAGCTCGCCGACCTTATCGTCCAGGATGTGGGCGAAGACTAGAATGCTGGTGAAAGGACTGCCAGCATCAGCAAGGTCTTCCACGAGATCATCTTTTGTATGGTATCCGCTATTGCCCTCTGCTTCAACCTCGGCCTTAAAGATGGTGGATGGTCTGCTTGAGTATTCCATTGTCCTTGTCGTTCATGATGTGGGCAAAGTTGAGAAGGCTGGCGAAAGGACCGCCAACGCCGAGATCGTCCTCTCCGGCATCGATGGCGGCGGACTCGAGAAGGTTGCCAAAGTCCTCGGACTGGCGGGAGCGAAGCGGCATGTGGTTCTCGAGGTCCTTGACGACGGCAGCTCTGGTGCTCGAGCCTTTCTTGCCTTGAACAAGTGTCAGTCGCGAAGGTGTACGGTAAAGAAAACATGCAACGCACCATCTCAAGCTCGGCATGAAGTACGGCCTTGGTAAGAGTCTCATCGACAGCCTTCTCAATGCGTTCCTTGACAAACACCTCAATCTTGGCATCGAGGCCGCTTCTGATGGTCTCCTTGAGTACAGAGACGGAGACGGTGGAATCGGTCTTGGTCATCCGCCCAAGCGAAGACGCGGGCAGCTTCGACAAATCTTCCTCGCCGCAGCAGAGCAGCAGGCCTCTCGCGGTAATGAGAGCCACGGCCGTAGAAGCCTCTGCTGCGGCGCAGAGGGGCGAGCGCGATTTCTCCAGAAAGAGGTATTGTGTCCTGAGATCGTTGGTCAGTAACCTGAGCGTGGAAGCAAGTCAGACAAGAAACTCACGAAGACGCAAGGATGGGTTTGATAGATACAAAGACCTTGAGGTTGAAGTTCAAACTCGACGTTGAGGTTGTTAGAAAAGTCGAAGAAGAAGTCGTAGTGGGCCTCTGACGTACGAGGTTGATGATGAACTCGGGACGGATGAAGTTGATAAAGGCGTAGCCAACATTCAACTTGTTAGAAAAGTCGATACGGAGGTACGGGAAATCGTAGTGGCCCTCCGAAGTGGCATCCTGGAAGAGCTTGAGGTCCTCGAAATTGACACGATTGGGGATGTTGCGCAGCATGATGGTGGTGCGAACACCAATGCCAGCCTCGATCTTCTACAGGTTGACAGTCTAGGGTTGGTTGAATCTCTAGAATGTCATGGCCACGGTAGCCATCGCGTAAACGAAAAGGGACAAAGTCGCCACGTGAGTAAGGAGCGTAACCACCTCTGATATTGCGGGCGGTGTAGTTGTCATAGCGGTCGTTCCAGTCGTCCGAAACGTCCAGGTCCTCAGTGGCGGTCACCAGGTCAGCCATGCCCGAGGCGGCGGGATGAACGTAGCGCTTGTAGCCAGCAGGCGCGTATTCCTTGATAAACACTGTAAGGGTATCCTGAGAACGTTAGTAAGAAATCAACATGATGAAGAGATGGAAACGAGAAAAACAAAGATCTTACAGAGCAGAAGCCTGCGTCGTGCTGGATTGACATGGCAACAGCACTCTCGGTCATTCTGGCAGCAGCAGGGCGAGAAGTGCCGGCTCCTGCCAGCGAGAGGAGATGTGTGTCCTGGAGTTGTTAGTAAGGGACCTGATCATGGAAAGACAGCGATGAAGAAGGCAAGGCGCGAGAGGGACTCACAAAGACACGATAAGGTTGTTTGCAAACGATGGCGATAGATCTTTGAGAAAGAGACAAATTGAAAAGAAGGATGAACGATGAGGATGGAGAGTCTGCCCTCCGTGAGGGAGAAAACGAGGTGACATGCTGGCTTGACAGACTTCCGATGCGTCACTCCCAATGTGGTCAAGCTTAACGTAGATGATTTGGGACTTGATTCACTTCTGCTATAGCAACGGAGACTCTCTCCGGACAACACATCACGCCTCGTCTCTACTGTGCGTTTTGATGCTTCTCTCTGCGACAGACATGAACGGTGAGAGGCAGACAAAGCAACAAGAGAACAAAGCATGACAAAGCACGACACAACCATCAAAGACACCAAGCATTGTATCTCTATGTAACAAAGGTCTTGCAGCCATCTTTAGGTAGGCTTTGTTGTCCACCACCTATTCAATCATCCTGTACATAAGCTATCCAGCCCTCAAACTCGTCTTTCTCCCCCATCCTAGCCATCCGACTAATCTCGAGACCGAGATCATCGACACGATGACCAACGCTTGTGCAACCCATGAACACATCCTGGAGATGTCACAGTTCATGACCCAATGCACTGCTCTTAATCCTCCCGTCCTGGAGGCATACACATCCTCGTACTCATTGATCGAGCGTCGTCAATTCACAGACATGATGCAGCTAGCAAACCACATGTTGTTTCTCGCTCAGATGCAGACTGGCTCTATTCTTGCCGGTCAAGTCCAGAGGAGTATAGAGAGCTGGGTGGTGAGAGGAGATCCAATGCCTAACCAGTTCATCTATGAGACAGCTGAGTTATTTGCTTCCGTTGATTACCGTTTTCACGTTATGCAGTGGGACACTCGCGAGCAGGCTTCTGATGCAATGGTCTCTGCTTCAAACAGGGATACAGAAGATCCCATGGATACCATCCTCGATAGCTTCCGCATCCAAGAAGCCTACCCCTCATTCACACCCTGGGCCATGAACAATCATCCCGGTACCTACCATGACACCAACGAACCACCTCTGCTCTCACCCCACCGCGTCTCTGTCTACAAAACAGACATTAAAGCTCACCTAAACTGTATAGACTGCCCTTCCTGCTCCTTCAGCACAAAAGTAAAGCGCGACATGCTGGCCCACGAAGCCTTACACTGGGACCCACAGCCCTGCGAATGTGCTCAATCAAACCAGAAGGCCCTAGCTGCAGGAATAGACACTATATTCTGTTCATGCGACAAGCTGACTACTGATGAAACTGCACGTATGCTAAGAAACTGGGAAGACGAGACTACTGGGCATTTGATAAGGAAATTTGGTAGGTCTGAGGTGATGAGGAAATTTTCTAATACTACTGCTATACAGATGCAGAGCGATGTTACGGTGCCAGATATACACCAGAGCTTGGCAATCAACTCTCAGGGTGGGAGTTGAGAGGTATAGTTCTCTGACAAAATGAACCAGAGGCAGTTCAGCTGGTCTGTTCTGCTGGGGTAGGTATGCGATGACTTACGAATAAAAATTTAATGATGTTTGGAAAAGATGAAACAATAAACAACTCTTGTCATATTCCCTCTAGTTCATGATTCTTTTGTCTTTCCTTCTCAGCGAAAGTTCAATGCCAGCCTTTGTCGGTAGAATGGTAAGACTATATCAGTGGTAGTAAATCTTCACATTCCTACTGGAGTTTTGCCACCCTACTGCTCAGTGTCAAAAGAAAGGATTGACGTCCATCAATATTCCAACACTCAATTCGCTGCTGATAGCCAAATATCACAAAGCCGGCTGGTGTCGCGAAGTCTGCAAATCTTGCGCCCGCAGCCAGCCCACCAAAATTCGCAAAAATCCTCCACCGCCAAAACCTCGACACCCACGCTTTCCAGGGGATGCAAAAGAGATGTTTTGGTAACAAAAGCAATGATTCCGCCCGGGTTCGAACCGGGGACCGCCTGTGTGTTAGACAGAAGTGATAACCAACTACACCACAGAACCAATTTGTTGAGATTGTGTTAAGATAAACGTACAACAATTCGCCGTCCAGGCAAGCGCGGGGTCTGTGGCGGTCTGTCTTCGGTCGCAGGGCACTCGAGTGTGGATAATGAGGACGAGAAGTTGATTGTCACGATGGAGGCGTGGTGGTAACGAGGGACAAAGAAGGCGAGTCACTGATCCATGAATTTGCAGGCGTGGAAGCTAAAGACGCAAGCAGCACACTGCGACATGATCATGCTTCGAGTCGTTGAGGCAGTTTGAGGAGGTGGCCAAAAGTCGTGGCTGCACCGAGGGAATGTGTGAAGCTTTGCTTGCGACCGCTTTGCCTTCCTCCTCTCTCATCACCAGCCCCGTTTTTGTTGCCGAGCTTGAATGTTCGCACTGAGAAGATTGAGATGCCCCAGGGCTGTTGAGGTCGAGATGGTTCATTGGTAGGTATTGAGGGCGGCGTCTTGCGTGCATGGAAAGGTAGGTGAACGTGTTTCCAGCGGATTTGATCCTCCTCTTTCCCACTGCAGGGTATGACCTGTCTCGTATTTCTTCTCTTTCTGCCTGCAGTTTGTGTATATCTCCTTGCTCTTTCTTTGTGATTTCGAGGACGCGTAGTTGTCATCTTGTTGGAGGTCGGTGGTTGTGTGAAGATTGTTTTGCATTTTGATGAATGTTTTGAAAGCTGCAATTGCTCGACGAGACTGCTCACTTCACTCGTCCAAGACTTTCCCCCTTTCTATTATAAACCGCTCTTCCCCTCTCGAAGCCACTATATCATCACCGAACCGCCTGCATACCGCCACCATCACCATCATTACAATGGCAACCTCTCGCCAGCTCTCCCACCTTCGCGCGCTGCTCCGCAGCCTCAAGTACATGTTCGCCTTTGCCGTCGTCGTCGCCCTCGCCGGCATCATCTTCCTCACCACCGTGCACTCGCGCGTCACCACGGACGTGCTCATCGGCATGGTCATGTGTCTCGGTGTGCTGCAGACCGCCGCCTTCTTTGGCTGGTTCGCTCTCTGGCGCGACCCCCGTCTGCGCTACCTGTACGCTGGGGGATGCGTCGCAGCCGTCCCGCTCGTCGCCCTGGAGTCAATTATGGTGTGTCTGGTCATGTTGGTATGTACAGAGTGCTGTTAAGTTTGGGATGAAGCTAATGGGTGGTATAGAGATTGAGCTGGGCCCTCTGCCTCCTCGTCAACCCCGTCCTGACAATGTCCTTGCTCAGCTTGAGGAGGCACATATCGCTCGCCCAGAGACTCCTCTGATGTACATCAGGGAGTCTGTCGGTCGTCATTGAGTAGATCGGGAGGGCTGGAATTTATGGCAGGTTCACAGACGAGCGACAAAGTTTTCGGTAGACCATACAAAGGCATAATCAATTTGTCTTTTCTTCGAACCTCCAAAATAAGCCTCTCTCCATTTTCGAACCATCAGAAATGTATGTTCCACAACTTACGTCTCACATTGCCATGGTTTGAGCAATTTTGTCCGAGGTGGAAAGATATGTTGATCAGCCAGGCTTGGCTCATGGACGGGATTGCTATACATGTCGCACAAGATCCACTTCCTTTTGGCCTCTCTCTCGTTCGATCCGGTGTTATCAAGTCCATCGAGTTTGCTAGCCCGACCTTTTTTTTTGTGGTAAAACTTCGTATGAGTAAGATCTCCAGAAGATACTGATACATAACTAGACTCCGCCATGGATGAGCCCTTCCCCGATAGCAGATTGAGAGTGTCTCGTTCAAACTTCCACTAGAACTGCGGTTTATGATATACAAACACGCCCTCTCGACAGGAATCTCCGACAGCGAGACCAAAAGACACTTCTACATGATAGGAAGCTACCGACAGGCGTCTTGCGACAGGCGTGGCCTCTTTGCTACTGGCCAGAGCTTCGATCCACGACACTTCGCTGTACTTTCAACATGTCGTCAGATTCGGGAGGAAGTCAACGTACATGTCAGACCTCATACCGTCCTCAGGTTCACCTCGAGAAGCACACTGCGTGATTCCGTCCTCGGCCGCCCGGACGATCCTGGAGTTTCTGCTCGCAAACTTGAGATCTTGCGCAAGGCGAATAATATTGAGGTGATACTCGAACCTTATTAACTCTCAGAGAGTCCAGTTTCTCGGCTCGAAAGTCTGCTTCTTACTGAATCGATGGCAACAGAAGAGGAAACGTCCAAAAAGGCGTTCATTCGATGGAAGGAGTACATGGAGAAGGTCGCGTTCAAGTCTGATGAGGGACAACACAAGATATGATCAAGTCAGAACCGGAAACAGAGCTGGTTCGTACAGCACGTGGGACAAGGTTTCGGATATACCCAAACTTGCTCATATGCCCGCCCAAACTCAAAGCTTTCAGTAACTGCAAGAAACGATCAGGTGTGCACCTCTTTTAGCAATCGAATATTCCTCTTCGCGTCCTCGTCCTCGTCCTCGCTGCCCTCAACATGCGTCCGAATACTCTTGTTCTCGTATCTCTCGCCCCAAGCATCAATGCAGCCAACATCGTCCTCTCCAACGACGACGGCTGGGCAGAAATGCACATCCGCACTCTCTACGAGCGCCTTAAAGCGGCAAACCACTCTTTCAGTATCTCAGCTCCCGCCATCGATCAATCAGCCACTGGATCTTCGTATGCAGCCCCAAAGTCCATGGAAGAACCTTGCCAATACTATACCTGTATGTCAGGCAATTCAGCTACTGGATACTGGCACACTGACCATAACATCTTTTATGTCAATTCGTTTCCAGCGACGGCCATGAAGTATGGGATCGAGAAGGCTGAGAAGAGGTTGGGCAGGAAGCCTGATCTTGCTATCTCTGGTATCAATGTGGGGAGTAAGAAGAGCCGACCGCCCAGCACATAGTTTCGCGATATACTGACAGAAACAGATAACCAAACGACGACACAACTCGACATGTTTCCGCGAACCCCCTTAGAATTCAGGACCTAGTCTTAAACCACAAGTGGTGTGGGCATGGGTCTACAGTCTGTTGATCACGTCGAGAAGTATAGTTATGGCCCTGAACTTTCTTGATAACTGATAGAAGACCTTCTTCTTTCAGAAACTACTTCTGAAATGGATGTCTGGCACTTTGAGGGGTCGAATTCATGGTAGTCATCCATTGCTGTCTACCAGCGTCTACTTGCCGAACTATAGGCTACCACCAGGGCCGGGAGTTTGCTAGCCTCAGCATGTGCTGATCGCAGTCCATCATTGTCCCAGGCAAACTTAGCACTGCTTACACCCTCATTGCCGTCTTCGACATATCTGAGCTTCAAGAGCAACTCCAACCACAGACCTAGCGATCTTGTGTGGTTCACCATCTCAACTCTTTGTGCGTTGCACAGCAGCTCGAAGGCATACTCATCCTTCCTCTCAATCTCTCTATAGAGCTCCAACCTGTAACCGAGAAAGTGACCCAAAGCGCGAGCGGACAAGAGCCTAGATACGAGGTTGGGCAGAACAAACTTCTTGATCTCCTTGCGGATTGTAGTGCACAACTTCAAGAGAGAAAGGTGGTACGCTGTTGGAGTTCTTGAGGGCGTAGTGGTTGAGGCGCTGTGTACGAACTTTGCGTCTGGGACTGCGTCTTTCTCCGATGATAAGAGGAGAGTCGGCGAGTACGTGGTTGTACATCATGACGCGTACTTCTAGGGGAGCCTGGATAGTGGACAATGGATTTGGGCAGCAGGAGTGGACGTGGTGTGCTCGGTCATGCCGGGATCTGTTGATATCGTCAGACTTGTCATGTTGCTGATATTCAGGTGTTGACCAACCTATGCTCTGAGTCTTGGTCCCAGCGGCAGGCTTGAATTTAGCAGACATCGTGATAGCTGGCTAACCAGCAGAGTAAGCAAAGTCCTCGTGTGCAGCTCGTGTGCAGCTCGGTTGTATTTACCTTATCGCTCTTCTTCTTCTTGCTTGGGTGGTGGCCGCCTGCGTTTGGCTTGCGCGTAGCAGCTTTCTTCTTCTTAGGCGCCATCTTGTACCACCGCACGTGAACAAAGGTTGATACGGCAAACTTCCTCTTCCTGGTTTTCTGCATACATAGCTTACATTTGTTACCGACGGAGAAGTGGTCACTCGCGCTGTTCGTACCATAGCTCCGCCATGTCAGTAAGGCAGCATAGAGAGCAGCATCAATGGTAGTCTCGCGATCATCAACGATCTGTTTGGCGCACGGTTCTCTTCGTTTCTGTCTCGATATCCATTCGACTCAGTGAACTACAATGCAATGCCGGCCAGTTTGACAGCAGCAAAACATCGGCATGAGTTTTGATCCGATGGGTATCTTGACTGACAAAACGCTGGACCCTCAACGATGTAGCCAGACGTCCATAATTATATGGTGGGAGGCTTGCAAGGACGTACATCAGATCCTGGACCTGAACAACTCCGTATTGCTATATGGTACAGAGCACAATTCTCACAACT